CCATCTACGTTATCTCAATTCCTTTCACTCCTCAGCCTCATCCTTTCTGCCTTCATAGTTTTGTTACACCATGACCACCACCAGCTCAGGGGTCTGGGCCCCTGTTGAGCTCTCCTAGGACTTCTTAGGCCCACAGCTCTCCATTTATGGATTCCTTCCAGAGAGTTCTCTGGTTCTGGGTCTTATTGTCCTCTCCCCCTACCTTTCCCACCCCATACCCTATGTGATTCCACTTTGTCTGGGAGCTGAATTTCTCTCCAGACATCAGACATTACCCTAGAGGGTTGGGGGATGGGCCAGAAACCCCTCCGAAATGGAGGGTGGTGAGCTTGGGGGCCTAGACAGTGTGTGGGAGCCATGGAAACGGGATCGGTTGTGGACTTGGAGGGAACTGTGCATAAGGGGCCGGGCTGGAATGTGGAAACCTGGTCAGGGTGGCAGCTGCAGTCCGCTGAATTTGTCAGGCCCTTTCCGGCCATCTCCTTCGCCCCCTTCCCATACAGAGCCCAAGATGGGGCAACCCCTTCTTATCCGTTTCTCAGCTCAGTGCTTATCCTCCTTCCCTCTTTCCCTCCCTGAGGTGCCAAACCTGGGACTTTTTCTGTCTTTCTTAGCTTTGTTGCTCTCTTCCATGGGTGTGTTGTGTGACTTGGTTTTCTCCTGTAGTGCACATCTGTCTCTTTCTGTCTCTGCTCATTTCTAGGTCCTATTTTTCTCCCTCTTCGCACAGTCAGAACTTCTGTTGTTCACTTGTACTCTGTAAAGATTCTCAGCTCCCTGTCTCAGCCGTGCTTCTCTTTCATGTGTGTTCCATACAACTCTCCAAACATGCTCTTGGAACCTGTCTTGTTTCCTTTGCGTCTCTTGCCCATTGAGAGCCTTCCTGATCTCTCAGTACAATCCCATCTCTCCGTGTCTGTCTGTATACAGCTCCCCCCGCCCCCTCTGTCTAACATGTTTTCTGTTTCTCTCCCTCTCCCTGTCTCTGCTTCTGTGTCCTCTGTTCCTCTCTCTCTTCTCCCCCTCTCCCCTGGTTGTTCCTCTTCCTCCTCTTCCTCTACCTCTACCTCTCTCCCGCCCCCATCTCCCCTTGGTCCGTCCACTGCATAGTCTAAGGAGCTGCAGATCAAGAAGCAGTTCCAGGAGACGTGTAAGATCCAGACTCGGCAGTACAAGGCTCTGCGAGCACATTTGCTGGAGACCACGCCCAAAGCTCAGCACAAGAGCCTCCTTAAGCGGCTCAAGGAAGAACAGACCCGGAAGCTGGCAATCCTAGCCGAACAGTATGACCAGTCCATCTCAGAAATGCTCAGCTCACAGGCGGTGAGACCTGGGGTCAAGGGAGGGAGCATGGTAGAGGTTGACTTCTGTATTTCTAGCTTGAGTGACGAGAGAAGGGAGGAATCTCTGTGTTCATATGGTACAGAAGCACTCATACCCCCCCACCACCACCGTTTTATTGTCTCGCATCTTTTCGTGTTGGTTTTTGGTTTGGGGGCCATACCCAGTAGTGCTCCGGCACCCGTATGGGGTGCTGGGGGTCAAACCTGGGTCAGCGGTGTGCAAGACAAACACCTTCCCCACTGTGGTATCACTCTGGCCCATCTTACATCTTTACTTCTTTTTTGGGGTGGTGGGGGGGTGGGGTACACCTGGTGATGCTCAGGGATTACTGCTCTCCACTCAGGATTTTCTCCTGGTGGTGCTCAGGGAACCATATGGAGTGCTGGGATTTGAACCCAGTTCAGCCTCCATTCAAAACAAGGGCCCTGCCCACTGTACTATTATCACTCCAGCCCCCAATTACAGCTTTTCCTAAGGTCTTGACAAAACTGGCCGGTTTACTTTCATCAAGAACCACCAAGAAGAGGAACTTTAATTTTTTTCCGGCCTTGAGTTAATGTGTGAAGAGGGATGTGTGGGCAGGCATGTGATCTCCAGGCTGATTTTACTCAGACATCTGGATGGTTTTGAAGATTGCTGTTCTAAAAGTGATTACACATAATACTAGAAATAGACATACAGCCTTTATCGTTGCCATTTTCTTATCAATCCCACCTTGGAGGAAATTCTTATTAATAATTTAGATTTTTCCCCCATACATATTTGGAAAATACATAGGAACTTGAAAAAAATGGAATCATAGCTTACTATCCTTGACCTTTGCTACCTGATAGTTGCTTGGACATCTTTCCTTGTCAGTACACACCAGTCATTCGTTTTAACAAGCATAGAATTTTCCATGGTATAGATACACCATCATTTAACTCAACCCTGTAGGTGGACGTTTTGGTGGTTTCCAGTATTTTGCTATGGCAATACTTCCATGGCCGTCTCGAGCACAGGTGCAAATAGAGGTGGTGATAAACTGGAAGTGACATTGCTGTTCACAGGGTGTGACAGTCTTTCGTCTTGACAGATAGTGAGACCGGCTGCTGCTTGAAATATTAAAGCCAGCCCTACCTGGGAGAGGGAAGGCTTGTGGGGCTTTGGGGAGAGGACCCTGAAGCTGCTTCCTGTTCTCTAGCTGCGCCTTGATGAGACCCAGGAGGCCGAGTTCCAGGCCCTTCGGCAGCAGCTTCAACAGGAGCTGGAGCTGCTCAACGCGTACCAGAGTAAGATCAAGATCCGCACAGAGAGTCAGCATGAGAGGGAGCTGCGGGAGCTGGAACAGAGAGTGGCCCTAAGGCGCGCACTGCTCGAGCAGCGGGTGAGCGGACTCGGCCTCACGATGTGGCGGGGAGGGCAGGCTCCCCCTTCCCTTGGACTCTCTCTAACCTCTCTTCTGGGTGCCCCAGGTGGAAGAGGAGCTGCTGGCCCTGCAGACAGGGCGCTCCGAGCGCATCCGGAGTTTGCTTGAGCGCCAGGCCCGTGAGATCGAGGCCTTCGATGCTGAGAGCATGAGGCTGGGATTCTCCAGTATGGCTCTGGGGGGCATCCCAGCTGAGGCTGCTGCCCAGGGTTATCCTGCCCCACCCCCAGCCCCCGCGTGGCCCTCCCGCCCTGTTCCCCGCTCCGGAGCACACTGGAGCCACGGGCCACCTCCACCAGGCATGCCTCCTCCGGCCTGGCGCCAGCCTTCTCTGTTGGCTCCTCCAGGTCCCCCAAACTGGCTGGGACCCCCAGCACAGAGTGGGACACCCCGTGGTGGAGCTCTGCTGCTACTAAGGAACAGCCCCCAGCCCCTGAGACGCGCAGCCTCGGGCGGCAGTGGCAGTGAGAGTGTGGGCCCCCCTGCTGCTGCCGTGCCAGGGCCTCTGAGCCGCAGCACCAGTGTTGCTTCCCACATCCTTAACGGCTCCTCCCACTTCTACTCCTGAAGTGCACGGTGGATGCATAGATGAATGGGCAGGGGTAGGGCAGGGGTGGGTGGAGGGCAGAAAGCTTGAGGCCCACCCAAGGTCAGGGGACAGGACTAGCTCCAGCTCCCCCAAACTTCATCTCACAAGCTTCTCGGGCTGGCCAGTGGCCCACTAGCTTGGGTGTAGGTGCCTCCAGACTGACCAGGACCCCTGCCTCCCCACCACGGTGCCAGGGCTCGCTTCCATCATGGCCTCGGGAAAGGAGGGAGGTGTGTGTGTATGTGCTTGTATGTCAGGTATTCATCTAGTTCCCCGGGGGAGGGGAAGGGTGGGTCTAGATATATTATATTCAGAGAACTATACTACCCCCTGCAGTGGGGCCATGGACTGGGCATGCCAGGCCCCCGAGACCTGGGATGTCCCAGAGCAGGTCTGGGCCTGGGGTGGGGAGAATGGGAAGAAAATGCCTTCTTCAGAAAGGAGGATCAGGATGGGGTCTTGGGGTCAGGATGCCTGGGTCTCTCCATTCTCCTGTTGCTGTCCTGTGCCGTCTTGTCCTTTATCTTTTTCTTTTTTTTAAACGGAGATCAGAGCTGGGGAAGGGAAGAGGGAAGGAGCCCAGAAGGGGCTGCTCCTGGGCCTGGGGCAGTCATGGAAGCCCCTCCCAGCTGTGGGCTGGCACAGAGTCCAGAGCAAGCTTTTAATAAACTGTTGGTTATTCTAACAGACCTGGGACTCACCCTTTTTGTCTTAAACTGTGACTGCTCAGTGGGAGGTGCTATTTTTTTAATTACTGGTGTAACCCAAACTTGCAGTGATTTTGGTATTTGGCTCTGGCTGTAAGGACCACACCAGGCAATGCTGGGGCGGGGTGGGGGAACTGTGCAGTAATTTTCCAAAGGTTCGCTTCCCCATGACCCTGGCCGCCCAGACTTGTATCTTGTCAGCAAACTCAACAGCAAGAATTCTGACCGGAATGGAGCAGCAGGACACTTGCCTTGCATGCATGATAACTTGGGTTTGATGCCTGGCACTACATAGGGTCTCCAGTGTATCGTCAAGAGTGATCCCTGAGTGCAGAGTCAGGAGTAAGGCACTGCGGGGCATTGCTGGGTGTGGCCCCCAAACAAAAGAATTCTGAGACCTAAAGTGACTTCACGATGTGTAGCCATAGGTCTCCAGAGCCCTCATTGTCCAGTCCCCTTAAAGCGTGGAAGAGATGGCCTGCAGACTAAGTGACTATTTCCAGAAGAGGAAGATACACTGTCTTCCCCAAGTTGTTTGGTTTTGTATTTCACCTTTGGGTGGGGCCAAGAGGTGCTCTGGGAGCCACTGTTGCTAATATTCTGCTTAGCTCTGAGGCCTGACGATTCAGCCCTCAGTCCTGGCAGTGTGGTGCTGCTTACAGTGCCAGAGGCCACCAGGACCAAAACCAGGTGGCTCTCAGTCCAGACCTGCGACCTGGGGCCCAGCACATGAGCATCTTCCCTGGCCTGTGCTTCATATTCTAAGGGCCTCTTTACACCTTCTGTGCCGGGCATCACAGCCTACAGGGGCCCAGTGCGCCCGTTTGTACAGGAAGGCGGTCAGAGCCGTACTGTTAAAAGAGTCCGGGAACAGGCTGGATTGGAGAATGTAAACATGAAAGGGAACCAGACCAGGGTGAGAACAAATACTTCTCAGCTTCCTGACCCAAACGGGTTAGAATAGGAACCAGTTTTGATGAGGCAATTCAAATACTCCTTTATTTGAGTCTTAAAAAAAATAAATCTTGTAAACACTTAAACTGAGAAATAGATTCCTACCAATTTGTGTCCTTGGGGGCTGCAAGTCTCATCTGAACAAAGCTGCTTCTGCTCTGAGCGTGGGGTGGGGTGGGGGTCTGCTATGTACACTTTTTACAAGTGGGAAGGAGGTGTGAGGGGAGCTCAGTTACTCTCGCCATCACTACTGATGATGCCACGCATATGTGACCAGTCGGGGCGTGGGGGGCGGGGCTGCTCGTCCTCTGAGTCCAGTGCCCGGCGGCGGTAGAGCTCGCCTGGGGGTGCTGCAGCTGAAGGATTCCATGCAGTGCGTCTACGTGGCCGACCTGGGTGGGGTGGGTGGAAGGAAAAGCAGGAAAGTCATCTGGAAGAGTCCAAAGCACATCTCCTCCTGAGGTGGAAGAAAGTGCCCCTCACCTGGACAGTTGATAATGTTGCTGACGTCCAAGGAGGCCACCTCAGCCGCCTCCTCCCGCCGCTCTTTCAGTGCCCGACACTTCTCTAGGGAGGGGTTACCTGCAAGAAGAGACTCGTGATCCTCTGGCTGAGCCATTTAGCGCCTCTGCTGCAGCACCCAGGGCACACCTGACCTCACCCTTCATGCCCAGGGCTTCCAGCTCCGCCCGGAGGATCCTCAGGCGCTCCTTGCTTGAGTGGCAGGAACCGAGCAGCTTTTTGTAGTTTCGATAGGCACCACATGCCCGGATATAGCGCTTGAGCCTCATCACAGCTGGGTCGTCCTCCCCATGGCGACCTGAGCCAGCCTAGTAGAAGAGAGCAGTGGCCAGACTAAGCCTGGGATTCTGTCTGGGTCTCCTGTTTCCTAAGGGTGACCCACCCCACCCCCATCTTCAGTCTCACCTTCCTGAATTTGGTTTCCGGGCTGCCATCTGAAGAGGAGGAAGAGGAGTTCCGTGTCCTGCCTTTCTTAGAATTCTTCTTGGAGGAGCGATTCTTCCTTTCCCCTTTGGGGCTCCCCTCTGCCCCACTGTCACTCTCCTCCCTCTCTGAGTCACTCACGTCACCATTAAGCCTGCTCACTTTGGCTGGCATGCCAGTGTCAGTTGATTCTGCCTTCTTTGAGCTGTTTTCCTCCTCTCCGCTGCTGTCAGCCTCACTGCCAGAGTCGTCCTGCCCCTCTCTGTTGTCCTTGCTACCCAGCAGTCTTGCTCCCCCCCTGCTTTTCTGTTCACAAGCTGCTCTTTTCCTTCCATTGCTTTGGAATCTGGATTTCTGGTCCTCTTCCTCTTGGTTCTCTTCCACCACTAGATTCTCTTCTCCCTCGTGGTCCTCCTCGCTCTCGTGATTTTTCGTTGCCGTCTTTCTCATTTTCTGTCCCGTCCTCTGGATAGGTTCCTCCTCCCCACTGTCCTCACTCACCTCCTTGGCCTGCTTCCTTCGGGCAGACATCATCTTATTCTTCCCAGGTTGTTTCCTAGTCCGGCCTTTGGGTTCCCTTTCCTCCTCCTCCTCCTCCTTCCCCTCGCTGCCCTCTGCCTCTGATACTTTACTTGTTCTGACAGAGCCCCCTTCCTCCTCCTCCTCACTGCTCTCCTTCACGTCTTTCTCTGATCCGGTCTCACTGTCCTCACTCACCACCTTGGCCTGCTTCCTTCGGGCAGAGGGCTTGCCCCGTACCCGCTTATTATTCATCCCAAGTTGCTTCCTGGTCCTGCCTTTGGGTTCCCTTTTCCCCTCCTCCCCTTCCTTCCCCTCACTGCTCTCATCTTCCTTCTCATCTTCTGTCCCCTCCCTGCCCTCTGCCTTCAGTGCCTTACTTGTTCTGACAGAGCCCCCCTCCTCCTCCCTGCTCTTCATGCCTTCCTCTGATCCAGTCTTGGCGGTCACGTCTTCCTGCTGTTCCTCATCACTGCTCTCGACTGGCTTCTTGGAGGCCCTCCTTGGACGCTCCGCAGTGGCCCCGATTCCCGTGGCCAGTCTGTTCTTTGCTAAGGGATCCACGGAGTCCGGACTGGAAGCCCCAGAGCTGGGCTCTGGAATGGAGAGAGGAAAGAAGGTGGGAGCGGGTTCTTCCTGACCTTGCCCTCCACTTGCCCGGGACGGTCTCCGACAGGAAGAGGCAGCGGGAGGCAGGCTAAGAGCCGCTCTCCCGGATGCGCTGACCCGTCCGAAGCCTCAGGGCTCCTGGCGAGCATCGGACACGTGGAGCGAAGCGGGCGCGCGCGGGATACCCACCCGACTCGGAACTGAACCGGCTCCGCTTTCTCGCCGGGTCACTGCAGGGGGAGGGCAGCCTCTTGGTCCTCCTGGCAAGGTCTCGCGGCGTCTCTTCCCGGGCGTTCGCTTCATCCCCCTGCGGGAGGGCGCGCCGAGGGGTGACACGCGCGCCACGTGTGCCGGGTGGCGCCGGCCCCGCCCCCGCGCGACCCGCCCCGGCTCGCCCACCTGCATGTTCAGCAGCTCCTCCTCCACCAGCCGCTTCAGCGTCTGCTTCTCCTGCGGCTCCAGGTGGTCGCGGCCCGCGTGAGCCAAGAACCTCCGGCGCACGATGGAGTGCGTGAGCGTGCTGTGGAGACAGGACGTCAGGGCCGAGGCCCCGCGCCGGCCTGGCCCCTTCCCGCCCCGGCCCCCCCGTGCACCTCAGGTCTGGGCGGCCTCGGAAGAGGTCACGGGTGAACGCCAGCATCTCCTCCCGCGCCATTTTGCCCCGCCGGCGATAGGCGGGGCTCCCGCCCTTTCTGCCTCCGCCGTCTCCGTCGGCGCGCCTGCCGGGGCGCGTACGCAGGCGCCGAGCACTCGGCCGGACCAGGCTTATTTTGTCCCGGGAGTCGATGGGCTTCGCGGCCCCTGCCTTTCCTTAGCAGATCGTCGCGAAGGTTCAACTTAGAAACCGGCGCTGCGAGAGCAAGCGTTCGCGTAACGTAATCAACTCGCGCCTCTGCCTCCGACCTGGGTCCCGGGCGCCCGCCGGGCCGCCGTTATTTGCCAGGAACGACGGAGAGGGGCGGCCTCTCTTGAAGGCCTGTGTTCCTGGGGTGGGGGCAACCGCGTGGCCTCAAATCGCTAAGCACGCTCAGAACCAGGCCGCCTTGCAGCTCCCGCCATCTTTGTGACGTCACCGCGTCGCCGCGACGCCATCTTCGCCGCAGCCCTGGAAGCGACGCGCCTTTCCCGGGATTTCCCCGGCGGGCCGCCGGTGCGGCCCCGCCCCGCGCGCGGGGCACGCCGGGAGTTGTAGTCCCAACGGCCGCGGCGGCGCTGAGTCTCCGGAAATAGAGGCGTGAGAGGCCCGCCGGCTCCGGCTGGGGAAGCGGCGTTGGGACCGCGCTCCCCGGGCAGGTCATGAACGGGCCGGCGGACGGCGAAGTGGACTACAAGAAGAAATACCGGAACCTGAAGCGGAAGCTCAAGTTCCTCATCTACGTGAGTGCTGAGGTGGGGAGCTGGGAGGGATGAGGCCTGGTGCCAGTCGGACCTCAGTTTACCCACGTGCAGAGGGAGTGGGGTGACGTGCCCCCGTGCTCCCGGCCCCTTTCCGGACGGCCGTTAGCTCAGCGCACTTACCCGATACAGGAACACGAGTGCTTCCAGGAGGAACTGAGGAAGGCACAGAGGAAATTGCTGAAGGTGTCCCGCGACAAGAGGTGAGATGGGGCGGGGAGGGAGGACCCCCGGGTGATGAGTATCCTGTGGGTCAGGTTGCAACCCCCACCCTGGCCCGGGTCCCCACAAGGGCCTGGTGCCTACCCGGCTGCTTGTTCCGAGGGTCCAGGGCTCAGAACAGAATTGGTGCGGAGGGAGTAAAACCACTGCTTTCCCTGTGTCCACCCCTCACCCCCGCAGCTTCCTCTTGGACCGACTTCTGCAGTACGAGAACGTGGATGAAGACTCTTCTGGTGAGCAAAGTCATGAGAACTTGGTAGAGGACTTGGCTCCGGACACTTCTGCAGGTTTCCCGGGGCCCCTCCTTGGTAGGCTGTGGCAGCTGAAAGAGCCTCAAGTTATTCTTAAACCTCCACCTCTATCAGTCTGTCCTCCGGCTATTTATTGAGCAGCTACTGTGTTCCAGGCTCTGAACTTTGCACAGGGACTATAGTAGAAACCAAAATTGGCTCTTTCAAATACGTCTGCTAGTTGAAGGTAATAAGTATGCAGGGAAGTAAACTAGAAATTTAGATAGCAATAAGGACTTGAGAGGAGTAAAATCAGAGCATGCAGTAATGCTGTCATAGAGCAGGGGCTAATAAACTTTTGTGAAGGAACAAATATTTCAGACTTTGCAGGGCGGCCAGAGAGACAGTACAATTGATAGCTCACTTTCCTTGCATACGGTTGACACAGGTTTAAACTCTGGCAACCCCATATGGCCCTGGAGCCTGCCAGAGGGAATCCCTGAGAGATCCTTGAGCACAGTGCCATGTGTTTCTCCTAAAAAGCAAACAAAATAGTGGACAGAGAGATAGTCCAGCAGATAGGGCTATCTTGTCTTGCACACTGCCAACCTGGATTCGATACCCAGCATCCCATGTGGTCCTGAGGCCACCAGGAGTGACTTTTGACCAAAAAGTCAGGAGTAAGAACTAAACACTGTCGGGTGTGACCCCAAAACCAAAAAAAACACTATGGACACAGAAATTTGAATTCCATGTGACTTTCACTAGAATTAGGTCCCCCCATCCACCTATTTAAAAAAATGTAAAAAGCATCCTTAGTTTGTCTGCCATCCAAAATAAGGTGGTGTGAACCCAGATCAATAGTTCAGCAGGTTGGGTGTATGCCTTGCACTGGTCTGACCCAGGTTTGCTCTCCAGCATCGCATATGGTCTCCTGAACACCACCAGGATTAATAACTAAGTGCAGAGCCACAAGTAACTCCTGAGCATCACTGGGTATAACCCAAAAAGCAAGCGGGGGGAAAAAAAAGTGGCAGGCAGCATCCCAGTAGGATGTTCATGAAAGGCTTTTTCTAGGAAGTAATGTCTGTGCTGCAGCCTAGATAAAAAGCAGCCAGTCTCCTGAAGATATTCTGAAGGGTTCCCCAGGCAGAGGGAGTACCAGAGGTGAGACCAGACAGGAGTAAGGACAGGACTGAAGCACACCAGGCAGTGTTCAGTGACTATTTGTGACATTCTACAGCACTGCTTGTTTGGTAAGTGTTCCCATTTGCAGCGGGATATAGTTAAACAATGTTAAAGTCAGTGTTACCGGTTTATTTTCATATTTTTCCTGCTTTTTCCCCCCAACTGTGGTTCCTAGGTGAACCTAGGACCTCATCTTGAAGGGCATGTCCTTTTCCACTGACCTGTATTCCTGCTGCATTTTCATGCTAGTGGGAAACCAGTTGAATTCATGACCCACTGATGAGTTGAGATCCACAGCTTGAGAAGCCCTAACCTGGATATTTGTGACCCGTTCAAGAATGGGGCCCCTCATAAAACATGTCACATACATTCTTATAAACATTGGTCTACGGCCAGTGTCGGCAAACACCAGCCAGACTACTTGTTTTTGTAAAAAAAATTTTTTTTAAACAGAGAGTTAGACAGGAGTCAACTCAAGCCAGTCATAGCAAAACGTGTTTCTTCTCCTGGCCTTCCTCCCCCTTCCAATTGGTCTTTCGATTAATTTCAAGTTTGAGAAGACATCAGATGAGGATAAGAACCCGCCATATTCACAGAGTAAGGTTTATTGTCACCACTTAACCATTTGGAGGAACCCAGAGTCTGATCAGCGAGGCACCCACAGTGGCAAGCTTTAGGGTGGCGAGGAGAACCCTAACCGATGAAAAGAGTTCTGAGAGATCGAATAATTTGTTGGAACTGAGGAGTTCTGGAAGATTTTTCAGGTGGCTTTAATATGCTGCTTAACTATGAGCAGAGAATTGGGGACAGCGTGCATCACATGTAGTGGTTATTTATTAAATGAATAATGGGCTGTTTTAATTGGATGAGGGAATTTCTAATAGGTAGTGGGGGAGAGGCAAAGTGGATAGGGGATTTGATTTACCTTGCAAGTGACCAACATAGCTTTGATCCCCAGCACCCCATATGGTCCCACTAGCCCTCTAGAAGTGATCCCTATGCATAGAGCCAGGCTAAGCCCCGAGCACTGCCAGGTATGGCCAAGAAAAAGAAAATAAGTAATTATAAGGTGAAGCAGTGTTTTCCAACCTTTTTCCACTGCGGACCTATGGTTGTAGGGCGCTGATAAAAAGGGAATGGTTTGATTGAGAGACCAGAAAGGCAGGTTCAGGCCAGACTTAAACGATGTGCTTTGAGAACTAACAGTGGCGAACATCAGGCTGGTTGTGATCGGGTTTATATTTGAGGTCGTTTTAGGGTTGGAGAGGTGAAAATACTTAGCATGTGATTGTGCCATTGTGGTGGCCGGCCTAACCTTGTACAACTGGAGAGCAGTGGGCCAGCTTTGAGGGGTGCCTTGAAAGGCCCCTAGGTGGGAAGTGGAACAGGACGACGCTGAAGACAGAGGTGAGTAAGGAGGATTGTAAGACCAGGTTGATGACTCAGAGCGCGGGAGCTCAGGCTCTGCTACAAGAGGCCCAGGTCCACCGGAAGTGGGGTGTGGGGGACAGACTGTAAATACCAGACAGATTAAGATCAATAAGTTAATAAGTTGGAGACTGGGGACTGGAGTGATAGCACAGCGGGTAGAGTGTTTGCCTTGCATGCAGCTGACCCGGGTTCAATTTCCAGCATCCCATATGGTCCCCCAAGCACTGCCAGGAGTAATTCCTGAGTGCATGTGCCACCACGATGGCACAATCACATGCTAAGTATTTTCACCTCTCCAACCCCAAAACGACCTCAAATATAAACCCGATCACACCCAGCCTGATGTTCCCCACCGTTAGTTCTCAAACCCCTGTGCAACGTCGGATGTAACCCAAAATAGTTGGAGACCTGAGTTAAAGTGCCAACCTTGAAGCTCACCAGTATCATCTAGAAAATAGAAGTGATGGCATCTCGCCCGCACAGCAAAGCGTGGCAAGCTACCCGTGACGTATTCAATACGCCAAACACAGTAACAAGTCTCACGATGGAGATGGTACTGGGCCCACTCGAGCAAATCGATGAACAATGGGAGAACAGTGAGAGTGAGAGAGCGTCATCTTCCCCTGGGGCAGTTAGGAGACATGGTGGGGAATCAAGTGCCCACTCGACCCCTGGCACAGGGCGAGTGCCCGACAGATGTGTCACCTGAGAGGAAGGAGACTAACACATCAGTTCCCTGGAGCCCTTACAGGGACCTACCCCCGCCGCCTGCATGCTTACCAGCCTTCCTCTCACAGACTCAGATGCCACTGCGTCCTCAGATAACAGCGAGACGGAGGGGACGCCCAAGTTGTCGGACACACCAGCCCCCAAGAGGTGAGGAGAAGCCATCATTGGGGGCGGGGGGGGGGACACGCACTTCCTAGTTCCCACTGACCCTCCCCTGTCCTTTCTTCAGGAAGAGAAGCCCTCCACTGGGGGGTACTCCCTCCCCCTCCAGCCTCTCCCTGCCTCCTTCAACAGGGTTTCCCCTTCAGGCCTCCGGGGCCCCCTCCCCATACCTGAGCTCGGTGAGTCGGGGTCACGGGTGGTCAATGGTGACTGAGCTATCTGGGGAAAAGGCGGGCATTCCTTGGGCAGAGGGTCCAGGCCTCAGGGTATGACTGGCCAAATCTGGGGACATCTGCCTGGGTGTGGCCAGCAAGGCCCCTTGAAGGGGAATGAGTGGGGCCTGCCCATCTCTCTGGTCACGGGGGTCAGGTATGCCTGAGGAGAGCAGACCCCAGGACGAAGTCCTGCTGCTGTCCCCTGCCCTTGCGTTCTCAGGAGCCACACTCATCACCATCTCTTGTTTTTCCATTCTTCCTCCTGTTTGCATTTCTTCCCGTCACCCCCACCCGATCCATCCATTCCCATCTCCATCCCCACTCCCGTCCGCAGCTGGCTTCCCCCCCCTACCCCCCATTCCCTTCTGACTGCCTGGCCCTGCAGCTGCCCGAGCCCAGCCCCCTGAGGCCCAAGCGGGAGAAACGGCCCCGCCTGCCCCGGAAACTCAAGGTACCCTGATTTGGGGGTGTTAGGGAGGGGCCCGAACGGCAGGAGGCCAGCTGAGGGAGGCTTGAGGGGCTGGGGGCTGAGCCGAGGGCTGGATTAGAGAAGACCTGACTCCCAGGCTTAGTGTGGAGACGGATCGGAGGCAGGACCAGCTTGGGTGGGGTTTGGATGAAGATGCTTTTCGCCACTGCAGTGCAGCTGGGGGTCAGTCTTAGTTTTCACAGGTCGGGGTCTGTGATGCCATGCAGTGAAGTGGGTTCTAGCATCAGCAAAGCTTCACCATTAAAAACCACTCGTGCACGGTCTCCTAGTTGTGTCTGTCAAATGAATGCTCAGAGCACAGGCTACCTGAGGGCGTGTGTCTGCAGTACGTGCTAAGAGCCAGGCCCCGTCCTCATGCCACCAAGACACAAAACCCCTGGCCATTGGGTAGGGAACGTGCTGCCCAGGAGGCAGAGACTAGACGGGAGAAATTAGCATCGCGGCTGGCACATGGCAGCACGCAGAGGATAGGAAGCACCGTGTAGATGGCGGTGATGTTCAGGCATGGGTGCTCAGGGATGTTCTTGAGAGAAATGGGATCCGGCCATGTGGCTCTCAGAACATGCGGAGGCCCTGAGGAGTGTGTTTCGTGTGTTCAGAGACTAGGAAGAGATCCCATGTAGTAAGAGGAAGTGAGAGGCAAGCCCATGTTTAGGCCTTGTGGTGGTATAAAGGCTTAGGGTTTGGGGCCAGAGCAGTATGGACAGTGGGGAAGGCACCTGCCTTGCACACAGCTGACCTGGGTTCGATCCCCAGCACCACATGTGGTCCCCCAGGCTCACCCAGGAATAAGTCCTGAGCATTGCCAGGTGTGCCTCTACCCCCCCCCCCTACCCCCCCAAAAAAAAAAGCGGGTAGGGCATTTGCCTTGCATGCAGCCAACCTGGGTTCGATCCCCAGCATCCCATGTGGTCCCCCAAGCACTGCCAGGAGTAATTCCTGAGTGCCAGGGCAGGAGTAACCCCTGTGCATCGACTGGTGTGACCCAAAAAGAAAAAAGCAAGCAAAAAAAAAAAGGCTGGAGCTTTGCTGAATGAGGCACTGGAGAGGTAGGACAGAGAACAATTCTAGTCTGAGTTCCATGGGGACAAGATCTTTGGCCTTCTGTGGGGGTGAGCAGTGTCGGGCAGGAGGTTGCTGCCGTAAGCACTAGCACAGTAAGCATAGGAGAGGCTGAGCGGTGGGTCACTAATGTGTTTTGAAGGAGCCCCAGGAAGATTGTGTGAGCTATAAGAGCAGAAGCCAGGAAGACTCCAGGCTACGGCACTTGCCCAGCTGACTTGGGAGAGCAGGTTTGGGAGGAAAGAGGAGTTGGTCCGGAGAAACTGATGATGTGAAACCATGGGCTCTGGTGAGCCTGAACACCTGGCTGTGTACTTGGAAAGATGTGTGGGAGGTGACTGCAGGTGGGGCCTGCATGAGAATGGGAGGAAGAAGGCGGCTGCAGTGGTCCCAGAGAGATGAGACCCAGGGACGGCAGTGCCCCAGGCAGGAACCATCCTGGACAGCTCTGCAGTTGGGGGCGCTGATGACCCCAGATTCTGGCGCTGATGGTGGTCCTTAGTGTGAATTCTGTAGCTCAGTCTCTGCCCTGCCAGCTGCCCTTTCTCTGTACGGATCAGAGGTTTTGCTTTTGACCTTTTGGGCTAGTTAGTGCTAAGTGTCGCCTGGCGCAGATGGGCAGAGGTATGAGGTAGAGTAGTTTGAAGAGTCCTACTCAGATTATATCTTGAAGTACAGAGGTCAGGGGTCAGGGCATGTCGGGGAGAAGATGTTGGCTGAAAGGGGGTCGGTGGGAAAGGCCTGACAGCAGTGGTCAGCTCGTTTGGGTTTTGGGTAGGGAAGATGTGGACATTTCCTAGCTGCCACCACAATGACGGTAACACGGCGGAAATGTTGGGGCTGGGGCAAGGGAAAACATTGGAGAAGGAAGGAAGGAACCGGGACAGTGCTGTGAGGAGAGGGTGTCACAAGTCTCCGGGGTGCTGGCTGAGGGGACCAGAGGAGCTGATCTCAGCAGAGGAGGGAAAACTGTGAAGGCTGAACAGGTCGTTCACAGCCTGGTCCTCAGCTCCCAGGTTTGAATCCCAACTCTCCATTTCTCGTCACATGACCTGTGCTTGCCATTTGGCCTTAGCTTCCCTTCAGCGGGGGTTGCTGGGGATAAAGTGAGTTAAGGGGGGCCAGAGTGATAGCGCAGTGGGTAAGTGATGCCCAAGACCCCCCTGTGTGATCCCTCAGCACAGCCAGGAGTAAACCCTGAGCACTTGCTTTGAGGCCCTGGTGTGGCCTAAAAATGGAAAAGGAAATAAGTGAGTTCAGGGAAAGAAAACACGGCGCCCAGGCCTTGGTCCCTAGTAAGCTGTAGATAAATTTCCTCTCCTCTTGGTGTCACTGAAGAGGTCATCGAGCAAGTCCACGCCAGGATAGAGCCAGGGGATAAGGATGGAGTGGAGAAATAGCCAGAGGAGGACAGCCAGAGGACGACAGTTGGAGGAGGGGGACGGGGAGGGGGGACAGCCAGGGGAGGACAGTCAGATGAGAGGGACAGACAGAGGAGCTTCCCTTTCCACTCACAGTATCTGCCCACAGTGGCCTGGTACTGGGTGCAGGGGTGCTGCTTGGAGCTGCGCCTCTTGTCTCAGCCATGGCAGACTCTTGCAGTTGGCTCTGCTCTGCTCTAGCAACCTCTGCCCCCCAGGAGCAGCAGAGGGTAGGGGCTCCCGCAGTGTCCTAGGGTCAGGAATTAGGGGGTCGGGGGTCCCCACAAGCCTCTTTCCGCAGGACTCTGTTCCAGAGTAGGTTTCCTTCTCAGGCCAGTAGCTTCACCTCTGTCCTTAGGGGGTGGAATGTCAGACATACAGAAGTGAGCTGGCAAAGTGCACAGCAGGGTGGGCTAGAGTCTTGAGCAGACCCCAGGGCCACTCCAGGAGGAAGGACAGCCTGTCCTCAGGCGCGCTGCGGTCGGGGCAGCACAGAGAGTGACGCGCAGAGGTTTGTGTTTTAGAGAGCTCACTCCGGCTGCAGTGTGGAGGCGGAGCCGGATCGGGGAGAGGCTGAAGGCAGGGAGTCCCGTTAGGAGGCTGGTACCGCAGCCCAGGTGAGCTGAGAGGACGGCCTGGTCCAGGTCACTGGCTGCAGGGATCCCGAGGAGGGGCCCTTCTGACTTCTGGGAGTTAACTGCCTCCCAGCGGGGGGGTGGTGCAGACCTATGACAGCCCCCCCAACCAGCCCAGTGAGCCCCAGTAGGAAGAGGGAGCCAGGGGTTCCCAGCGGACTCTGGCTCCAGCGCTGTCCCCGGCCATCTCTGCTGATGTCCTGTAAGACGGCCCCCCTTCATCTCACCTCCATCACTGCCATGCACCCCCAGTCACTTGAGGCTCTTAAGGGGCTGAGGTGGGGCAGGCAAGCCCCCAATTCCAGTATGAGCTGGCCTGGCTGTGTTCACTTACCCTGGGTGTATCTTTGCCCACCCCCCCAGAACTGCATTCAGGGGCTGCGCCAGCCCCCCGAAAACCCCAGCACCTCCCTGAACAGCCCTCCCTGTGTTTCTTCCCCCACTGCAGATGGCCGTGGGGCCTCCTGACTGCCCGGTGGGAGGCCCGCTGACTTTCCCAGGCCGGGGGGCTGGGGCTGGGGTGGGGGCATCCCTGGCCCCACTGCCCCCCCCCAAAATGCCCCCTCCCACGATCCTGAGCTCCGTCCCTCAGCAGATGTTCAGCGATGCCGGCAGCGGGGATGATGCCCTGGATGGGGATGATGACCTGGTGATTGACATCCCGGAGTGAGGCCAAGAGCACAGCTTCCGCAGAGACGTTTATTCATTTATTGATGCCCAGTTGCCATGCTACGGCCACTGACACAATCAGAAAAGGCGTAAACATGCACTGATGTCCCCGGGAGGTGACCCTCACCAGGGGACAGGGGCCCTGTGCTCCCATCCCGGCCCCATCGGGACAGTACTTGGAGGGAGTGGCCGGGAGCATCTGTCCCCTTGAGAGGGACAGAGACCTTGTGGTGGCCCCTGTAGAGGGCAGCTGTACAGGGCGAGGTGTTCTTAATGAAGATTCTCTATTAAAGGAGTGGCTCCGGTTTATTTTGTCCTTTGCTTGTCTGGAAATTCTCCTCCTCCAAACCCCCCCTAATCCATCCTCTTCCCTGTGTAGGGAAGGGGATGGGGCAGCCTGGAGAGGCAGGAGAAAGGAGCAGCAGCTGGAGCCTGCGGGGGCACTGACCGGACCCCCAGGGGTGGGGGGGCACAGGATGGGAGGTTTGCATATTTGCGAAGTAGCGAGTCAGGCAGGAGGAAGTTTGCATATGTGAATACAGATCTCCACAGTCCCTCACAAGAAGACAGACCCACGGTCACGGAGACTCTCACAAAATAAGACAGGTAGTGCAGGGCGGGGCGTGCGCCCCATGTAAACGTGCAACACACTCGTGCGAAGGGCTTGGGGCCAGGCCCTGGGCCAAGGGCATGTGCTGGAGGCCTCTGCCCACCTCAGGCTGAGGAAAGCGCCCCGGCTGCTGGCGGCAGCTCATTGGTCAGGGTGTGCCAGCGCTCCAGGGCCACATCCGGCTGCTGCAGACAGTCGCTCCAGTGCTTCCGGGCCTCCCCCCGGGCTCCTGGCCCCAGGGACACGCCACCTGGAAAGCAGGCACAAATAGCAAAGTCAAGACCCTGCTCACTACCCCCCTACCCCCCAGCACTGTCCCCCCACCCTTACCCACCCAGACTTTTCCCTCACCGATAAAGTCATTGGATTTGCCAATGTCGTAGTCCCAGACCGTGACTTCCAGCGTCTTGGTGGCTAGAGCAGAGAGCTCCATCTCATAGAAGAACTCCTGGACCAGACAAAGCCCACCTTTCAGGCAGTGCTGCCCCTACCCAAACCCACCGGGCCCTGTCCCTGATTACCTCATTAAACTCCGGGTTTAGTGTCTTCTTCTTCACGCAGGTCTTATGCTTGGATTTCTTATCCACATCGGGCCGCAGGTATCTGCCAGGGCAGAGGCAGGGTACAGCTGTCAGGGCTAGAAATGGCGGGGGCGGGGGGGATGCGGAGGGGCATTGGACAGGGCAAGGGCTCACGTCTTGACATAGGGGTCTGAGTAGCCATTGACATCCATGGCAGCCAGGTGGGCACAACGTAGGATGCCCACCAGCAGCCCCCGGCGCTGCGTGCTGTAACTGAGGCTCAGCAGGATGCGTCCGCGCTCCTCCAGCAGCCCTGGCCCTTGTTCCACCTGTTCCAGCTGCAGGGCAGACATGATGGGTCAGCTGCAGCCTCTCCACATCCCGCCCAGCCATGCTCCCGGGCACGCCCTCACCTCCTTCAGGTAACATGAGATGCCTCTCAGGGCTGCCGACATGGAGGAGGGTGAAGCCAGCTAAGAATACAAAGAAAAAGTTCTGGGCATCTGGCCTCCGTGGGGTCCCTCCCACAGACACCTGGACTGACCGGGACCTGGCGCTCCAGGCAGATGTTAAAATGCTTCTTCTGGGAAGGCTTGAGGCGGCGGAGGGGTACACGGATCTCCCCAATGAATTCATTGTGGCTCAACTTGTCCTCGTCACAGACAGAGATCCTGGCAGGGAACTGGGGTCAGGGCCACCTGATGTGGGGTGTGAGGCTCACACCTCTGACATGTCTGTCCCCTTTATTAGGGGTGCTCCCAAGCAATGCTCAGGGGCCTCTAACAGCAGCACCAGGCTGTTGGTGCCTGAGGATGGCACTCTCTGGGAATAGAACCTGGGTCCATGTGCCTCAACCCCACACCTCCTTTTCTGTGCATAGACCAAAGCCAAGCCTGGGGAGACACAAGTCCCGTGAGAAGTGATTGTTTCCACTTCATCCCCTTGCGGCAGTCACTTGGGCAGTTGTGTCACATGGGGCTGCCAAAGCTCAGCCTTGTCAGGTACTTGCGTGTCCGTGAGCAAGTGACCTGGTTAACCTACCTCTGCTTAGTTCCTGACTATCAAAGGCACTAGTGCGTTCCACTTCCAGAGCTGCTGGAAACTCATTTCTAAAAGGATCTAGCAAAATCGATGTGAAAATGCAGTATGGCTGTCTCCTCTTGCAATAAAGCCATTGGAGAGGGGAACCTCATTCTCACAGCAAAATGTGGGGCCAGCCTTTCCGCTTCCTGCTTTCCTCCCACCTCCATCCCCCCACCCCCACCCCAGGGGAAGCCTTGAGAAGCACAGCCCTGCGCATGCCCTTGTACAGGCCCTTCTGGAGCTCCTGAGTGCTGAGAGCAAGGGGACAGGGCTAGTGACACCCTAATTTAGCTCCTTAGAGCTGCTATGGGGGTCATGGGAAACAAGAGCTCTAATATCTAGCTATGTCCTAAGTTGGGGTTCTCTGAAGAATTTGGGGGAACCAAAGAAAGCTTTCAGGAGGTGAAATCTCAGAAGGTGGATGAGGTTTCAGCTGCTGAAGCCCCAGGAAATGCTCTCCCAGAAGGAGCCATTCGGGCAGGCACTGAAGAGGGCAGTCGCTGTTGGGGGTCTGGGGAAATGGGTGCCTGGGCAAGAGACCTGCTGCCGTAGGGGATGGACTGGGAGCCACTGAGATCTTGAGCAACTGACAGCCTTTGTGGAGGAAGACAAGCAACCATACCAGCTGTCACAGGCTAAGGGCGCCCTCACCTGAGCACCTTGTGGGTGATGTCATCATCCGTGATCCCGCTGTAGGTCAGGTCCTCATTCCACACGGGATTCAGCGTATTCCTCTGAGTCTTCGTTTTCAGCTTGTTGGCCTGCGGGGGTGGAGAGGTGCTCCAGGACACACGGACAAGATCAAGAAGGGGACTAGAGCAGACTAAGGGGGAGATTGTAGAGGCAACTGAGTGGGAAAGTGAGGAGGAGGAAAAACAGAAGACTGAGCAGGGGACAGGGTGGGAACTGAGGAGAAAACTGAGGAGGGGACTGACTGGGTAGCTGACAGGGGAAGCAAAACTGAGGTAAAAACAGGAAAAGACTGGAAGAAGGTTGGGGGGGTGGAGATTGAGAAGGGGACTGATGAGGAAACTGAGGAAAAAGACTGAGAAGACTGGAAGAAACTGAGGAGAGGAGTCTCCGGGAAATTGAGGCGACTGAGTGGGAGACTGAGAAGGCGACTTAAGTGGGAGACAGAGGAGGGGACGGAAGGAGAAAGGAAGCTGAAGAAGAAATGGGGAGATTGAGGAGACTGCGGGTAAGACTAGAAGTGACTAAGGGGAGATTGAGGAGGGAACTGAGGAGACTAGACTGGAGGAGACTGAGCAGGAGACAGGTGGGGAACTGAAGAAAGGACTGAGGGGAAAACTGAGGAAGCGGACAGGAATGGACTGATGCAGGGCAGCTGAGAGGAAGAACAGGAGACTGAGTTGCAAGCAGGAAACTGAGGAGACTGGGGAAAACTGAGGAAAAGACAAGTAGAAACCGAGACAAAGACTGAGGAAGAGACTGTGTGGGAGGAGTCTCAAGATTGAAGAGGGGAGTGAAGAGACAGTGGGAGACTGAGGAGGGGACTGGGGGAGACTGAGGAGAGAACTGAAGGGGAAACTGAGGAAACCACTGAGATAAGGACTGGGGGGAGACTGAGGAAGAAACTGAAAGGGAAACAGGTGAAAATTGAGGATGAGATGGGGGGGTGGAGACAGGAGGAGGCTGAGGAGGGGACTGAGGGGGAAACAGGAAAAGAGTGAAGAGGGGTCCTGGCTAGGACAGGAAAAGAGGAGTCTGAGGGAGAAAACTGAAAGGACTGAGTGGGGACAGGGAGACTGAGAGACTGAGGGGAAGACTGAAGAGAATGAGGAGGGGAGAGACAGGAGGAGACTGAGGGGTAGGAGTCTGAGGAAGATTGAGGAGGGGGCTGAGGGGAAAACAGGAAAAGACTGAGGGGAGACTGAGGAGGGGACTGAGAGGAGACTGAAGGGAGAATGAAGAGAGGACTGAGGAGAAGATGGGGGAAATAGAAACAACTGAGGAGGAGTCACGGGGACTGAGGGGACTGAGGAGACAGAGTGGGAGACTGACGGGAAGACAGGAGTTTGAGGAGGAGTTTGATGGGGATATTGAGATGACTTTGGGGCAAACAGGAAAAGACCAAAACAGGGAATGAGGGGGAAACAGAAAAAGTGAGAAGAACTGAGGGGAAACTGAGGAGGGCACAGAGGAGGAGACTAGAGAAGACTGAGGAGGGACTGAGGGGAAGATTGAGGAGGGGAACTGATGGACTGAGAAGACACTGAATGGGAGAGACTGAAGGGGAGATGGAGGAGGAGGCTGAGGATGGGACTGAAGGGAAGACTGAGGAGGAATCTGAGGAGGGGGTTGTGGGGGAAACAGGAAGATGAGGAGGGCACTGAGCAGGGAAGGAGACGGAGGGGAACACTGGAGAGTCTGAGGGGATTGAGGGGGAGACTGAAGAGGGGACTGAGTGGGAAACAGGGAGAGACTGAGTGGAGCTTGAGGGGGCTACTGAGGGAGAGACTGAGGAGGGGACTAGTGGGAAACAGGGAGAGACTGAGTGGAGCTTGAGGGGGCTACTGAGGGGGAGCCTGAGGAGGAGACTGAGGAGGGGACTGAGTGGGAAACAGAGACTGAGTGGAGCTTGAGGGGGCTACTGAGGGGGAGACTGAGGAGGGGACTGAGGAGACTAAGTGGGAGATGGAGAGACTGAGGGGGAGACTGAAGAGGAGATTGGAGGAGACTGAGGGGAAGACTGAGGAGGGGACTGAGGGAAACTGAGGAAGCGATCAAGGAGGGGACTGAAGGGCTGGGGGGAGACAGCGGGGCAGAGACCGGAGGCCGAGGGAGAGAGGAGCCAGCCGTACCTTGCAGGCTCCCGGCAGCAGGTGCAGCTTGACATAGGGGTCCGCCAGGCCGTTGAAGTCCATGGGCTTGAGGCCCTAGAGAGCAGGGGTGGGGAGGGGTCGTGAGCTCCCACTCTTGGCGAGGCTGGCTCCTCGGAGCGGGGCGTGGAGCGCCGGGAAGAAAGGTGCATTGCGGGGGGTGGGGGAGGGGGCCGGGCCGGGGAGGCGGAGGGGAGGGGAGGGCCAGCCCCCGGGCGCGGGTGCCCACCTTGGCTCTGAGGATGCTACAGTGCAGCGTGCAGGAGGCCTGGTCGTACAGCAGATCGAACTCCAGCATGCCCAGGGCGGCTGGGGGAGGGAAGGCGGCGGCCGCGTTCACACAGGTGTGTCCCCGGGAGCAGCCCCGGGCCGCGGCCCCCGCCCCGCCCGCCAGCCCGGCCCGCCGCCCCCCGACTCACTGGTGTCGTCCGAGTCGTAGCTGTCCACCTCGGCCCCGTCCTCCGGCGTGGTGGCGCCCAGCAGCGCGGCGGGGGGCGCCAGGGCGAGCGGCGCCAGCCCCGCCGGGCCCTCGGCGCAGCCCCTGCCGCCCCCCTCGGGCCCGGCCGCCCGGCGGGGGAAATAGTCGGAGATCTGGCGGATGGGGCGGATGGGCCCGGGGCACACGTTGATGGCCATGTGCTCCTGGATGTTGATGGCCATGCGGTCACCCCTGCGGCCCCTCATGCAGCCGCCCTGGCTGGGGAGGGGGCGAGCGTGAGCGCCCGCTCCAGCCCTCCGGCCGGCCACCGCCCTGGTCCGGGACGACGACGACGCCGACGAGCGCGCGGCCCCCTCGCGGGTGCTCGGCTCGGCCTCGCCCACCCGCCTCGCCGGGCGCTGCCCCAGGCCCCTCCTCTGTCTGCGGCTCCGGCCCCTCCGCGCCCGCGCGCGCCTCGCCCCCGGCGCTCCCGCGGCCCCCGGGCCCCGCCGCCCGACGCGGGGACCCCGCCGTCACACACGCGCGCCCGGCGCCCCGCGCTGCCCCGCGCCCGCGGCCCCCGCACCTGTCTCGGGCGCCAACAGGTGCGCAGCGGCGCGGGGGGCGCGGGCGGCGGCGGCGGCGGCGGCGGCGGCGGGGAGGGGGCGCCGCGGAGCTCACACCCGCGCCCGGACCCCGCAACTTCGCGCACCCCCCACCCCGCGAGCGCCGCCAGGGAGACCCGGGCCCCCGCCCCCGCCCGCGACGCCGGGGCCCCGGGGTCCCCCGGGCCCGACCACCGCTGGTTGCCATGGCGACGCGGCTCCCCCCCCCCCCGCAGGCCCCACCCCCGCAGAGCGCCGAGGGGGGGACGCGCCCCCCCCGCCTGCTCCGTGGGGGCGGGACTGCGGGGCGGGGCCTAAAGCACCGCAGTGACCGGGGGCCCGGCGGGGACGCGGTCCCATCCCCCCAGCCGCTGGCCTGAGTCTCCCCGGGACCCCTGGGGCCCCTCAGGAACTTCCGGGCTGTGACCTCCCCACCCCGCCTCCCGTTGGCTGTTCTTCTCTGCTCCTTGTGCACCCCCCCAGTCCTAAAGCCAGTGTCCCCTTCCTCAGCATGACAGCTCCCCTTCTGTCCTTGAGGCCGGAGGGTGTCAGGTCAGGCCGAGGCGGAGCGCACAGGCTTCATCTCTCACGGGACCGTACCACCTGTCTGAGACTCCAGCCTCTGCTCTCAGCCCTAAACTTGCCCTACACATGCATGCCCCTGCAGAGCCCTCCGTGGAAACCCTGCATCCCTCTCCCTCGCCTTCCACTCCCGTCACAGGCTGGCATACTATCCTTGCAGTTTCTGGAACACTCTGGACCCCTCAGGCCTCTGGGCCTCCCGCGGCAACTTCCTTCCAGGACCTGCTGTGCAGTCAGACCCAACTCTGACAGCCCATTCGCCATGACCATACCTGTTTCCCCTCCTCCGGAAAGTGCACAATGAGCAGAGTTTGCCAGCAAAGGACCTGGAACAAGTTGGCATCACCAAGTCATACTGTGGGTTCATGGGCGGGAGCAGTAGGACAGTGGGTAGAGCGCTTGGCTGCACAGGTTCAATCCCCCGCATCCCATATGGTCCCTCAAAGCACTTCCAGCAGTGATCCCTGAGCGCAGAGCTAAGCTCTGAGACCCACAAAATGTAACCCCCCAAAAAACAAACACTGTGATTTGAAATCAATAGGAAGTAATAGAAGTTCAGTGTTTATCACTATGTTTAGAATGAGAAATAATTAGAAACAACCTGGCACCCATAGTCTAGGGACAGGGTCAGCCATCTACAGCTATGACACAATGACACAATTTTATACCATGAAATCATATGTAGGAGCTAGAGCGATAGTACAGCAGGTAGGACGTTTGTCTTGCACGCGGTTGACCCGGGTTCGATTCCCAGCATCCCCCGGGCACCGCCAGAAGTAGTTCCTGAATGCAGAGCTAGGAGTAACCCCTGAACATTGCTGGGTGTGACCCAGAAAGAAAAAAGAAAAAAAGAACATATGTGGCCTTGACAGAGGGAGAGGCTGGGTGAGGCGCAAGTGAGAGTGAGGTGAGCACTAGAGTTCTGGTGACTGAGGTCAGGGTCCTGGGAGAAAGGGGAGGAGAACAGGGGAGTGCTGGGCATTTGCTATTTGTCCCTCAGTTCTGAAAGGCTGTACAAGAAGGTGACAGCTGTGGTGACCTGTGAGGGAGTTACGAGGCAGGGGAGGGCAGGAAGAGCAAAGAGGTAGTTTTCGACCTTCATCATTTCATGCCCGCATTACCTGTTCAGTTAAACAGTGTCTTTTGTTTTGCTTAGGGCTCACTTCTGGAGGGCTCTGGGGTGCCAGGAATGAAACCCAGATTGGCCATGTATAAGGCAAACACTCTACCCATAGTATGTGCCAGACACAGTAACAACAAAGTCTCCAACGGAGACGTTACTGGGCCCGCTCGAGCAAATCGACGATCAACGGGAGGGCCTTTACCTTTACCTTTACCTTTTTAGTTTTATACCACACCTGGTGATGCTCAAGGCCTACTTCTGCGATTAGAGATCACTCCTGGGGGTTGAACCCACGTCATCTGAGTGAAAGGAAAGCGCCCTACCTGTTGCATTATCTCTCCTGCCCCACATTAACAGTCATTTTTTTTTTCTTTTTGGGTCACACCCGGCGGTGCACAGGAGTTACTCCTGGCTTTGCAGTCAGTAATTAGCCCTGGTGGTGCGCTGGGGACCATATGGGATACTGGGGATCGAACCCGGGTCGGCCACGTGCAAGGCAAACACCCTACCCACTTTACTATCGCTCCAGCCCCATTAACAGTCTTAAGCATGGCAAAGGGCAGTTCCCTTTGGGAGCTCCAGAATAAGAAGGGTGGGGTCAAGGAAAACGCTTTCCAGAAGCAAGAGCTAGGGATCAGAAAGAGAATGGCCTTGATCAGAGGAGGGTGCCTCAGGAGGAACACCAGGGTGCTGCCCCTCCACTGCCTCCTCTTGGGGTGCTGAGCTTGGCCCACAGCCCCTCCAGAGAGCCCTGTTGGAGGACGGTGAACTGGGGCCAGTTACAGGGAATAAGAGTACCAGGCAAGACCTAGCTGCTGAGCGTCTAATAAGAATGGGGACCCCAACTTCCGGCCACAGAGTCTTTTAGGGGGGCTAGTCTCACAGAGCCCATGACCATGAGGCTGATGGATTCACAGAGAAGGGAAACCCCAGGGTCAGGTTCCTTGGGAGAAGTATCTAAGCTCAAGACCTGGACAGTGAGAAGTTAGCAGGGTCAGGTGAGAGGACTAGAAGATGGGCCAGCACTAGGGACAAAGTGGAGAGCCCACGGTGGGTGGACCGGACCATGCAGAAGAAGAAGTGCAGCTCAGCCTGCATCCTGGAAACGACTGTGGGCTGAGGTGGGATGTGTGTTTTGGTTTGTTTGTTTGTTTGGGGGCCACACCTGGCAATGCTCAGGGGTCACACCAGGCTGCAGTCAGGAGTTATTCCTGGCGGTGCTCAGGAGACCATATGGGATGCTGAGGATTGAACCTCATATGAAGCAAATGCCCTACCCGCTGCACGATGACTCCAGCCTCCCACTGGGGTTTTAAGCAGTAGATCCTAGAGTTCTGGATCGTTCCTGCTTGAGGAGGAGTGATGAGGGAAATCAGCCAGATCACGGTGATCCCAAAGAGGTGGTGAGACATGACTGAACTCATGTCTCAGCCACGAAGAGGGTGGGAAGTGACTGGATCTAAGATTTGTGCTGGGAATGGAGCCAATAGGTTTATCAGGCGAGGGTTCGGGGAGGTCTCAGAGGACTCTGGTATTTGTGAGGGGCATCTCAGGAAAGGCAAAACGTGAACTCAGGCAGGGAGGAGGAGCAGATTTTGGGAGGACCACCAAGCATATCATTTGGGATCTCTTGGGATGAGATGTGTTTGGGCATACAAAAGACATGAAACAGGAAGTTGGTAGAAGAGCACAGAGAGGGCTGGGCTGGAAATATACATCCGTGAGTCACCGGCATATCGATGGTATTTAAAGCCGTGCAATGGGATGAGATCACCTAGGGAGAGTCCAGAAAGAAAAGAGAAGGTCTGGGGCCAGAGCGATAGGACAATGGGGAGGGCGCTTGCTTCGCATGTTCTATCCAGGTTCTATCTCCAGCATCCCATATGGTCCTCTGAGCACTGCCAGGAGTAGTTCCTGAGTGCAGAGCCAAGAGTAACTGCTGAGCACTGCCAGTGGTTCAAAAACAAAATAAAAGAAAAGAAAGGGAGGGGGTGGAGCAATAGTACAGTGGGTAGGGCCTTTGGCCTGCATGCGGCCAACCCGGGTTTGATTCCCAGCATCCCATATGGTCCCCCAAGCACTGCCAGGAGAAATTCCTGAGTGCATGAGCCAGGAGTAACCCCTGTGCATCGCCGGATGTGACCTCCCCCAAAAAATAGTAACAAAAATAAAATAAAATAAAAAGAAAGGGCCACAGCTTCTCTATTTGGGTGTTCCTCAACTGACACTAGGATCAGAGTAGGGTGAGTGTCTAGAGGCAGGACGGTTTAGGAGACTAAATGAGCCATTGGACCCAGAGGGATGGGCTTGGTGGATGCGGCCTTCACCTTGGTCTGACGGAGTCAGGTGTGATAGACATGTTAGAATGCAGTGGAGACAGTGCCAGGAGGACTTTGTCTCCGGATGCGCTGCTGAGTTCTGTCCTCTGGGATCCATCCCTGCGGGCAGAAACCCGGCCTTCTCTCTAAGCCCCGCACCCCACAGGAGCGCAGAGCTCACTGGCTGCGTGAGTAGAGGGGTGAGTCACTGCTTAGATTCCGAGGGCCTTTTCCATGAGAGAGTGGGATTCATTTGAGGCGATTGGGGAAACTGCAACATCAGCTGCAAAGGTTAAAGGCTCCAGACTCCTTTCCCAGCTAACTCCAAGGAACAACTGCAGAGTGACCCAGGGCCAGATCCAGGTAAACTGGTGCCCTTCATTCCCTGGGACTGTCATTTCCTCTTACTCAGGGGCTCAGTGTGAGGAAAGAGGCGCCAGAGCCAGGAGGAGGCCTGTAAGTCCAACTCTGCCCCCTTTCCCTTCTCTGGGCTGGTTGGTTTGGTTTGTTTTAGGTTTCTGGGCCACACCTGTGGTACCTAAGGTTTACTGCTGGCTGTCACTCCTGGTGGGCGTGGTGGGCCATATGAGGTTCTAGGGTTCTAACCTGAGTTGTCTCTGGGCTGTTATTTCTGTTGTTGCTAAGAGAATGGCTTCGAGGTGCTGTTAGAGTTGGGGGAGGGTCATCCTGAGAGCAGGTAAGGTGAGGCTGGGAGTCAGGGGTCTGGGGCTATCAAAGGCATCCATGAACTAAAACCAAGGAGACCCTGAAGTGGCCTTGAGGCTGGGTAGGCAGAAACACTTCTGTGACAGACAGCCCGCCTCGCCAATGAGAGTGGAGCTGGCCCAGTAACTGAGAGGGGGCTGCCAGAGAGTGGCCATGGACCACTCCATGAAACATGAAACAGGAAGTTGGGTGAAGGACAGTGACTGACAGAGGCAGAGCCTATTCCTTAAATGTGCAAAGCCCTGAGTTGCTTTTTTTTGGGGGGAGGGGGCACACCCAATGGCATTCAGGGCTTACTCCTAGCTCTGCACTCAGGGACCACTCCTGGTGATGCTCAGGAGACCATATGGGGTGCTTGGGATCAAACCAGGGTTAGTCATGTGCAAGGCAAGTATCCTGCCTATTGTATTATTGCTCTGGACCTTAACTCTTTTTTTTTCTTTTTGGGTCACACCCGGCGATGCACAGAGGTTACTCCTGGCTTTGCACTCAGGAATTACTCCTGGCGGTGCTTGGGAGATCATATGGGATGCAGAGAATTGAACCCAGGTCGGCTGCGAGCAAGGCAAATGCCCTACTTGCTGTACTATTGCTTTAGCCTTCTCTTTTTTTTTCTTAATCTTTTTTTGTTTGGTTAGTTTTGGTTAGTTCTGTTTTGGACCACTCTCAGTGATGCTCAGGGGCTACTCCTGGCTCCACACTCAGGGATCACTCCTGGTGGACTTTGGGGACCATATGGGATCCAGGGATCAAAAACTGCCTCAGTCATGTGCAAGGCAAGTGCCCTACCCACTGTACTATCTCTTCAGCCCTACTCTTTGGGGATGGGGGAGGGGCAGGCACACCCAACTGTACTCAGGGCTTACTCCTTGCTCTGTACTCAGTATCACTTCTGAACAACTCAGACCATATGGGGTGCCAGCGGGATCAAAGCTGGGGTAAGAGCCCTACCTGCTGTACTAAGGTACATTCCTTGAGGCTCTGAGTTTAATCCTCTGGAACACACACACACACACACACACACACACACACACACACACACACAAAGTGACCAGCAATGCCTGAGCAATAGTACAGCGGGTAGGGCACTTGCACTCACCAATCTGGATATGATCCCTCATATCTTGTATGATCCTCTGAGCCTGCCAGGATTCCTGCATGCAGAACCAAGAGTAAGCCCTGAGGGGCTGGAGCGATAGCACAGTGGGTAGGGCGTTTGCCTTGCAGGCAGCCGATGCAGGTTCGATTACCAGCATCCCATATGGTTCCCTGAGCACCGTCACGGGTAATTCCTGAGTGCAGAACCAGGAGTGACCCAAGTCTTGCTGGGTGTGACCCAAAAAGAAAAAGAGAGTAAGCCCTGAGCACCTCTGCGTGTGCCCCCCCCCCAAAAAAAATGAACAGAAGAAAGTGGGGACTGGAGAGAGACTGTGGGACTTCCCTTGGGCGGGGGCTTGAGAAGGCTCTTGTACAAGACCTGCGAGATGGGCCAGCAGCTTCTGACAGCATTGGCCCTGTTCCCCGCAGCAACACGTTTCCCTGCAGCGTCTGGCGCACTTGTGGGAAGAGGCTAACGGCTCAGCGCCTAGAGCCGGGAGCCGAGTCTGGGGCGGGAAGAACAGGAGGCAGGTGTGGATATTGCTGCCACCTTGTGGGCAAAGCCTGTTAGTCCTGGTTCTCTTGGTGGCTTTCTTCTGAGTACTGAAATTGGATTTTTACATTTTTGTTTTTGAGTTTTTTTTTGGTCTTGGGGCCATACCCAGCAGTTGTCAGGGCTAAATCTTCAGGTATTACTCCTGGCTTTGTGCTCAGGGGAGTGAATTACGAGATGCTGGGGACCAAATTATAAGCAAAGAAAGGACCTGACCTGCTGTCCGATGGTCCTGGCCCGTGAGACTGGATTTGGGATCTGGGTCCCTAAAACTGGGGACAGGAGCAGAAAGGCACCTCAGGGAGAAATACAGCCCAGGCTTAAGTGCTCCGGCGCCTTCCTGTCCCCTCCCTGTCTGGGTTTCCTCTTCTGGGTAATGAGGGCACTGGCCCTACAGAGGAGTTTCAGTCGGTGTGAAATGCTCAGCATAGAAACTAGTGTTCCACCAGTGTTACCCTGGTGACAGATAACTGACGGTGTAAGCCCTCCCCACCTCAAGAAATAGGGGGCGGAGCTATTCAAATACAGCTTTCAGGCCTTCAGCGAGTTTGGCGCCTGTTCTGGGCGCCACATGTTTGCTGCCAGCAGCCCGAAGGTTGAAGCTGCGGTTCGCCCCAGCATCTCTCTCTGGGGTAGGGATGAAGAACACCCCCCACCTCCGAGCACTCTCTCTTTGCCCTGGCGCCCTCCGGGCGTGTGTGATCGGAATGGCTCTTGGCTATGACATCACAGAGCCTTCCCAGGCTGGCTGCGGGAGCCCCTGGGGCCATGCGGCTGTGGGTGTGGCAGTGGGCATGGCTGGCTGGGCTGGGGGCCGTGGAAACAGGTGGGCCACAGGTGGGCCGCTGTCCTGGTGCAAGGACAAAGGGGGAAGGCTTGTGGGAGGGGACTGTTAGGCTGTTTACTCTTTGCTTTCCACACTTCTCTCCCTTCTCCCTGATGGTGCCCTCCTGCATCAAGAAGTTTCTAGAACTAACTATCAAGACCCTCCATAGCCACACTGTCTGTGTGACCCAGCAGGGCCGGGAGTTGGCCTCCACCTCTGGGGTGGGGTGCGGGGTGGTTCTGACTCTTGTCAGAAAATTTCATCTGGATCCCCAGCTCCCAGCCTGCAAAGAGCCAAGCCCTGGGCCCTGCCCGCAGAGTCTCCAGACACACCTGACTTCTTTGATTACCCAGACTCGGATCGAGCCGGGCTTCTGGCCGTGGCCAGGTTCATTGGTGAGGACCCCGTCCCATTCTCTGGCTCAGGTATAAACTAGCTCCGGAGGGTCGCCCCGGGGCTGAGCTGGAGATGCTCCAGGACCCTCATTCCTGCCCCGGTCCTGCAGGATCCGGCCCCAGCTTCTTCAACCACATCCTGGTCGGCTCGCTCGTGGTGGCCTTCCTCTTTCTCCTTTTCCAGTTCTGCACACACGTGTAAGCTGCCCTTGCGCCCCTGCCCGTCCACCTCCCAGGCCTTGGGGGGCAGGTTGGCACCTCCCACCGCTGACCTTCTTCGCCAACAGGAGCTTCCAGAAAGGGGCATAAAGAGCTGGCCCAGGACCCTGGAGTGCCAAGCCTGCCTCCTCTCACGCGATGAATAAAAGTCCTGTTTTCTTTGTGTTTGTTTTGTGGGCCACACCTGGTGGTGCTCAGGAGACCAATGGGGAACCCAGGTTGCTGCATGCAGAGCCAGTAACTATCTGCTGTGCTATCTACTCCCCCCCCCCCCCCCCCGTCTCCCCAAAGCACTGGTTCCTTTCTCCCTGATAGCTCAGTGACTGGCCAAGGGCCTCGGTGCTATCCCCAACCTCTCCCCTCCTTCCCAGCCCCCAACAAGTGGGTGAAGAGAGGCGCTTGGTGGCGTTCACGCAGATCGGCTTTATTAGCGGTCTGGAAAGCACCTCCCAGGGTCCCCCGACCCCAGACTGGAGGAAGCCTTGAGAGGTCTGTAGCACCAGGGACATGCCAGGGCCCCAGGGCAAGATGTGCAGCCTAATGGGGAAAGGGCCGGGCACCCCCCGCCTGCCTGCCCTGGGAGTGCTCAACACTGGGAAGGCAGGGGCCAACACCCGCACCCCCACCCCTACCAACTAGTTTGATTTAGGGCAAATAAATAAAATAAATAACTTCCTCAGGCTGGCCTCCCCTGGAGAGGAGTTGTGGGCGTAATGAGCCCCAAGCGAGGCCAGGGGGGAGGGGGCGAGTTAGGGTGCCCCTCCCTCCCAGATGACAGGGAGCTAGAGTTTGCAGCAGGGGGCTGGGGTGGCCATGGCAGCGGTGTCCCCCTCCTTCTTTGACTCCTACTCTCCGGAGCCCTTTGGGAGCCGTCCACACAGCAACCCCCCAAGCCCTCGGAAGATGTCCTTGGTCAGTCCTGCGCTTCTCCAGGGCCCCAGGATTGGTGATCGGAGAAGGGGGTATGCAGGAAGGGTGCGCTGCCCTCAGCTCAGGCACTGCAGGGAGAAGAGACCCCTTTCCCCGCCTTTCCAGTTCACCTGCTTCCTGCGCCCTGCCCCGGGGTCCGTCCGTCTGTCGGTCAGTCCTGGGCGGTCAGGGCCAGAGACCCGGGCTCCCCACCCCCACCCAGCAGTCCCAGAGCCCGGTTGCTACACAGGGGCTGGGGAGGGGGGTGCTCTGGCCCCACCCTCAGTCCTGGTTCGGGCAGGGGGAGGGCGGCGGGGAGCCCCGGGGCCGGAAGAGGCGGCAGGCCCCGCGGCAGATGAGGAAGAACCAGTAGAGCTGAGGGGCGAGCAGCAGCGCGGCGCCCAGGTTGACGTGCGCGGGCAGGGCGAGGGGCACGGCGAGCAGGGGCAGGCCGGCGTGCCGCCCGTAGGCCCAGTACAGGTAGGGGAAGAGCAGCACCCGGCAGCAGAGGAAGCTGAGCAGCATCAAGGCCCCGTTCACCTTGTGCAGCAGCGTGTGCTGCTGCTTGTACTGCGGAGGGGGCGGGGCAGAGGGCGGGGCTGAGATTGGACACCACCCGGGCCGCGCCCCCTGCCCACGCCCTCCATGGCCACGCCCTCCCCGTCCGGGTTAGACCCACGCGCCTGCTTCCGGTCTGCTGCTGCCCAGAAACCCTCCCAGCCCTGCCCCGTGGCGCGTCCGCTAAAGAACCCCCTCCCCAGGTCCCTGCGGAGGACCCTCCCGTGCCCTCTCCCCTCCACGATCCATCGGGAACCCTCTTACCTGGATGAGGATCTTGCCGAGGCAGACGAAGGGGGTACTGACCTCTGCCATCAGCAGGCAGCCCAGGAAGAAATCTCCCTTGCCCTGACGCCACACCTTCGAGGGGATAGCAAAGGAGCTCAGCCCCCATCCCACCCCGCACGCCCTGCCCGCTCCGCTACCCGCTACCCGCAAGCCTCCTTCGGAGATGTTCAATTCTGCAAGTCTGAACCGTGTCAGGGCGAGACAGGACGGGGAGGGGGGTGGGGTACATCTCCCCTATCCCCAACCCCCTACCTCCAGGAGGACTAAGGAGCCTCACCTTGCAGATGGGGGAACAGGTGAGAGCTGTGCAGTGTGGGAGTGACAGGTGCAGCCCCACAGCCACAGTCCAGGCCAGGCTGAGCCCAGCTGCTCTTGCTGTCTGGGGCTGGTGGAGCCTCAGAAAACCCAACTCCCCAACTCGGAGGTGAGGAGGGAGGGTGTGTAATCTCCCTCTGGCGCCCTACTGCTGGGACAGGCTCAGCACCCCCACTCACCACCGACAGCGGGAAGCACACCAACACCATGACGGCGTGGTGGAGCACCATGAGGAACTCCTTGTGCAGGTAGCCACGCACCACGGCCCAGGTGCTGCCAGGGGCGCGGGGACCCCCTTCATCACCTCCATGCCCTTTGACTTGGTGTTTGTGCCAGTGACAGAGGAACATGGCGTAGATATCGTAGATGAAGTAGGGCACTGCGAACTGCGTGTAGGCAGAGGAAAGCCAGTGTCTGTCGGGCAAAGAGAAAGTGATCAAGGGGAAGAGGAGATGGGTAAGCACCTGCCAGGTGGCAGGGTGAGTCAGCCCTCCAGTGACAGTCCACAGAAACCCTGCGACAGAAGTGGACTCTCCAGTTACATGACGGGACTCAAGGGGAGAGGGTGAGAAATGTGTCCAAGTTGGCACCATCATACAGCCGAGCAGTGACAGTGCTGGGATTCAGTCATGCACTGCCTGACTTTCAAACCCACTGGTCATTCATTCATTCATTCATTCACCTGCTTGCTCTGTACTACAATGACTATGATGGCAGAAGAAAAGACACCAGGGCCGGAGAGATAGAATGAAGGTTAAGGCACTGGCCTAGAGTATAGCTGGGGCCACTGAAACTCTGGTTTGAGTCTCAGCACCACATGTGCTCCCCGAGCATTGCCAGGAGCCATCCCTGAGCACTGCCTCGTGTGGCCCCCAAATAAAAGACCAAAAGAGAGTTGCTGACCAAAGGGATGTAAAAAGAGAGCTGGAGTATGAAGCAAACAAGCTCAGATCTGAGACAATTGATCTGTGGGTGGCCACACGTGAAAAATGCAGCAAGCAGACAACCCCTCCACTCCTCACTGAGAGACACCAAAGAGGTGGGGTGCAGTCAGGACAACGAGAGGAACCATTGCTCCATTCCACTGCTGAAGAAACTGAGGAGCCAGATGCTTGGATGAAGTCTAGACATGAGAAGCCCTGGGGCCATAGCGCTGCTCTTAGCCTGCTGACCTGAGGAGCCCAGAGATGGGCAGACAGGCCCTGGGGAAGGAGCAGTCCTATCAGTGCTGCGTGTCCCACTTAATATGGACCCATCTGTGACGTCAGGTCCAGCCAAGCGTCCAGGAGGAAAATGCTGAGTAAAAGAAGCCCAGAGCAGAGAAAGTTCTCAGTGCTCTGAGAGTAAACAAAATAGAAAAGTGCAGGAATGTGCAATATTGCATTTCTGAGTCAGCACAGGGTACCTGCCCTTAAATTCTGGGCTCCAGCCACAGGGCTGAGATGGGGGTGGGGTCAGAGGCAAGCTCAGGAGAGCCGGCCCAGCTAGCTGAAGGGATGAAAGCAAAAGAGCCAGAGGGGACACAGAGGAAAGGCAGAGACCAAGGGAGGGACGGTGAGGCCGGAGAAGATGGAAACAGGAAGTTGGCCCTGGGGAAAAGAGCCTGGAGGGGAGGCTGCCCCTCTACACAGAATTCTGGGAAAGAGTTGCGGAAACCAGGAGGGCAGGGGAAAGAAGAGTGGGTGTGTGGGGGGAACAGTCTCAATTAGAAAGGGAAGAGCATGCAGAGCCCCAATGGAAAGTGGAACAAATTAGAGAAAAGTTAGAGCAGAGGTCAGAGGACAGCCCAAGGGCTGGACATATGCGTTGTGTGGGGACCCAGATTCAACCCGTGACACAGGCAAAGTCCCTAGGGCACTGTCAGGAGTGACCTCTGAGCACAGAGCTGGGAGTAGTCCCTGAGCACAGCCAGGTGTGGAGATGGTGGAGGAGAAGAGAGAGAAAAAAGAAAGCACGTGCGAGAGAAAGAGGAGGTTGTAGAGATAGATATTAAGGCACTTGCGTTGTGTGCAGCCAACTCAGGCTCAGTCCCCAGCATCCCATATGGTCCCCTGAGCCCACCAGGAGTGATTCCTGAGCCTAGAACCAGGAATAAGCCCTGAGCACTGCCAGGTGTGACCCCCAAAAAAGAAAGAGGAAAGAAAGAGAAAGAAAGAAAAAAAAGTTAGAGCAGGGAGTGGTCTGAACCAGCCCCAGGGTATGGGGGAGCCCCCGATTTGTGGGTGGGGGCAAGACATCCATGCCCTGGGTTGCACTGTGAAAAGGGTTAAAGCTCTCCCACTTCTCAGATGCTCCAAAGTCGGCACAGCTGTCACCTGGATTAACCCCGATCCTCTGGTGCACCTGAGGATTATGTGGGGAGGCAAAGCACAGACCCAGGTCTGGGAAGCAGCATCGGAGCTAGAGGTGACCCCGCAAAGAAGGCAAGAGAGGAATCAGAGCAGGGAAGCCAGGCCCTGAGCAGGGGAGGGAGGAGGGCGGGAGGAAGGGAGCCAAGTGGCTACCCAGGGTTGGGTGGGGGGAGAGAGGGGCACGCCTACGGACCAGACCTGCATCCTTCACTCTATACTCTGTTCCCCCTTCCAGGCAGGGGTAGATGAGGGGACCCGTCTAGACCAAAGTCACACACACACCCTGTCCCCGAGGCACAGAGGCCACCAGCGATGGAGCCCAGGGCCAGAAGTTCAGCTTGGGATGTTCTCAGCACCCACCGGGCAACCTCCAGCTGCCTGGGTCACCTCGGCCGGGCCGTCAGCACCACGGACAGGGCCCTCCTCCCTCCTGGGCCCCACCTCCCAGGCGGGCTGTTTTGGCAAGCGCCTGGCACTGCAGCGGTTGCCAGAGCCAAATTCTGGCCTCTTCCCCCTCCCTCTCCCCACTGCCTAACCGTTAGTGGCCTTGTTTGTGTCATCTCTCTTCTCCGGGATTCGGGGAGGAGGTGACGGTGATCCTGGCATGCAGTGGGACGCCCAGGTTGGGTGCTAGTTGGAAATGGGCCTCAGGGACAGGAAGGGAGCAGGAGGAAGGGGGCAAGCGAGCCTTGAGGCTCGGAGATGCAGATGCAAGCAGCCCAGGAGCTGCGGAGAGAAGCCCCTTTGATCTCCACGCCTTCTCCTGCCTCTGACCTTTAAGGACAGGACACGGATAAATTTATCTCTGGGTGTTGAGTTGCAGCTACTGCAGTTAACTTGCTCAAGCCCAAGGGAAGGACTTGGGGACCACTGAAGGCGTCCCCTAGAAGGCTCAACCCTGTCAGAGGACAGACAGACAGACAGACACACACACACACACACACGCACGTGCACACACACAGCCTTCGGGGACAGGACAGGCAGCGCGGGCACTTACTGGTCATCGATGATGTGCTTGCAGGAGGTGGAGACGATGTAGCCAGCTGTAGAGGCCATGACGGCCTGGACAGAGGACACCAGCCTGGCGGGAGACAGGGGTAGGAGCGAAAGAGGCGCCCTGGGTCCCCAACTCTACAAATCCAGTCACCCTGCTTGCTCCCTGCCCATCCGACTCCAGAGTCACCAGCACTGTGCTTGCTCCGGGCTCCCGGGGAGCCCCTACTACTCAGTTCACCCCAGTTCTCCTCCCCAGAAAAGACCATACAGGGGCGCCCTGATCACAGGGCAGTGGGCAGGAAGGACCTGGTGTGGGTCGGACTCCTCATGCTCATCCCCAAATCCCTGCAGCCACTTTCCCGCCCAGCCGCTCCCATTGGCCACCTGGGTCCCTCCCCTCCTGCAGCCCCGGTGGTGGTCGCAGAGTTCTCCTTCATGAAGCTCTGTCCCCTGCGCCCCCAGCCACCGGGAGGCTGGGCAGGAGGCAGCCGCAATGAGCAGGCAGATGGCTGGCGCTGGGAGGAGACCCGGGTCGGGGAAGCCCACCCGTCGCGGCAGGAGCCCCCACTTTCCCACGGGGGACCCCTGGGCCTGGGCGGGACGCGGGCGCACGGGCAGGGGCGCGTTACCTGGCCGAGACAATGACCGCGTCGGCCTCCTCCCAGCGCAGCTGGGGCAGCCGCTGGAGCGTGTTCTTGGAGAGGAGGAAGAGTCCGGGGAACACCACCCCCCCGGCCACCATGGGGGTCAGCATGGTGCCTCGGAGCGACGTGGGGACGGGCAGAGGCGCGACCCGCACAAAGGGGACGGGCTGGGCCGGCGGCGGGGCCGAGGACGCGGGAGACCGAGTGCGCCGAGCCGGGAGCGGCGGGGAAGGAGGACCCGACGCGGGTGGCGGGAGGGAGGGACACGGGAGCGGCCGGAGCGGCGGGAGGAGCAGGATGCGGCGGGGGAGGGGAGGCGGCAGGTGGGGGGCTTACGTGAAGGAGCCGGGAGGCGGGGTGCGGGCGGGGGTGGGACCGAGGAGCCCGCCCAGCGGGGGGGCCGGGCCCGCGGTCCTTAGTCAGCACGCGGTCGCCGCCGGTCCCCGCGCCCGGCCCGGGCTATCCCGGGCATTCTGGGGAGCCCCGCGCCCAGCCCCTGCCCCCTCGGAGGGGAGGGGGCGGGGAGGGAGGGGGGGAGGCTGGCACCGACCAGACACACCGAGAAACCGGACCTGCGGCAGCGCCGCCCCACGCAGCTCTGAGCCACCGCGGCTGCGACAGAGCTGGGGGGAGCAGGGACCGAGGGAGGGGGAGGCCCTTAAAGAGACCGCAGCGCGGCGGGGGCCGGGGGCCCCCCGAGGCCGCCAGGGAATAAGTTAAGAGCCCCTCTCCCCCTCGCAAGACCCTGCCTGCAGTTGATTCGCTCCATGACTGCAGAGAGATCCTCGGGGATCCGCCCGGGACCCCACCTAGGGCGCCCCTTCAGCACCCTGCAGAGCAAGGAGCCCTGGCAGGAGGGAGTGGGAGAGGCGCATCCGGCCATCTCGCATGGGATAAACCAGCTGCTCATATTGTCCTGTGGGCTCAGAGACTCCCCACTCTAAGGAGGCATGGTGGGGGAAAAGGCCACCCCCCAGTCTAGAAATGACCCTGAGGCATTAAGTGACCCTTCCAAGGTCACATAGTTAAGAAGCGGGAGGAGGGCCCAGAGCCCAGAGCGATGGTACAGTTGGAAGGGTGGTTGCCTTGCACATCGCCAACTCGGGTTCAGCCTTGGACAATCCGGTTCCCTGAGCCCCTAGGAGTGATCCTTGAGCTCAGAGTCTGGAGTAAAGCAGTGAGCACTGCCGGATGTGGCTTCCCCAAACAGAAAATAGACCAAAAGAGTGACAGGAAGGCCAGAGCAATAGGATAGCGATAGGCAGCTTGTCTTGAATGCAGCTGACCTGGGTTCAATTTTGGGCATCCCATATGGCTCCCCAAAGTAATTTCTGAGTGCAGAGCCAGAAATAACCCCTGATCACCACTGGGTATGCCCCCCCGAAAAAAAGTGACAGGAGTCCTTGAGGTACTAGAATGATGTAGGGTCTGAGGGGAGGAGTGTGCATAGGAATCACAGAGACCTGCCTAGTTTCTGGTCCCAGTGCCTGGTGCTGCTGGCTTCTCTCCTCTCAGAGCAGTCAACTCTCCTGATGGTTCTGTGCTGGTCACTTTCCTCAGACTCGGGTGGGGAGGGTCTCAGGGACTGGCTAGCTCAAAGCCCCTCTGGCCAGTGACTGGGCCAGGGTCATAATGCAGGGTGAGGCCCCGCCAGAACCAGAGCCTTCCTCCTCACTGCTGCCCTCCCTGGCCCGCTGCCTCCCAATAACTCGACTTTCCGTCCTGAAGGTCCACACGGCCCGGAGCCTGGGGCCTGCTACCCAAACCGCAGCTCGGTTTCCAGGCTCACCCTAAGATACCTCTGTGACCAACTCGCCTGCCGCCTTTGCCTGATCCCTTCCTTCTCCCAAGATGCAGAAGCCTGCGATTTGCTATTTTCTGCTGCCCTCTAGTGATAAGACATGGGAACAGACGCAGCACCCCGGCCCTCAGCAGTCAGACATTTTAGATTGCAAGGGACTTTGGCTTCCTGACCTCCGCTTTCACGCTGGGAAAAGGAACCCAACTCTCCCCAGAAAGTGTTTGCGATACCCTGGGCATGAGACAGGTTTTTTTTTTTAAATTATATTCACGCATATTTTACCTACCCAAATAGACAAAAAGTCGAGGCTTGGAAAAATACAAAAAGTCTTGCCCAAGACAATGCAGGAGAATTTAGGACAGTTGGATTTCAAATCCACGTTTGCGTAAGTCTTAAACCACAGGGATCACTCAAAAGGCCAGAGCACATCCTCTCCCTGCGCCAGGTCCCCATTTTTTGCTTTTGACCCCCCAGCACTGAACGCACCTCCTCAGCCCAGCTGGGCCTGGCCTCGGGTCCCCCACCCCGCTCCCCACTCACTCTGGGCCAAGCAGGACCACATCGCCATGTTCAGCAACAAAGCATAGAGCCTGCATTGCCTGGTCTAGTATCGTGGGCGCAGGCCCTGAGCCCCTGAGCACTGCCAGAAAGGTTCCCCCAAAATAGGACTTTAACAGGGTAGAATGGGAGATGGCAAAGCACGTGACCAGAATTAAGAGCATAAATCTTGTCCCAGAATGTGACTTTGCTGTGCATGATGTGAATTAAAATAGGAAGGAGTCACTTGGGGTTTTTGGCTTTTGGGTTTTTCTGGGTTTTTTTGTTTGTTTGTTTTTGCCACTTGGGCTTTGTTTGTTTGGGGTCACACCCAGCTGTGTTTAGGGCTTATTCCCAGCATATGGGGTAACAGACTAGAACCAGGTTTTCCAAGTGTGAGGAAAGTACCCTACCCACTGTACTATCTCTCCAACCCTGAGTTGGTTTGTTTGTTTATTTCTTTACTGTGCTGTGTATGAACAGATCTTACTCTGAGGCATGGGCTTTGCTGCTAAGCTGCATGCCTGGCCCAGCAGTTTTCTTTTCTTTTTTGGTCACACCCAGTGATGATAGGGGTTACACTTGGCTCTGCAGGAATTACTCCAGGTGGTCTTGAAGAACAAATATGGTGCCAGGGATTGAACTGGGGTCAGCTGTGTGCAAGGCAATTGCCCTACCTACTATACAATCTCTCTGGCCCTGGAAGATAGTCTTAATAAACCCATTTAAAAATGAGGATTTGGGCAGGAGCAATAGCACAGCAGGTAGGGCATTTGCCTTGCACGTGGTCAACCTGGGTTCGATTCCCAGCATTCCATATGGTCCCCTGAGCACCTCCAGGAGTAATTCCTGAGTGTATGAGCCAGGAGCAAACCCTGTGCATAGCTGAATGTGACCCAAAAAGCAAAAAAAAAGAAAAAGAAAAGAAAAGAAAAGAAAAGGAATAAAAATGAGGGTTCAATTCAGAGAGGTTACAGAGCTTACAAAAGATTCAAAGGTTGGGCCGGAGAGAGCGAAGCCCCAGGGTGGGCAGAGAGCTTGTTCTGCTTGCAGGAGGTTTGCGCCCATCATGATCCCTGGTACCTCCCAGCACTACTTCCAGGAACAACTCCCCTGGCCCCCGAGCATCACTGGGTGTGGCCAAAACACAAGATCCTTCAGCCAGTGTGTAGGAATCTTCATTCCCCTTTACCACCCTGGTCCGAGGAAGGATGCCCTCACCCTGTTCTCTTACTTGGATGCCACCAAAACCGCCTCTGTTCTCCCCATCCGCAGGTTGGAGTAATTCTGCAGGCCCGAGCAGAAAAGGGTGAAGATCAGCGGGAAGAAAACGCAGCCCAGTCCAAAGAGCAGGGACATTCCTATCTGGCAGGGAAGCAAGGAGGCCGCTGTGAGACCCCTTGGCCTCAGGAATCTCAGTGAGCCCGAGGCCGTCAGCTGGTCACATCCGACACACAGTCCTTCCCAATCTCCTCCGAGCCCCTGTGCACTGTGTCTGCCTCAGTCAGGACCACTGAAGAGCCTCCGGTTATCAGCCCAGCCGCAGTAGTTCATGTTTCCGCTTACCCCACAAGTGGGCCAGCACCCCCAGTCCCTTTCATACCTTAAAATTCATTATACCCTGTCTTCAACCCACCCCACCCTGTCCTTGCCTCTGCCCCTACAAACTGTCCCTGTTATCGCTCCGTTCTCCTAAGTCCCCGACTTCAGACTGGGCCTCACCTCTAAGACCGCAGGTGGAGGCTTCGAAGGGAGGCTGATGGGTGATTCCCAGCAGCACCCAGAGCCCAAAAAAGGAAGGAGATGTGTGTATTCAAATTCCAAAATACGGAAAGCTCAGAAATATTTCTTTTTAAAGAGAAAAGGGGTGGAGAAGCAATTTTATCCCATTTTTTAAGTATAAAACTTGAAAGCATACATATTACATATACACTGTTTTTTGCCTGGAAAAATCTCCCCTCCCCTCCATTCTAGGACGGGGAGGGGAGGGGAAGGCACAGAAGAGATGGAGGGAGTCTGGGTCTGCCATTCTGCACCCCTTGAGTGGTTTTGAAGGGGCCCCCTTAGGATCCAGAGCAAGTGTCAAACTGCAAGGGCACGAGCCAGGAAGCTCCGCAGAGGCAGTTGGAGAGGGCGGGAATAGCACACTCCCATTGGTGGACTCATAGACGGTTTGAACTATGCCAGCCTCCTATTGGTCCACCTTTCGACATGGCTGACCTCTCATTGGCTTTCTGCTGAAAAAGGGCTGGAGCTAGTGAGGAAGGGGTGGGGCCTCTAGCCAGAATTGTCCAATTAGAAATAATTGATGGTTTGATGGACAGCTAGTCTGAAAAAAACGGAATTGTAAGAGGAGAAAGGTGGAAGGGCAACAATATGAACAATAGTTCCTTAAAAAGGCTGTTTGTGGGGCTGGAGCAATAGCACAGCTGGTACGGTTCGGGTGTTCAATCCCCAGCATCCCATATAGTCTCCTGAGTGCAGAGCCAGGAGTAACCCCTGTGCATCGCTGAGTGTGACCCAAAAAGCAAAAAAAAAAAAAAAAAAAAAAAAAGACCGTTTTGGAGGGCACAGAGAGGTAGTAGGAAAAGGCACAAGCCATACGCATAACTGACCTGAGCACAGTCAGGAATAACTCCTGAGCACAGAACTGGGAGTAAAGCCCTGGGCACAACGGGTGTGGTCTAATCAAAATTTAAGAGGCAGTTTTGGAAAATATTGAATGTTAAAATTTCTACGGTAGGATCATTCTGGGGGCCAGAGAAATAATGCAGTGGGAAGGGCACTTGTCTTGCACTTGGCTAACCCAGGTTCAACCCTGGGCACTAGAAAGCGTCCCCCATAGCCTGCCAAGAGTGATCCCACAGAACCAGGAGTAAGCCCTGGGGACTGTAGGCTGTCCCCCCCCAAATAAAATAAAATAGATAAAAATGAACAGTTATACTGCAGCTAATAAACTTCAGGCAGCAATCTAAGGTCTTTACATATATTCACTAATACAATCTCATGTAACCTAAGAAGATTATCATTCTGCAAAATTGAGGCACAGAGAGGCTGTGTGACTTGCTCAAGGTCTCACAGATAGTAAGTGTAAGTGGCCTGTTAGCATTTGACCCAGTAGTTTCACTTACAGACTACCTGCTTTGAACCGCAAAATTAATTTTTCAGTTTTTGAGCCACACTTCTCAGTGTTCAGGGGCTACTCCAAGCTCTGTGCTTGAATGTCACTCTGGGCGGTGCTCCGGGTGCGAGAATCAAGCCAGGCAAGACATGCGCCTTAACCTCTTATTATCTCTGCAGTCCCTTAACCACAGACTTTAAAATATTTTTTGTGTGTGTTATCATTGTTGAAAACAGAAAACAACTATCACTCATGCTACATAGAAAGTGACAAAACAAAATACATAAAATGAGAAAGCAGCTTCAGGGACTGGAGAGAGCACAGAGGGTAAGGCATTTGCCTTCTACATGGCTGACCTGGGTTCAATCCCCAGGAACCCCCCAAAATCCCCTCAGCATCCCCACCCAGGAGTGATCTCTGAGTGCAGAGCCAAGAGTAAGCTGAGAGCGGGGGCTGGAGAGATAGCACAGCGGGTAGGGCGTTTGCCTTGCACGCGGCTGACCCAGGTTCAATTCCCAGCATCCCATATGGTCCCCTGAGCACCGCCAGGAGTAATTCCTGAGTGCAGAGCCAGGAGGAACCCCTATGCATTGCTGGGTGCGACCCAAAAAGCAAAAAAAAAAAAAAAAAGAGTAAGCCCAGAGCACCAGCAGGTGTGGCCGCAATCCCCGAACCAAAAAACCCCCAAAAGCTTCTCTTCTCCTAACCTTCTAGCTAGATACCATCACCCACTGGGAATTCTCAGCAGGCTGCCACCTCACTCTCCCTGTGGAAAGACAAGACAAGACAAGCAAGATAGGGAGATGATAGGGAGGTGTGAAAGCGCTGCTGGCAGCAAAATGAGACTCCAGAGTCACCACAGCAGTGGAACGGGAATTGGGAGGGAAGCGTGCTCCTGTGTGCCGTGGCCTGCAGGAAGGTGGCCACGGACTGTCTGTTCCCACCTCGCAGCAGAGAGCGGGAGTGGGATCAGCGTGTGGGGCTGGGGAGACTCGGGAGGGTGATCCCACCCTGTGTCCCCCTCTGCTGACTCTCCCCAACCTCTCCCTGGCCCCCCTCACCTCTGCCAGGGGCTGGGCTGCTACCTGCTCCTTGGGGTTCCCGTGAACACATGCTCTCAGCTCATCTTCCTTGCCCGGTACGGGCGCTGGGCCCCAAAGCGAGGTGTGCAAGAGCAAACATCAGAGGCCATGAGCAAGTGACCGAGCCGCCAGAAGGGGCCAGTTTCTCACATGATACCCAGGCAAGGGTCCGATTCCCCCTGCCTGAGCTTGGGGCGAGGCCTGGACTGGGTGCCAGAACATTCATTATTTAGTGCTTTACTGTACCTGTTCCAGGTGGGGCTCTTTCTGGGCAAGTCCTCGAGCATAGACAAAGCAGGGGCCGCACCCGGAGCTGAGGTCAGAAATCGGGTAGCTGCTCCTGATGCTGGAGAGAGCGCTAGCCTGTCGCTTGTACACAGTGCCCTGGGTTCCCTGCCTGCTGAGGCACTCGGGACTCTGGGAGAAGGGGATGACAGGTGAGGGCCGCTTCATAGTCACTGTGATATTTGTGAGTAGTTGCAGGTAGGTTTTCCAGTGAGTCCTTGCTAGGTACCGCGTACCTGCGTACCTGAGTACCTTCCAGGTACTCCTAATGCATGGCAACAGACTGACTTTCTGGAGCAGAGCCTGAGCTTGGTGAGGTCAGTTGACTTGTGCCCAGACATACGGGTGGAAGAGAATTCCGAATGAGCCTGGTTCTAAAGTCCCCTTTCAATGAGGTCATCACTCTTTCCATCCCAAAGTTGGCAATGACCCTTTCTGCCACCCAGTGCAGATAAGAGGTAGTACAGCAGGTAAGGCACATGCCTTGCACACAGCTGTCATGAGTTCAAAACCCAGCATCAGCTATGGTTCCCTGAGCACTGCGAGGGGTAAATCCTCCGCCCAGAGCCTTGTAAGCCTTGAGCATCACTGGAGTGACCAAAAACCAACTAAAAGAAAGAAAAGAGAGTAAAGTCCATGAGGCATCTCCTAATGTTAGAGCTGGACTCAGATTAGCATATTCCCTCAGGATCGACGCTGAGGCCTTCATTTTCACAGTCAGGAAGCTAGTCAACCTCCCCCTAAGATCTGGGTACATGCATTAGTGTCTGGTGGCCAAATCTGGGGGCTGGAAATATTGGCTTCAAACCAGAATGGCCTCTCTGGTCCCACTCCCAGGTCCAGCCTGCTGAGGTCACTTCTATCTTCCCAGCTTCCTCTGCGTCTCCGTCTCCCGCGCCATGACATGCTCAGGCAATACGGAGTCATCTTTTTCCCAGCAGCATTGTAAAACTATGGATGCTGCTATCTCTCGGGTCCAGGCTTGGCCTGCAGCTAGAGGGAGTCCTGGTTATCCAGCTACTGTGAAATCAGTTTCTCCCTGCGTCCAGCAAATGGTGAAAGTAGGGACCTGGCAAAACGGGGTGCAGACATCACTCCTCCTATTAGCTTGCTTTGCAGTGGGCAGGCCTGGCGCCCAGTCCATGCTCCTGCATAATGGATGAACCCCTGGGAGGAACAGAATACTATCAGCAGTGAGTCTGGACGTGTTGTCCTAAAGTCTTGCCAAGGCTGACGTCTGTCCATTGGCAGGAGCTAAAGAGAGGAACAGAGGGAGGGCCACTGAAGGCCTTTCCTGGAGCTGAGATGGGAGCCAGGCTCGGATTGGACCTCTGGATTCTTCAGCGAACATGGGTAGATAAGAAGCTACCTCAGAGAGGGCAACCTGACCTCACCTCACAAACACAGTGACACTCTGGACAGCGTGAGCCCTGTGTACTGCTTGATGACCCCATCTGAGGGCTGGGGCTAGGACCTTCAAGTATGGAGGAGGGAAGGGAAATCAGAGATCCCAGAACACAGGCCCTGGCCATTTCAGGGACTGCCTCCCAGCGTGGAAAATCCCCAGCAGCAGTGGCTGTGGCGTGGAACGTGGGACCTGGAGAATATGGACAAAAGTAGGTGGATGGGGTTGGAGCCATAGTACAGGGGTTAAGGTGCTTGCTTTGCATGTGGCTAACCCAGGTTTGATCCCTGGCACCGCATATGGTCCCTGGAGCACTACCAGGGATCACTTCTGAGCATAGTCAGGAATAGCCCTTGACCACCTCTGGGTAGGACTAAGCCTCACCCTCGAAATAAAGTAGGTGGAGAGCTGTTCTGCTGTGGGGAGTGCTAGCTTCAGGGTGGGGTGTTGGGGGCCCTGCCTCATGTGAGTGTGCCTGTACCTGTCCAGTGGAGGTCTGGAATTGGAGGGAGCCAATGGGGTGCCCCAAGGAGAGGGCACAGAGATAACAAGAACATTCCTTGTGCAGGTAGAACTAGATTCATAGTCATTCACAGAATCACTGATTCCCCCCTGCAGTTCCCAAGGCCAAGGGAAATGCTGGGGGTTGGGCGGAGAACTGCAGTGGGTCTCAGGTACAGGCTGTTTGCTGAGGGAGCTCCAACTGGAGGGCAGAAGTCAGAGAACTTGGAACTGTTTGTACCCTATGTAGTCAGCCTGCCTGTGTGAGGCCAGGGGAAAGGAAAGCAGGAGTCCCCCAGTTACCAAGAGATCTGATGGAACCCTAAAGATTTACCTATTTTTTTTCTTATTTTTTTGGACCACACCTGTTGGTGGTCAGGGCCTACTCCTGGAGGTGCTGGGGGAATGTATGGGGCGCAGGGGATGGAGCCCAGGTGAGCTGGTGCAAGGCAAGTGCCCTTCCCGCTGTCCTATTGATCAGGAACCTTGTTTACATATCTGACCCCTCTCCCCGCAAGGTCAGGTCCCATTAGCTTCAGGACCAGAAGTCACTTGGGGGCCCCACTAGACGTCCAGCGATAATTCGGAGAAGAGACAAACAGCTGGAGGGAAGTTGGGCTGAGCAAAGCCTGGGGGCTTGATCCTGGGATCGACGGGAGCCTCTGCAGAAACCCAGAGGCGCAGGATCTAACCGAACGTGAAAGGAAACGGCCTTGCAGAGCGCAGATGAAACCCAATCGGTGCTCTGGCAGCAAACGGAGACTTGAAAAACACCGGGGATTTTCCCTGCAATTGAACAGGCAGTTTAGACTTTTCGCATCCCTGGGAGGCCGCCGTCCCCCAGTTACAGGGGAGAGTTTGAAACGCCCTCAGCGATTGGGGGCTCAGTCCCCCGTCTGCGGCGCCGCGGGCCCGACCCAGGCGGGTGGCAGCGGAGATTCGCCTTTTCTGTTGGGGAACCGCGGGAAAGCGCCCCCGAGGGCCGCGGAGGATGGAGCTAGAGAAGCGCGGTGAGGAGTTTTGGGTGTCGGCGGCCGCCGTAGAAACGGCTCCCCGATCTCCATGGCAACGGCGCGAAGCCGCCGGAGGTTTCTGGGCGGTGCTGCGGCCGCGGTCCGTCGGCCCCGGCGAGGCGCGGGATTCGGGAACTGCCCGCCGCCCCGAGCGCGCAGGTGACAGATTGGGGGCGCTGGAGGGAGCCCGGGGTGCGGGGAGAGCGCCGGGGTGTGGCCTGCGAGGGAGGCGCCAGCCCATCGCCTCGCCCCTGCTTCCCGCGCTCCAGACCCGGAGCCTTGCGTGGGCCTCAGTTGTCCCAAATGGGCCCGGGGAGGAGGGTCCGTGAGCCCCGCGGCCGCTGAGGTCCAGGACTTTCCTCCGCAGCTCCCGGACCGGCCGGAGCTGTTGCTGCCCCATGGATGTAAGTCCGCTCCCTGGGTCTCTGCCCCCCGAAACTTTGGCTTGGCCTGCTTTGGAGCCCCCGTCTGGAGAGGGCGCGGGACCAGCACCGTGGGCGTGCGAGGGAGGCACTTTCCCGCTCTTTCTGCCACGAGGAGCTTGCTGGACACTCCAGCAAAGGCTGTCCAGGGGCCTCCGGGCCACCGGGAGCGGGCCTGGCGCCCACCGACATCCTATATGGTCTCCCAGCACCACGAGGAGTGATCCCTGAGCTCAGGGATCCCCCAGCACCACTAGGAGTGATCCCTGCACTCAGAGCAGTGCCGGGTGTGTCCCACCCCCCAAAAAACAAAAGGCTTTCCAGGGAGAGGGAACATGGGGAAGGATTGGGGTGAGGGAGGGGTGGGGTGCTGGGGGGTGGCAAGGAAGGGGGGAAGAGGTAAGCAGGGCTAGATCGGGGCTCACATCCGGGACAGCAGGTGAGGAAAGGGAAGGCCAGGCCCAGGAATGCGGACTGAGGGGGTGAGGAACCCTAGCAGAGCATAAACCATAGAGAGGTTTGGGGGGTGTGTGTGGCAGGCACACCCAGCGATGCTCAGGGCGTACTCCTGGCTCTGTGCTCAGGAACCACTCCTGGTGGTGCTTGGGTGACTTTATGGGATGCCGGGGATCGAACCCAGGCTAGCCACATGCCAGGCAAGCACACTCTCTGCTGGACTAGCACTCCGACTCCTAGCCTGGGTTTTGGACCCCGCTGGAGGTATTGGGAGCGGGGGTTATCCCTGGAATAATATTCTGGGATCCAGCATGCCAGAGCTCAACCCTGGGCCTCCCACACCCTGGCGCACACTTGAGTGCTCAGAACTGCCTTAGCCAATAGCAGACTCCAGGTGGGCCTGCTCAAGGTGCTGACTGGGCGTGTCGGGGCTGGAGGCTTGGGCACAGGGGGCTCTCCCCCCACCCTCGGGTGGTTGCTCCCCTTCGCCCAGCCACCTCCATGTCCCCTGGTATTTCTGGGTTCCTGCAGCCCCCGTGTCCCCCTTGTCACCCGGTCCTCCTGTGCTCACCTAGGCTGCTTCTAGCTCGTGGAACCCACCCCCGGCTCCCGTGAGCAGTCCCTCCCTGCTGCTCCCCGTCCCTGCCATCGTCTTCATCGCTGTGGGCGTCTATTTGCTGCTGTTGGGCCTAGTGCTGCTGACCAGGCACTGCCTGCTGGTGAGGGGCACGGGGGGCTGAGGGGTGGGCTCTGGGAAAGAGACCCTCCTCATCTGCAGGCACTGGCCGGGGACGGCCCCACCTATGTCCCTTCCTTGGGATCAGGGTGTCCCTCCCATCTTGACTCCAGCACCATCAGCCGCTGCTGCCTGCCCCGGTGCAGAGGCTGAGCTGTGCATCTCCTAGGCCCAGGACTGCTGCCCGGCCTGCAGCTCCCCCTGCAGTCAGCAAAGTGCCTCCAGGCCCCCAGACTGCTGCTGGACCTGCCTTGAAGCCTGCGACTTCCCTCTGCCCAGCCCAACCCACTTCCTGGATGCCTGCTGTCCCCAACCCACGGAAGCTGTGAGTTCTCCTCCTCCCCACCCCTCCCGAGTCGGGACCAGGCCTGAGCTGGGGGAGGGGGGGCCTGAGCCCCTGCTCAGACCAGGCCAAGTTCCAGACCTGGGCCTGGTGGAGACAAAAAGCTTAACAGATCGTTCTGGGGGAAAAAAGAATGAAGTGTGGGACCCTGGGTTCAATCCCTAGCAACCCCCCAGAACTGGCAATGCGGGAAGGTGAAGTAGCTCACGATCACTTCTACAACAAGCAGTTAGAACTCGAGGCAGAGCCAGAGTGACAGTACAGCAGGTAAGGTGTTTGCTTTGCACATGGCCATCAATCCTGGCATCCATATGACCCCCTAAGGCCTGCTAGGAGTGACCCCTAAGCACAGAGCCAGGAGTAAGCCCTGAGCATTGCCAGCTGTGGCCTCAAAACCAATAATAATAATAGTAGTAGTAGGAAAGCAAACTCAGCCCCTCACAGACCCTTTTTGCCGGTGAGTGCCCTTTGCCAGACACTGCCATTTCCTTTTTGGGGCCACACCTGGCAATATGCAGGGCTTCGCTCTGGCTGTGTGCTCAGGGCTCGCTCCTCTTGGGGCTCAGGGAACCATCTGTAGTGCCTGGGATCAGTGGAGCTCAGCTGTGTGCAAGGCAGAAGTCAACCTCTGTACTGTCTCTCAGGCCTCTTTCCCTTCTTTTTTGTGGGTTCAGGGGAAAGCTGGGGGTACACCTGACTGCTCAGTGGTTATTTCTTTCTTTCTTTCCTTTTTTTTTCTTTTTTGGGTCACACCCAGCGATGCACAGGGGTTACTCCTGGCTCTGCACTTAGGAATCACCCTTGGCGGTGCTCAGGAACTGTATGGGATGCTGGGAATCGAATCCGGGTGGGCCGCGTGCAAGGCAAACGCCCTACCCGCTGTGCTATTGCTCCAGCCCCTCAGTGGTTATTTCTGACTCTGTGCTTAGAGTGACCCCTGGCAGTACTTGGGGGATGAGGGCACTGTATGTGGTGCTGAGGATTGAACTAGGGCTGGCTCTTAGACTGTCTCTCTGGTCCTGAGAGCTAGGCTTTTTTGGTTTGTTTTCCATTTTTATTTGTTTTTTTGTTTTTTGTTTTTTGTTTTTTTGGTTTTGGCCCATATCTGGCAGTGCTCAGGGGCTACTTCTGGCTCTGTGCTCAGGGAACCATGTGATGGAACCCAGGCCTCCAGTACGCGAAGCAATCAATCCATGGAGACATCTCTCCAGCCCTGTGTGCCCCTTGTAACTAGACCTCACACCTTGGCCAATCTCTGTGCAATAGAAAAGGGATTTCCTTCCTTCCTTCCTTCCTTCCTTCCTTCCTTCCTTCCTTCCTTCCTTTTCTCCCTCCCTTCCTTCCCTTCCCTCCCTTCTTCCCTCCCTTCCTTCCCTCCCCTCCCTTCTTCCCTCCTTCCTTCCTTTCCTTCCTTCCTTCCTTCCTTCCTTCCTTCCTTCCTTCCTTCTTCCCTCCCTCCCTCCCTCCTTCCTTCCTTCCTTCTTCCCTCCCTCCCTTCCCCTCTCCCTCCCTCCTTCCTTCCTTCCTTCCTTCCTTCCTTCCTTCCTTCCTTCCTTTTCTCCCTCTCTTCCTTCCCCTCCCTCCCTTCTTCCCTCTTTCCTTCCTTCCTTCCTTCCTTCCTTCCTCCCTCCCTGCCCCTCCCTCCCTTCCTTCCTTCCTTCCTTCCTTTTTTCCTTCCTTCCTTCCATCCTTCCTTCCTTTCTTCCCTCCTTCCTTCCCTCCTTCCTTCCCTCCCTCCCTCCTTCCTTTCCTTTCCTTCCCTCCCTCCCTCTTTCCTGCCTGCCTGCCTGCCTGCCTGCCTTCCTTCCTTCCTTCCTTCCTTCTTCCCTCCCTCCCTCCCTCCCTCCCTCCCTTCTTCCTTTTTTTACTCTACTTCTCCTTTCTCCTCCTCCTCCTCCCTCTCCCTCATTGTGTTCAGGGCTCTCTGCATTCAGGAACCACTCTTGAGGGTGCTCAGGAGAACATATGTGGTGCTGAGGATTGAACCTGGGTTGGCTGCATGCAAGGCAAGTGCCTTAACCCTGGCACTATCTCTCTCGTCCTTTGTGAAGGGTTTTTCTCCCATTTTGTAGGGGAATACACTGCCAAACAGAATACATTCTGTTTTGGAGCTGTCCTTTTGGAAAGTCCATTCCAGGCTCTCTGTGGTTTGTTTCCCTGTAATAACAGTCACAGTCAGAAGCTGAGGCTTACCAAAGTCCGAATGATCTGTGTGAGGCTGGTTTCTTTTCCTCCTGCCAGAGAACCCAGCCCGCTCTCTTCCTCATAGGCTGGACACAAGGATCTGATTCATTCACTTCTTCTCTTGTCTAAGCTTTATGGAGTCACTGCAACCCTGTGCTGGGTCCCGGGGGCTCAGTGGCCCCACATGTGAAGGACTTACATTGCAGGGAGGCTGAGGAAAAGTGGAGAACCCCATGGAGTGAGAGGAAGTGGGGAGTGCTGTGCTGGGGGCTTCTCAGACCTGTGTGCAGAAACAGGCACTAAGGCCCCAGGCCCCACACAAAGGTCAGGACAGAATTGGATTTTGTGAATTTGGCTTTTCTCCTTGTTCCTGTTCAGGGCTGTGCCTGCTTTTTTAAAGCCAAGACCCCACACGCAGGAGGCATGCATTCGACCAGTGAGCCACCCCTGCTGCCCAGATTTGTGGGTCGGGAGTGGGGACCCACACCCAGTGGTGCTTAGGGGCTACTCCCAGCTCGGTGCTCAAGGGTTGCTCCCTGTTGGTGCTTGGGAGACCATGTGGTACCGGGGATCAAATCTGGGGACGTCCACATGCCAGACATACATTTTAACCTTCTGAACAATCTCCCAACCCTACCTTTGTGGATTTTTATCTTAATGATTTTGGGGTCACACCCAGCAGTGCTCAGGGTTTACTTCTGTCTCTGAGCTTTAGGGACCACTCCAGGCAGTGCTTGGGGGATCATGTGTGGCTTCAGGAATCGAACCCTAGGCCATCTGCGTGCAGGCAAGTACCCACGGTACTATTGTTCCAGTCCCCGTTTGTGGAATTTTTTAAGGAGTTCTTATGGAATTCTGATGCCCAGTTCCTTAGGAATTAGTACTAAGGGCCAGAGAGAGAGTGCAAGGGTTAAGGCAGTTGCCTTGTACAAGGCCAGCCATAGTTTGCTCCCCAAAACCATCTGGTCCCCTGAGTCTTGCTGTATGTGGCCCAGAGTCCTCCCACCTCCAAGGAAAAGAACTCTCCCGAAATGGAGGTAGAGTTATGATGATGAGAATCACTCTTTCATATTTTATCTCTGGGCCAAGCTTAGTTCTGTCTGCTCACTTCAGTGACCGCAGGAAGTAGGTTTCATCATGGTTTCTGAGATGAGAAAAGCGAAGCTCATAACATGAACTGGGCAAGCTCTACCCAGTAAAGGTGGATGGCTTTCACAAGCCAGAGGGAAGGGAAGGAGAGCAGCGAGCTAGCCTTGCACGTGTTTGGCCCAGACACTTTGTGGGTCCCTGCGCCCCGCCGGGAGTGATTCCTGAGCACGGAGCCAGGGATAAGCCCTGAGCTCTGCCAGGTGTGTGCCCCCACCCAAACCCAACAGGCCAGCGTGAAAGTAACCAACACGAAAGGCTGCCGTGCCTGGAGACACACAGGATTAAGAGTCTGGAGTCCTTGTTTAATGGACTTAAACAGCACATTCCTTCCAGAAGTTGAGAAATCCATTAGCCGTTATTAATGACCAGATGGGAGCCTGGCCGGCAGACAGCCCGAGCCCAGCGACGCTTCCAATCCCTTCTCTGAGGCGCTCACCACCACTGCCCGGAATTCCAGTGGGTCCTCCAGCCTCCTGGAGCCGACTTCCCGCCCAGCCTGGCTCTCTCTGCAGACTCCTCAGACTCCTCCAGAACACAGTGCTCTTGGCTGCAGTACCTGCCCCCTTCAGACCCCAGCCCTCTCCCTGAACTCTGGCCCTTCACTGAAACCCCCGGTGACATCTGATCTCACGAGTCATCTGACACCACACCCCAAAACCTCAGCTGTTTCAAAGGTCATTTCCCTATTCCTGGCTTGGCTGCTGTGTGAACTGTCATCTGCCACTGTCACTAGCTCTGCCTCCAGAAGCCCGGGTGTGTCCAGTGCCAGCCTGCAGGCCTGCGTCCAGTCCTTGCTTGCAGTAAGCAGGTCATTCCTGTGCCAGGCGGGAGAGGAGTGGGCTGGTGCCAGCCCCATCGCCCCTTTTGTGTCTTAAGTACACGTTGTTCCTGTTCCCCCGAGCCCAGACCACCACTTTCCCCAGGGCGCGGAGAAGGCCTCTTCTTGCCTTGAGAGAAGGACTGCTTTGATTCATCCATTCATCCAACTTTCGTTGATTTTTGTTGTTTTTTTGTTTTTGGACCACACTGGGTGGTGCTCAGGGCTACTTCGGGCTCTTCACTCAGGAACTGCTCCTCGGGAGCCACGTGAGGTTCCGGGGATTGAACCCAGGTTGACCGTGCAAGGCAAACACCCTCCCACTGTCCTGTCCCTCCAGCCTCCATGGTCGTTGCTGAGCCCCAGCGGAGGCAAGGCGGTTCTGTCCTTGCAGTCCCAGAGAGGCTGATATCCCTGATGCGCAGAGGCGGTGTGGCTGACAACGACCTCAGGGAGACCCCAACAGACCTAAGACTATCCCAGCGCCGTTCCCACAGCAAACTCTCCCAGCAGAGTCTTTGTTTCGTCTTTTGTGAAGGACGTTCTGTTAATGAGAGATCAAAATAGAGGCCAGAGGGCCGGAGTAATATAGTGGATAGGGTACCTTGCATGTTGCTGAGCCAGGTTCGATCCCCAACACCCCATGTTGTCCCAAGTCTGCCAGGAGTGATCCCTGAAAGCAGGAGTCAAGGGGCTGGAGAGAGACAGCAGGTAGGGCGCTTGTGTTATATACTCCTGACCTGGGTTCAATCCCTGGTGCTCCATATGACTCCCAAGCATCACCGGGAATGCCCAGTGTGATGCCTAAAACCAAACATACAAACAAGCAAAAGCACAAAATAAAGGTCAGGGGTTTGGCTGCACATCCAGGAGCCCTGGGTTTGATTGCCTGCATACTGCATGCTACCTGGGCACCGCAGGGTGTGACCAAAAGAAAAAAATGAGGGGCCAGAGAAATAATACAGCAGGTAAGGCACTTGCTTTGCATGCTGCCAACCTGGGTTTGATCCCTGGCCCAAGCATCACCTGGAGTAATTTCTGAGTATAGAGCCAGGAGTAACTCCTGAATACCATTGGGAATGGCCCCAAACCCCCCTAGTGTTTTGGGGTTTTTTTGCTTTTTGGGGGACTGAAGTGATAGCACAGCGGTAGGGTGTTTGCCTTGGACGCAGCTGACATGGCCCACCCGAGTTCGATTCCTCCGCCCCTCTTGGAGAGCCCGGCAAGCTACCGAGAGTATCTTGCCTGCACGGCAAAGCTTGGCAAGCTACCCGTGACGTATTCGATATGCCAAACACAATAACAAGTCTCATAATGTTACTGGGCCCACTTGAGCAAATCGATGAACAATGGGAGGACAGTGACAGTGGCTTTTTTTGGGGGGGGGTCACACCTGGTGATGCTCAGGGGCAACTCTTGGCTCTACACTCAGGAATCACTCCTGGTGGTGCTCGGGGGACCATATGGGATGCCGGGGATTGAACGTGGGTCAGCTGCATGCAAGGCAAATGCCTTACCTGCTGAACTATCACTCCGGCCCCACCCCCAACTGGGTTTAAGAGCTAGCTCTGTAGGCTGAACATATGCTGTACATAAAGGAATCTGGGGGTGCTGGGTGCAGTCCCCAGCACCGCCTGGGCCCTAGAGCACCAGCTGGAGCTTGTCAGGTGTGACCCCAAAACAAACAGCAAACAAGCCAGAGCAATAGTGCAACAGGTAAGATATTTGTCTTGCACGCAGCCCACCTGGGTTTGATTTCCGGTGCCCCATATGGTCCCCCAAGCATGCCAAGAGAGATCCCCAATTTCAGAATCTGGAGTAAGCACTAAACACAGGCAGGAATAGCCCCACAAACAAAAACAGCAGCAAACAAAAAACATTTAAAAATTTGTCTGGCAGCCAAGACAAATAGCATAGCGGGTAGGGCGTTTGCCTTGCATGCGGCCATCCGGGGTTCAAGTCCAGCATCCCATATGGGCCCCGGAGCACTACCAGGAATAATTCCTGAGTGCATAAGCCAGGAGGAGTAACCCTTGTGCATCACCAGGTGTCACCCAAAAACAAACAAACAAAAAAAACAAAAAGAAAAAAATTTGCAGGTATAAGGCCCTGAGTTTGATCCCAACCACCACAAAAATAATTTTTTTAAATATGCAAATCATGATTTTTGAAGCAAACGAGAAAGCTTTATGTAGTTGTTTTGGTGTCACATCCAACAGTGCTCAGGACTTACTCCTGGCTCTGTGCTCAGTGAACCATATGGGAATCAAACCCTGGTCAGTCCGGTGCAAGGCAAGTGCCCTACTTGTACTGTCATTCCCGACCCCTAGAAAGCTTTTATCTTCTATCATTCATGAATGCAGTCTGTCCCTTGCACCGAGTAGGGGCTCAGAAATGAGGAATGAGATCGTTCAGTTTGGTCCCAATCCATACAAAGAGGAAATTTACAAAAACAAAAGGTAATTTTGATCAGGGCAGAAAATATCTATGTACTCTGCCCATTTACTAACTTTAACCTGTGTAGGGGTGGGCATGAGGAAACGGTAGAATTCTCTGTGCTGAGCATGGGGGTGCCTGAGTTCTAGCACAGGACACTGCCAGATCTTCGGCTCCTGTTCCACTCAGTGGGGAGGCCTGAACCCCCTGGATAATCTCTTTGCCGCCTCTCCTTTTTTTGGAACACTGCCCCCTCGCTGATTTCCCACAGCCCTGGACTCACTTTGTTCCCCAGAAGGGCGGATGAACCCTCTGCTCTACTGGGCACACGGGATAGCTCAGGAAACAGCTTCCGGCTCTGGGGACCCCTCCCCTGCTCACTGGCCTCTCTTTCTTCTGTCCCTCAGGGCTGGGTCCCGCGCTGCCCTCGCTGCTGCCCGCTGTGTGACTGCGCCTGTGCCTGCCAGCTCCCCGACTGCCAGAGCCTCAACTGCCTCTGCTTCGAGATCAAGCTCCGATGAGGACCCAGAGGCCCTGCCCTCTGGGGAGCGACCAGCCCCCCGGGCCCACACGCCCTCATCCCTGACAGGCCTCAGGACACTGCTCTCCAGGCCACCGGAACCACACATGGCATGCCCAGCTCGCTGGCCCAGGCAGCTAGTGCCAAGAGCCTGGCTCCTGGCAGGCAGGACTCAGAGCCCAGGGCCAGCTGGATGGCAGCCCATTTGAGGGCCAGTGTGCGGTGGGCCCTGCCTGCCTGTCCCCTCCCCAAGTGAACTTATGTCTGAAGTTAGAGTGTTGCTGGCCACTGACAGCATTAGGGGAGGCACCTGGTCCGGAGTACTAGAATATTGGGGTGCCCCTACCATGCCCCTCTGTGGACTTTTGGTTATTTTGAGGTGAGTGCAGTGCTTGCACCTGCTCTTGCTCTAAGGAAACGGGCTCCCCATATTCCCAGGGAGTGGGGACCAAGGCTGCTGGAGGGTCACACCACTGAGCCGCCCCCACCTCTCCCCTCCCCGCAGATCCAAGTCCAGAGATTCTCTTCTCTGGACTATCTTTGGAGGGCCTCAGTGTGGATTTCCAAGGAAGGAATTGCCTCTGAAGCAGCGGTGAGTGAGCAGGGGACCCGCCCCCACCCTGTCGGCAGCTCACTCCCTCTCGCCCTGCTCTGGGGCCTCCTGCTGGCGTGAATGTCAGGAGCCTCAGGTTTCCCTAAATATAGGTCCCTGTCGAGCTTCGGCGGCAAAGAAAGGGCAGGGGTCACCGGAGAAGGTTGGGGGAGGGCGGTGGGGGTTGCTTATAACCCGCCCCTGGGAGCAGCTTGGCTCACTCGCTGCCACCCAGGTCTGCCCGCCGCATCGGCTACCGCGCAGGTGGGCATCGGGCGGGCGAGCAGGGGGATCCGGAGAGACGGCCGACCGGGAGGAGGGGGGTGTCGGAGAGCACGCGGGGGCTGCCCAGCTGCAGGGTCGGACCTTGGTGTGCAGAGGACAGCCAGGCAAGGACGACTTTGCGCCGGGACGGCGGCCCCGGGCGCCGCGTGCGCACGCGCAGAGCAGCGGGGCCTCGCCGGGGCCGGGCGGGCGCGGGCCCACCCACGGGTAACGGGGACCTGTGCTCCCCGGGCGTCCGTGCGCTGCCCTTTCCTCCACGTTTACGCCCGGGCCGTGTCACCGGAAGGGTCGGGCCACGCCCCGGAGGCCCCGCGGCCGCGGCGACCTCTGCTTTGGGTTCCAAAGTGGCACTGCCGCGTCAGCGGTGGCCGGAAGCCGAGCGTCCCGCGGGGCCGCGCCGGGGCAGCTGACCCTCCCGGGTCCTTCCCGCCGGGCCCCGCGCCGCCTGCCCCCAGCCCCCAGCCCCCCGGGAGTCCCGAACCCGCTGAGTCACGGCCCCCGGCGCGCCCGGGGCGGGGGGTGGGGGACGGGAGAGGGCGGGGCGGCCGGCGACCCGCGGGATGTGGCCCGAGTCACGTCCCAGCGGCCGCGGCCCCGCCCCCGCGCGCCTGCTCGCCTGCCATTGGCCGCGCGCGCCCGCAGCGCCGGGCGGGGAGGGCGGGGCGGCCCCTTATAAGGCGCGGCGCCGCCGCCCCCGGCCGCCCCCTCGGGAGCAGAACAGGTTGCGTTCCTAGTGGAACGCGCGCCGAACCGGGCTCCTGGTGACCACTCGGCGTTCGGTCCGCATTCCCCTCGCCGGCCCCTCGCCCTCCGCTGCCCCGCTCTCTCCTCTCCTGTGCCAGGTGAGCGCCCGCGGCCGCGTGCTAAGATCCGGGACCGCGGAGTAGGTGCCGGTGGGGGTCGGGGGTGGGACAGGCGTGGGAGCAGGAGCAGAGCCTCCCAGCGCGGCGTCTCCCCACCTCCCCTGCACCCCCAGACCCCTGCGCCCAGGCACGACCCCCTCCCACCCGCCCAGCGGGAGCCGCTCGGCTTGCTGCGCAACGCAGCGCCCGCTCCGCAGGCTGAGTCATGGCGGGGGAGGAAGCGGGACGGGATGGGGGCCTCCCCCTCCCCTTTTCTTGCTGGGGTCCCCAGATAGCCCTTTGCCTAGACCTGGGATTGTGGGAGCAGCGAGGGGCTGCGGGTGGGCTCATAAATACCTCAGGGTTCCCGATAAGGGAGAGTATGGCCGGCTCTGGGGAGGGCCCCCCTGGTGAGAAGGGGAACCCCTTGGCAACGCCTGGCGCCCCATGAACGCTTTCCCCGGCTTTCCTTATCGGTGACCTTGCTTCGGATCCTGGGGAAGGCTGTGCCAAGCCAGCAGGCAGAAGCGTTTTTCAGGGGAAGGGGCGGGGCGCCTGCCTCCCCTCCACGATCTCGAAACCTAACCTGTGTGCGCAATCCTCCTGCCTTGGGTGCAGGCACTTTGGGGCGGCTTCCTCTGGGCCCTTTTCCTGAGCTTTGATAACCCCTTTGCCTTTTTTACTTCTGTTTCCATCACCAACCCTGGGGAGAAGGCTGACCTTGGGGTGTCCTTGAGGCTGTGGAGCCTGGGCCTGCCTGAGGATCTTGGGTTGATTGGAAGCAACAGGCCTAGCACGGTCCCAGCCTGCGTTCCACTCTCGGGTCTGGCATTTGGGTTGCTCCGTGGCTTGAAGCACAGTCTTCTCCCTCATCCTCTCTTCTTTCCGATCCTTTCATTGAGCGGGTTGGGCCCTTCCGTGCAAGCTCTAAAATCTAAAATACTCGGTTTTGCTTCTAGGCAAGGTGACCCATGGCAAGGCACAAGCCAGCAGGGTCCAGCTTCTACATGACCCACCTATCCATGGTTCTGGCTTATTCCTTTTCCCCAGATGCCAGTACGCAGAGAGAGTTAGGACAGGTACTGGAGGCAGGTCCAGTGCAGAGAAGTATGCTGTAGGGAAGAGTTGAGGACGGCAACGCCCCAACACCTGTGGGGTGTGGGGCAGGGGAGGGGCTCTGTTCTTCAGGGGTCCAGCGGAAGTCTCAATCCTCTTCCATCTGTCTCCTTTGCCCAGAAACCATCTCCGACTGCCACCATGGGCTCCCAGTACCCAGCGCTGACCCCGGAGCAGAAGAAGGAGCTTAGTGACATAGCTCATCGAATTGTGGCTCCAGGCAAGGGTATCCTGGCTGCTGATGAGTCCACTGGTATGTGACAGAACCCATTGGGGGAGGGCCGGAGTAACAGTACATTGGGTAGGGCATTTGCTTTGCATGCGGCCGACTCGGGTTCGATCCCCGGCATCTGGTTCCCCAGTACTGCCAGGAGTAATTCCTGAGTGCAGAGCCAGGAGTAACCCCTGAGCATTGCTGGGTGTGACCCAAAAAGCAAAAAAAAAAAACACACACACACACACACACACAAACACCCATTGTGAGGAGAATTGAGGGCTGGGGTTACTGGCCAAATCCCCTTAGTTGTGTGTCTTGCCCCACTCCAGGGAGCATTGCCAAACGTCTGCAGTCCATCGGCACTGAGAACACCGAGGAGAATAGGCGCTTCTACCGCCAGCTGCTGCTGACTGCTGATGACCGCGTGAACCCCTGTATCGGGGGCGTCATCCTCTTCCACGAAACACTCTACCAGAAGGCGGATGATGGGCGTCCCTTCCCACAAGTCATCAAATCTAAGGGTGGTGTTGTGGGTATCAAGGTGAGGGAATTAAGATCAGAGATTAGAGATGGGGGGGGGGATGCAACATGGGGCTGGGTGTTTCCATCCCCCACACCTCTGAAGCATGTGTAGAGAGAGCTGGAGGGCTGGGGCACTTGTTTTGCCTGAAGATGCCCCCAAACTTAATGTATGTCTGTTGCATACATACTTGTATATGTAGTGTATGCACCTATACGAAGCTAGAAATTAGCCAGACTGACTTAAGGTTTTTTTGTTGTTGCTGGTTATTTATTTGGTTTTTGGGGACCACATGTGATGATGATCAGAGCTAACTCCTGGCACTGTGCTCAGGGATCACTCCTAGTGGGGCTCAGGGGACATTATGGGGCTGGAGGGTTGAACTTGGGTTGGTCATGTGTAGGGCGTGTGCGCTCTCTGCTGTATTCTCTCTCCAGCTCCTGCTACTGTTTATTTTGTTTGCTGTGCTGGAGAAGGCACCCAGGTCTTAGGCCTGCATTGGTGCGTGCTCAGCTTCACCACCAAGCTGCATCCATGTCTAGGAACCCAAGTTAGATATTTTTTGGTTTTTTGTTTTGGGGCCCCCCACATGCTGGGGTGGGGGGCTTGCGGGGCTGTGTGGGACGCTGGGGATATAAACTGGTTTGGTCACGTGCAAGCACCCTACTGCGGTCTTGTCTCTGGCCCCTTTTTAATCCTTGCAGTTTTGGTTTTGGATTTTGGATTTTGCAGTGCCTTGAGCCTCACTCACACAGGGCAGGACTCAACCCCTGCCTTTGACCTTTGTAATTCTAAGGCCAAGGAATTGCCCTCATTGTACAGGTGAAAAACCAGAAGTTAAGGTAGTCGAGCTTTTTCCTCATTGATTTAGTAAGCAGTAGGAGCCGAGGGCTCTGTTAAATAATATCTCTACATAGCCTCCCTCAAAGGATCAGATCAACACAAACTAAGTACTTTTTGCAAAAATATTTGCAAACTCCAGCATGCCACTGGGAAATTGGGGACAGTTTGGGGCTTCGGAGGCAAAGCGATACTATGGATCATTCCTTCTTTCCCCCAACCCAATAGGTAGACAAGGGTGTGGTACCTCTGGCAGGAACAAATGGCGAGACTACCACCCAAGGTGAGAACTGTTTGGCCGCGGATGTTCTGCCCTCTCTGTCCCACCTCTAGGGCCTGCCCCTCTCGGCTCTGCCCTGACTCTTGTCCCCTTTCCAGGCCTGGATGGGCTGTCTGAGCGCTGTGCCCAGTACAAGAAGGATGGAGCTGACTTTGCCAAGTGGCGCTGTGTGCTGAAGATTGGGGAAAACACCCCCTCCGCCCTTGCCATCATGGAAAATGCCAATGTTCTGGCACGTTATGCCAGCATTTGCCAGCAGGTAGGCCTGTATTCCCGACAAGCCTCCTCCCACTCCATTTGGCTCCAGAGTGTCGCGAGCCTGCCACCCATCTGCCAGGGTACCTCCTCCCAGGCAACTGTTTGGATCCATCCGGGCTGGTCGTGTGAAGGACTCGTGGGCATGCTGCGTGAGCAGAGGGGCAGATAGGGAGTGTGTGGGTGGATCTGGGGAGTGGCCTGTCGCCCGCTGTCTGCGAAGGACTTTGAAGCACAGAGATGAGATCTGGCTAATGACCGCAGAACTGTGAGTGGGGCCCTGGCTGGGAGGCCTAATAGCTGCCTTGGCCCCACACAGAATGGCATCGTGCCCATCGTGGAGCCCGAGATCCTCCCTGATGGAGACCACGACCTGAAGCGCTGTCAGTATGTAACTGAGAAGGTAGGTGTCCGCCTGGTCAGTGTGGTGAGCGTGGCACCTAGGGCTGCCCCCTCGCCCCCACCATCCCCTGTCTCACTCTGCTGCTGCCCTGCTGTAGGTACTGGCCGCCGTGTACAAGGCTCTGAGTGACCACCACGTCTATCTGGAAGGCACCTTACTGAAGCCCAACATGGTAACTGCAGGCCACGCTTGCAGCCAGAAATACTCTCATGAGGAGATTGCCATGGCAACTGTCACTGCTCTGCGCCGCACCGTGCCCCCCGCTGTCACTGGTAAGAGCTGCACCCTCTGGCCAGAGGGCAGTGCAACAGGCTGAACACCTTTGTAAGCAGGAGGCCCAGTTCACAGGAGACAGCCACCTCCAGCTCCTCAAAAACCCTCAATCCCCAGGGCCAGGTGGCTGACAGCCAGGCCAGCATCTCAGGGTGCCAGCCAAACCCTTGTGTCACCTCTTACTCCTCAGGAGTCACCTTCTTATCTGGGGGCCAGAGTGAGGAGGAGGCATCCATCAACCTCAATGCCATCAACAAGTGTCCCCTGCTGAAGCCGTGGGCCTTGACCTTCTCATTTGGACGAGCCCTGCAGGCCTCTGCCCTGAAGACCTGGGGCGGGAAGAAGGAGAACCTGAAGGCTGCCCAGGAGGAGTACATCAAACGGGCCCAGGTAGGGCTGGGCCGGGCGTGGGAGGCAGGGGGTACTGGGCCCCCCGACAGCAGCTTTCTCACCCGGCCCCTCTTTCCTCCCAGGCCAACAGCCTCGCCTGCCAAGGAAAGTACACTTCCACTGGCCAGGGCGGGTCTGCGGCCAGTGAGTCTCTCTTCATCTCCAACCACGCCTACTGAGTGGAGATGTGCTAAGGCTGCCCTGCTACACTCCGGTCCCCCTCCCACAGCCACTCGGAAGAGGGGGCGCACCTCGGGCTCTAGGCTGCTCTTCCCATCACTCCTGCCTCCCTTGTGAATTGGTGCGTGGTGTTGTCTGTGTATGCCGATTCCATCGCCCTTTCCAGCCCACTGCCAATAAACAGCTATTCAAGGGGATGTCTTGTGTCCGTTTCTCTTTGGGGCAGGGAAAGGCTTCGGGGAGGTGGCACAACCTAGAGGAAGAACCCTTGGGGCCAAAGCCATAGGACCGCAGGCAAGGCACTTGCTTTGCAGGCGGCCTATCTAGGTTTGATACTCATATTGTCCCAAATGCCACCGAGAATGATCTGTGAGCAGAACCAGAAGCAAGCCCCTGGGTGCCTAAGGGTGTAAGTAAACCCGGAGGGCCCCAAGATAAAATAAAACTGTTTAAAAAAATTTTTTGGGTGGGTCACACCCAGGGGTTACTCCTGGGCGGGCTCGAGGGACCATATGGGATGTCTGGGATCAATCCCAAGTCAGCTGTGTGCAAGCCAGACACCTTTATCCACTGTACGATCGCTCTGGCCCCAAACTTTTATTTTTTAAAGGAAAAGATCCCCGTGTTGGCGCTCGCCCCTTCTATTGGCCGCAGCTGACGAGCTCACAGTTAGGGCCTGGGTGTCTCAGAGGCTGTAGGTTCAGCCTCACTTGCAGGCCTGAAAGGTGAGGAAGGCCCTTCTGACCAAAAGTCACCAGTAAAGCCAAAGGTACCGTGCCAGGCCACACAAAAAGCGTTTTTCCCAATTGAAGGTAGTTGTTTCATTGGCCACTGCTGCATATTTCCATCTAGTCCACCTGCATAGGGGGTGGGGACACAACTGGCTTCTGAATCTCTGGGCTGTGGAACCCACGGCCATGCACAGATGCACATGGTGGCTCAAGTTCAGGTGACGCTCTGAGCTCAGCAGCAAGAACTGAGCCCCTAGGGCCACGGAGAGCACATACCTGGTGCGTGGAGGCCGTTTGCTGCTTAACATCATACGCTCCTCCAGCACCACTGACCCTTCAAGTAAGTAGTGTGCAAAGAACTGCATTTCTAGCTGCTGTTTCTCTAGCTACAGGAGGGCCTCACCCCTTTTATATGACTTACATATCTCCCAAATTACCCAGGCTGTCTGTGGGGTGGCAATACCAGATCTTTTCAGTTATTACTATCCTCGTCCTAGTAAGGGAATAAGAGTGCAAAGCTAGGAGTAAGCCATGAGTACAAGAGCCCAGTGGCCACTGAAACTGAGAAGCTGGAGTGGTAGTTTAATGGGTACGGTGCTTGCTTTGGACACGGCTGACCCAGGTTAAATCTTAAGCACCCTATATGGTCTCCCAAGCCCTGGCAGGAGAGATCCGTAAGCACAAAGCCAGGAGTAAGCACTGAACACTGGGTGTGGCCCCCAAACAAAATATCCTAGTCATAGTCCTGCACATTCCTGTTCAGTCTTGCAAAAAAATTTCTCTGGATACATTGGGTAGGGCACTGGCCCTCTAGGAGGCCCACCCAGATCCCCAGTTCCACATATGGTCCTCCTGAGCTCTGCCCTGAGTGACTCCTGAGCACAAAGCCAGCTGTAAGCCCTGAGCATCTCTGGGTGTGCGCCCTCTCCCCATCCCCCCCCCCCCACACAAAAAAAAAACCCACAACCAAACTTTCTGAATCAACTGAATCCCTAGTGATCCCATCCACACCAGTTTCCAGAAGTGGGCACCCACTCTGGGGAGGGGGAGTGGTCTCTGGTGCAGTGGTGGGGCAGGGGGATACCAGGACTCTGTTCATTCGAAGGTAGATTTAGGGAGAGAACCAGGGTGCTTGCCTTGCACAAGGCTAACCCTGGTTCAACCCATGGTCCCTCAAGCACCTCCAGAAACGTCCCCTGAGCACAGAAGCAAGAGTAAGTCCTGAGAACTGCCGTGTGGCCCAATCCCCCACCCCAAACACACACCAATTGAAAGAAAAAAAGAAAGGTTGATCTCTTGGCTGTTACTTAGTTGCTACTTACTTTTTTTTTTTTTCTTTTCTGAAAAGGACCAACTATGTTAGGCAACCTTTGAGCCATACAGAACTGATTAGCTTAGGGCCTTCTAGGAACTTTAAGAAAAGTTTAACAAAGGCCTACCCTTTGCTTCTCTCTGCACATTTCTATCTGTTGCCTAAATCCCAAACCAAATACATTGCTAATGCCCCCTCAAACTTTACTTCATTTTCATGTACACCCTCAGTTAACGGAAACAAAACCCAGAGCACAGCAAGAATTGAAGGTCAACAAGAGATAAGGAAAAGGACATTGCGTGAGAGCACCTACGAAGGCGCCGACACCAGGACGCTGGCTACTGTTTCCTTGCTACCGGAAACAAAGAACTGCAGTTGGGGAGTCTGGGACAAAGCGAATTCCAAAAAGCAGGACAGGCAGCAAACTAAGCTAGACCCGAATGCCGCCTTCCCGGGTTTAAATTTCAACCTTGGGTCAATCCCAAGATTCTTCGCTCTAATACAGCCTTTCATCAGTTTGTGCCAGTTTCCCTTACTCAAAGGGAATAAAACGTGGGGCTGGAGAGATGGTACAGGGGGAAGGGGGCTTGGCCAGCATGCGGCCCACCAGAATTCCATCTCCGGGCCCTCACACGGTCCCAGAGCCTGTCGAGAGAGATCCCTCAGCGCAGAGGCAGGAGTAAGCCCCGGACACCGTCGTCGAGTGGGCAACCCCGTCGAGTCTCGCCCCCCCCCACCGCCACCGCCTTAAAAAGGGAGTGAACCGCACAACAGATTGAAGCTCCGGGGTAGAGGAGGAGATCCTGTGGCGCGGTATGAGGAAGTGCCGCCGGGGTAGAAGTCCCCGGGACGTAGCAAAGACATTCCCCCACTAAACAAAATCAACGTACGCCTTGTGCACTGCGGCGGTCGATGAACAGAACAAAATTCTGCTCACTCCGTTAGCGGAGCCCAGCAGGAGCGTCGGCGAAAAAGGGCTAAGAAAACGCGTAACGTCAGCTGACGAGGAGCTGCCCGGCTCCGGCCAGCGCTCCGCCGCGGGCCGCGAACCGGCCGCGCGGGGGTGTCCCGCAGAGCCCAGAGCCCGCGCCCGCGCCCACAGCCACCCCCGCCCCGCGCCGCTCCGCCCAGCCCCGCGCTTCCGCCCGCCCCCCAACCCTCGGCCTGGGAGGCGGGGCTAAGGGCGCGGCGTGGGCGGGGCGGTGTGTATGACGTCACGTCCGGCGCGCGGCGGAACTGTCGCCCTTTGCTTCCGCGGCGGGGCCGGAAGTAGAAGCGGCGGTGGCGGCGGCCCGAAGCGGAGTGAGGGAGGCAGGCAGGGAGTCGGAGATCCGGAGCCGGAGTCGCAGCGGCGGTGAGCGTGTGGGGCCCCTCCAGGCCACCGTCGCCAGCGCGGGGCCGCGGGGTTCGACGGGAGTTGGCGGGGAGCGGCCAGGGTCTGAGGACGCGGGGGCTCCGGAGCTGCTGCGAAGGGAGGCGAGGGGGGGGCGGGTCCGCTCCAGAATCGAGTCCCCCCCCCCCCCGCCGCCCTCTGACCCGGCCCGGCTTCGCTTTTCCCAGGAGACCCCTGTGCGGCGCGGAGGGGGCGGAGGCCCCGGCTCTGACCCGCGCCGTGGGGGGGGTGGGCCATGGCGGAGATCAGCGACCTGGACCGGCAGATCGAGCAGCTGCGACGCTGCGAGCTCATCAAGGAGAGCGAAGTCAAGGCCCTGTGCGCCAAGGCCAGGTGAGCGGGGCCGGGGCCTGGCGCAGAGCGGACCCCGCAGGGCCCGTCCCGCGAGGAGCCGGTCTCAGGCGCGGCCAGTGTCGGGTGGTCCGGGTCCCGTGGAGTCTGAATTCTCGAAGGTGCTTAGGGAGCGCAGGGCACGGTCCCGTCAGGAGGAGCCCGAAGGCGGCCTCGAGGATCCGACCCGGGCTGTGGGGGCCAGGCCTTGAAGACAGAGATGGTAGCGGGGGAGTGCCAGGAACTAGGGTTCAGGGGAAGAGCCCAGAACTCTGGTTTAATGAAAAGTGTTAGCCCTCGTGACAACTCTTTGGTTTAATGAAAAGTGTTAGCCCTCGTGACAACTCTTAAAGAGGGGTGACATTGCCCCCATTTTCAAGGTGAAGATCCCATTTGGTGTCACCAGCAGGAAAGGGAGGGAGTCCAGAGCCAGTTTTGTGGGATTCACAATGCCAGAAATTTGGACCCCCTCTCTGTACCCTGCGGGAGCCCAGGAACTGAGCGAGAAAAGTTGCCCTGGTCATGTCTGTGGGTCTGTCTAGGCTGATGGAACAGCTCACACCGCAAGCTTTGGAGTGGGGTGGCCCGAGCTAGAATTTGAGCGTGACCGCTTGATGTCCTGGCAGTTGCGGGGTCTGGGACACTTGGTGCCTTCGTTGGCAGTGGGAGGGTGACAGTGCGTATAGATAGGTGTTGGAGGTGAGCTGAAGTTGAAGTGCCCGCTGTCCTCTGGTGACGTTGCTGCTGAGGGACTGAGGTTATCGGGTGCGGTTGGATGGGGCTGGCAGGTGAGAGGACCCCCGGCGGGTGTGAGCATGTGGAGCGGACCTCTTCCTTCCTTCCCGGAGTTGTTTGCTCTGACTTCCGGTAAGCTGGAGCAGTGTGGGGAAAGAGCCAGCAGAGTTACCTGCATGTGTTCCCTAGCACACTGCTGTTAGCCTGCCTGCTCTTAGCAGGCTGGCTACAAGGAGCTATTGTTTGCACCATATTATCCAGCAGGAAGCCTGACTCCCCGGGACATGGTGACTTGACAGGAATTTCAGAGCAGGATTCTGAAATTGGGGCCATCAAGTTCTTTGGCTTTACCCCTCCGTAGACAGGTTTTAAGCAGTCACATAGGTCCTGCAGGGGCTTGGTGAACAGACCAAAACCTCCTTTTGGTGGCGGGTGGCCACTCCCAGTGATGCTCGGGGATTGCATCAGGCTCTGCACTCAGGAATCACTCTTGGTGGTGCTCAGGGGACTGTAAGGAATGCTGGGGATTGCACCTGGGTCAGCTAAGTTCAAGGCAAGCGCCCTACACACTGTACTATCGCTCCGGTCCTACAAAAGCCTTAAATGATCGTCTGGGATCAGCGATACAGATTGTTGGTAGGGCAATGCCTCATATGTGTGAGGCTTGGGTTCAGTCCTCTGTACCCAAAATACATGTGTATCTACATACTGTGCACACCCAGACAGATAGACCTGTATGCATGCATTCTTGTTTGACTCTTACATGTGTTTTTTGGTGGGTTTTTTTGTTTTTGTCTTCAGGCCACACCTGGCAGTTCTTGGGGCTCATTCCTAGTGGGGCTCCAGGGATCGTAAGGAGTGCTGGGATCAAGCTCAGGTTGGCCACCCCTCAGGCAAGCACGCTGCCTCTGCACTGTCACTCTAGCCCATGGCTTTTCCATATTTTGCCAGCTCCAGGAAGTTTCCCGGCAAACCCCAAGATGTTTTTCGTAATTTCTGTGCCACAATCTTTTTTTTTTTCTTAATTTTAGGCATCATGGTTTGCAAAACTATAATGGTAAGGTTTCATACGTAAAACATTCCAGCACTACCCCCTCCTCCAGTGTCCCAATGCTCTGTTTCTCCTTCTCCAAGATTCCTACTGAACACCAATTCTCAGGATTGGGGGGGGGGGGGGAGCACCGGAGGTGCTCAGTGATTGCTCTTGGCTCTGAGCTTACAGATCACTTCTGCCATGGTCAGGGAACCAGATGGGATTCCAGGGATCAAATCTGTGTCAGTCAGGTGCAAGTAACAGCCTTACTGTTACTCCAAGTTCTCCTTTTCTGTTGCCATTGGGCGCTTGTTATTCTCTTACTATGTTTCTTTATGTATCCTCACTTTTTTTGGGGGTGTGTATGGGAGGAAATGGCCATACCTGGCAGTCTTGGGCTTACTCTGGGCTCTACACTCAGGCATCACTATTGGCAGGAATCAGGGAACCATGTGTGATGCCGGGGATGAAACCTGGTCAGCTTTGTGCCAAGTGAGCAACTTACTGTACTATTGCTCTGGCCAAGTGCACCCTCAGTCTTAATCACATATTTAGGAATGTAAAGCGGTGCTGCCTGGCACTATTCTTTCTGCCCACAAGTCTTTCTTGGCAGGGGTTGGGGTGGGGATCCACCCGGCTGTGCAGGTTCGGCTTTGGCTCTGTGCTCAGGGATCCCTCCTGGCAGTGCTCGGAGGACCATATGGAGTGCTGGAACGCAAACCCGGGTTGGGTGCGTGGATGGCAAGTGTCATGCCCACTGTGCTCTCGGGCCCCTCTCTGTGAATCTGAAGTCTCCCTGGGGCCTGTGTCTTTGGTGGTGCTGGTACTCATGCCGATAGCACAGCGGGATTTTCAGAGTCGTAGTTTATACATGTGGTCTCCAGAGCTTTATGCATGTTTCACAAAGAAGAAAGAGCCCCAAGAAAACACGTTTGGGGCCAGAATGATAGTACAGCAGGCAGGTGCTTGCCTTGCAACTGCCCTGGGTTTTACCCCCAACATCCCATGTGGTCCCCCAAGCCCCACCAGGAGTGATCCCTGGGTGCAAAGTTCGGGGTAAGCCCTGCCTGAACATTGCTGGGTATTACCCCAAAAGCAAAAAACAAAACAAGAAGTGAACATGTTCCCACTCTCTTCAAGGCAGTTGGAGGGAAGGTCTTTGACGGGATGGCACCCTTGTTTGTGGGAGTGGGTGAGCTGGGGATGCGAGAGCCCTCCCAGCAGATACTGGGTTGCCGCTAGGAGACACCTGCGGCCTGAGTTGGCATGTTATGCCAGGCGTGACAATGAGGGTCAACCTACTCTCACACCTGGCCTTGACCTGGCCAAGGGACTCCAGCCGAGGTGACGTGGACTCAAACCCTTCCGACTGCCGAGAGCTGAGGTGTGTGGACTAAACACATGCATGCTCACAAAGCAGGGGAGGTTGGGATGCCAGGGTTCAAACCAGGGTTGGCCACATGCAAGGCCAACACCCTCCCCGCTGTACTGTTGCCCCGGCCCCACCTCTCGGAGTCTTTGAAATCACACGCATCTCTAATTGAGGAGCAGGGCTCTTCCCGCCTTTGTTCTGTGTGTGTACGCCACCGGGCATCAAACCCAGCGACTCACGCGCAAGGCAGATGCTTTCCTGAGCTGAGCTACATCCCGGCAAGACCCCCTTTTTTCTTTTAAATGAGGGTCACCTTTAGTGATTCTTGGGGCCCATGGCCACTCCCTAAGTCTGGGCCATCCCCTGGTGGTGCTGGGTTGGGACAGTCAGTGCCTGGAATCCAACTCGCACGAGCCAGGCCCCTGCTCTGTCATTCGGCCTCTCTCCCAGACACTCGGGTGGTGTTGAGCAGGGGGACTCTGCTGAGGCTGGTGACATGCTGCAAGAAATGGTCGGAAGCTGGACCTTGAGCGAACACCGGCAGGCAGATGGGCTGGCCGGGCAGTTCCTCTCCCGATGGAAAGCCCCTTGAAGGAGCCAAGCCACCCTGTCAGGTCCAGGGCATGGCAGTGAACAGCTTCTGCACTTAAAGGCAGGACTCGGGCTGGAGCGATAGTACAGCGGGTAGAGCGTTTGCCTTGCACGCGGCTGACCTGAGTTCGATTCCCAGCATCCCGTATGGTCCCCCGACCACTGCCAGGAGTAACTCCTGAGTGCAGAGCCAGGAGTAACCCCTGTGTATCGCCGGGTGTGACCCAAAAAGCAAAACAAAACGAACAAAGAAAAGGCAGGACTCAGCTGCTTGCTTCTGATGGTGTCAGCACATCCAGGCAACTCACACGCTACAGACCTGGCACATGTTAGGAACTGGAATGTTCTCCGCTGCATGGCAGGGGATGAAATCACGATGCATCATTCTGCTCAAGTTGGCTCTTCGGAACTGACGGCAGTTTCCTCGATGGCTGCTCAGGTAGAATGCACTGCAAGGAGAGACGGAAGCACAGCGGCCTGCTGCTACAGCAGACTGCTCTGAGGGCGCAACCACGGGCCAGCCTGCAGGGCCAGTCTCGAGCGTTGTGTGCTAGGGAGAGGGGATGTGGACGAGCCCAGGCAGAGGCAACAGTTCGGGCCCACTCCAGAAAGAGCCACGGAGGCCGTGGACAGCCTCTCCTGGGAGATTGGCAGCCTCACTCTGCCCTGCAGGCTTAGGGGTCTCCTGTATCCTCCATGTCCCAAAGAAAACTCAGGAGCTAAACCTGGCAGCATGACTGACCCTGGCCTTCTGTCTGCAGGGAGATCCTGGTGGAGGAGAGCAATGTGCAGAGGGTGGACTCGCCGGTCACAGTGAGTACCACTGGCCTCAACCCTTGCCTTGGGAAGGATGCGTGGGAAAGCGTTGAATTCTCATGGCGCAGGAAAATAGACTTCATAGGGGCACAGCAGACGCTGAAACATGAGTTAATCTCCATCCCCTTCTGAGTTCTGGGTGGTTTTGTGGGCAGTGGAGGGGGCACAGCCAGCATGCTCAGGGGCTGCTTCAGGCTCTGTGCTTAGGATTTAAACCAGGGTGTCGGTTTAAACCCTAAGCACAGTGCCATAACCCCTGTACTGTCTTTGCAGCCTGGAGTATTTTTTGGGGGGGAGTAGGGTGTCTGCCAAATAATAATAGTAGTACTTGGGGCTGGGGTCCACTCCCTGTGATCTCGGTCAGCTGTGAACTGGGGTCCAGGGACCACCAGGGCTGCATCTGGCAGTGCTGGTGTGGGGCATGCGTGCTAGTTCTGAGGGTCAGCACTTGACCAGTTCTTGACCATGCATGGCATGTGCCCGTCTCTCTGTTCTGAGCTCTTTGAAGCAGGGAGAAGGGGGCTGGATCCTCTGGGTGTGGGTCTAACCCCAAAGACCAGGCTCTTCCTCTTGCCCTCAAATTCATCATCATTATCATTCAGTGCGCATGAGGGAGGTACAGCAGTAACTTGGGGGTGGGAGGGGAGTTTTGGCCCTGCGGAGTGGAGGGGCAGCCCGGAGCGACAGGTCTGCTGCGGTGTGGCAGTGCTGAAGGACAGTCCTGACTTTGTCTTTGTTTTTTTTTTGGGGGGTGGGTGGGTTTGGGGCCACACCTGTTGGTGCTTAGGGGTTTATTCCAGGCTCTGCACCCAGGAATCACTCTGGCGGTGCTCAGGGAACTGTATGGGATGCTGGGAATTGAGCCTGGGTCAGCTGTGTGCAGGGCCAACGCTTTCTCCGCTCTGCTTTCGCTCCGGCACTAGGCCTGAGTTCTGACCAGACTTTTTCCTTGCCAGGTGTGTGGCGACATCCATGGACAATTCTATGACCTCAAGGAGCTGTTCAGAGTGAGTGTGGGGAAGAGACCCCTTCCCCAAGAGGGGAACTTTGAGGCCCAGAGACCGACGGAGCAGACATCCCCTTCTCTCTCCCCAGGTGGGGGGTGACGTCCCTGAGACCAACTACCTCTTCATGGGGGACTTTGTGGATCGAGGTTTCTACAGTGTTGAAACGTTCCTCCTGTTGCTGGCACTGAAGGTGGGCACCGTTGGGCTCTGCCTGGCCGTCTGCGTCCTTCCCTCCCCTTCTCCCGTCCACCCCAACTCTAGCAGCTGTCCTTGAGCAGGGGGTGTCCCGCTGAGCCCTCGGGGCAGGTGTCCAGGAAGGGGCAGGGCTTGAGTTCACTGGGGTGCAACAGCGGTCGGCAGGGAGGTGAGTGGGGAGGTGATGGAGGGCTGGCAGGCGAGGGGGACAAAGCCGAGACCCCCACCCCTGACTCAGCGGTGGCCCCCAGGTCCGCTATCCCGACCGCATCACCCTGATCCGGGGCAACCACGAGAGCCGCCAGATCACCCAGGTCTACGGCTTCTATGACGAGTGTCTGCGCAAGTATGGCTCGGTGACCGTGTGGCGCTACTGCACTGAGATCTTTGACTACCTCAGCCTGTCGGCTATCATTGACGGCAAGGTAGGCCGCGGGCCGGGAGGGCTGGCATGTCGCCGGCCGCAGCCCCCTGCCCTCCCTTCTTGTTCTCTGCAGATCTTCTGCGTGCACGGGGGCCTCTCGCCCTCCATTCAGACCCTGGACCAGATTCGGACAATTGACCGTAAGCAGGAGGTGCCGCACGACGGGCCCATGTGTGACCTGCTGTGGTCCGACCCAGAAGGTGAGGGCAGTGGACAAGAGAGCGGGCATGTCCCGTGATTGAGGCAAGGTCCTTGCAGGGATTTGGGGAAGAGAAGAGCGTCAGGGGTGCTCTGTGCTCAGAGGGGCTAAGATATGGGGGGGGTCATGGCTCAGAAGTTGTCGGGTCAGAATCGGCCCTGAATGGAGGGACAGGATCACCTGTCAGTGGCAGGACAGAGGTCAGATTCCGGCCAGGCTGGCCCCCAGGATTTCTCCATCTGGGGGTTCTCAGCTGATACCAGAGCAGAGCCAGGATTCCACACAGCCGCTGCCCCCACACCGCCGTGCCTCAGGTGGTGGCCATGAGCCTGTCACCGGTCTGTGATGTAATTATTCTAGACAGGAAGTGATTCCCACTCAGGAAATTATCCTTGGGAAGTTGTGTCCTCCGTTGTTTGCCAGCTCCCTCAAGACCCAGTCAGCCCTAGGCTCTTGCCCCCTAGCCCGCCCTCACCCCTGGGCCAGAAGGAGGGGGAGGGATAACCAGAGAAAGTTGAGGACACCCTGGCTCCGTCCCCCCCAGCCCCCTAACCATGTTTCCTTCAGACACCACAGGCTGGGGCGTGAGCCCGCGGGGGGCCGGCTACCTATTCGGGAGCGATGTGGTGGCTCAGTTCAATGCAGCCAACGACATTGATATGATCTGCCGTGCCCACCAGCTGGTGATGGAAGGGTACAAGTGGCACTTCAATGAGACAGTGCTCACTGTGTGGTCAGCGCCTAACTACTGCTACCGGTGAGCTCTGGGCCCCTGAGGGGGGGCGGGGTGGACCCAGCCCCTGACACTGCCCCCCACTTCCAGCTTTCGGATCTGGGCAGGGTGGGGGGATTGGCCAGCCTCTGACACTGTCCCCCACTTCCAGCTGTGGGAATGTGGCCGCCATCTTGGAGCTGGACGAGCATCTTCAGAAAGATTTCATCATCTTCGAGGCTGCTCCCCAAGAAACACGGGGTATCCCCTCCAAGAAGCCTGTGGCCGACTATTTCCTGTGACCCCTTCGGCCCTGCCCCCTCCAGCCCCGCCGGCCCTTGGACCACTGTGACTGCTCTTCTCCACACGGAGGCTGGGCCTGGGGGGGGCGGGGGGGCGAGGGTGAGGACTTGCTCAGAGAGGTTCGGAGCCCCGCTCCGTGTCCCTCCTCTCCTTTCTCCCCACTTGAACCATGAAGTTTCCAATAATTTTTTTTTTCTTTTTCTCTTTTTTTTTGGTTGTTTTTAGATAAAATTTTGAGAAAAAAAAAGAAAAAATTCTAATAAAAGAAGAAAAATGGTGTCTGGTTTTGTGTCCGGCTGAATTCGGGATGGGCCTGGGGTGCCTCCGAGCCCCCCCGAGCCCCCCCCCCGCAGAGGGCTGGCGGCCCTGTGGCAGCCAGAGGACATCAGCTTCACCATGCTCCCGAAGAGGAAACCCACGGTGTGGACTGATGCGCGCACAAGGTCAAGAGCTGGGAAGAGGCCCAGGTGCGACCCACCTCTGCCTACACACCTTCGCCACAGCCCTGCTGAAGACACACATTCTCGCACTGTTTCCAGCCCACCCAGGCTACGGAGTTTTATTAACCAAAATACTCTGGTTCTGAGAACAGAACCGGGGCCCAGAGGGGCCCCAGGGTGAAGCCGGGAGGTGGGAGTGCTCTGCTGAGCCCCATTTGGCCAGGAGCCTCCCTCCATTCACACAGAGGTGAGAGCCGGCAAGGGGAAGCTGGCCCCAGCTGGCCCCCAGCAGATTAGGCTGAGCTTTGAAGCCAGAGGGGGGTGGGAGTAAAATCAAAGTGTGAAGTAGGGGTGGGGGAGGCTCAAGGCAGCCATTTGGCGTGGGGGATGGGGCGAGGAGAAGTGGGGGCAACAGGCCCCAGGGAAGGGAACTAGAGGTTAGTGGTAGAAGGAAGACAGAGCCCCCCACCCCCCAACAATAGCTCAGTACATTGGTTTGGTACCCACATCCAAGTAACCCCCAGGACCAGGGTAGGGTAGGGGGAAGGGACCCCCTTGGAGGAAATGTGACGCAAAGGGGGCCGGGGGTGCAGCCGCCGGGTATCCTGAGCCCCCCGGCCCAGGCTGCAGCTCCAGGAAGGCAGTTGAGTAGGGGGCTGGGCGCCCCGAATCTGGAGCCTCAGGGAAGTTGGGGGTCCTAGGTAGAGAGAGTCATCAGAACAGCAAAGGGGCCCCCTCCCTGAGCAGCCCTGCGCCCCTGGACCACTTGCCTGCTGGGAAGGTGCCCCGGGGCGCCGTGGAAGGCTGCGGGGTGCAGGAGGTAGGCCTCGGCGCTGGCGCCCCCGCAGGACGCTGGGGCCTGCTCCACCTCTGCCTCCCGGACGTCGCCCAGGGTGGAGTCGCACGGCCCACCTGGTGCATCTGGGGAGATGAGGGAAAGGTTGGGCCAAGGAGGACCAGCACCTCTGACCGGGCCTGTCACCAGCGGGATGACATTCACCTCCACTCCCATAGGCCTCTGTGGCTATCGGCTCTGCAGCCCGCAGTTTCCTCTTCACACGGGCATCTCGCTCCCTGGGGAATAATGATGATGATGATGATGGTGGTGGTGGTGATGATGATGAGGACAGCATGTTCCAGGTGCTAGGCATCACACCTCCCAGGGACCCTCAGGTGGGTTCCATTATTATACCCATTTTACAGGTGACACTCAAGAGAATGAAATAGCTAGAAAGTGGCAGAGCCGGCATTGATTCCTCACTTGAAGCTTTCCAATAGCTTTCAATTACACTGAAAAATCGATGGGACAAGCCAGTGCCTGGTCTGACCTCACCACTTCCCACCTTGCCTCCTCTGCCCCTCTACGCTGGCCCCACTCTGCAGTCGGTGACCGCCTTTTCCCTTAACCCATTCTTGTCTCAGTTCCAGCATCACTTGCACAGGGAAGTCCTGAGTTCCACAGCACCTGCTCCCCACCTTGCTGGCCTTGGCGGGGTGTGCCAGAGGGAAGCTCCAAGGGTCCAGGCCCATGAGGTGTCTCAGACTAGAAGCTGAAGTCCACTAAATCTTCACCAACCGGCATAATCCAGCATCCATCTCTTCTCCACTTGTCTCTCACCTTAGCCCCTCACACTGCTTGTGCTGTGCCTCTCCCTGGCACACTTTTCCCAACTCCCCACATGATTCCTTAAGGTTCCATAGATCCTTAAGGTCATCCTCAATGTCCCCAGCGAGTCCTTTCCAGGCCTCTTGTCCAATACCTCACTTACACAAAATTTTATTTGGGCCATAACGAGTGATGCTCAGGGGCTACTCTTGGCTCTGCACTCAGGAATCACTTCTGATGGTGCTTTAGGGAACCATATAGGATGCCGGGGATTGAACCCAGGTTTGCCACATGCAAGGCAAATGCCCCACCCGCTACTATCACTCGGGCCCCAGTAACTCATTTCTGTCTTTCCTATATTCCTTTTCTCTAGAACCAGGCCCTCTGACTGAATGGTCCTCCTCCACACTAGAGGACCAGTACCGGGAAGATCAGGCCTTAGGTGTGGCTTGATGGACTTGCTGGCTCTCCAGTGCCCAGAGCAGTGATGGCTAACACAGGTGCTAAGTAACTTTTTATGCGCCATTGTGTGGCTGGCATGGAGCACAGTGCCTGGCACACAGTGGACAATATACAAACACTGAGGAAGCCAGGGAGAGCATAGCAGCTAAGGCAGCTGACCTGTCACCCACCACCACATAAGGTCCCCCAGGAGTGATCCCTGAGCACAGAGCCAGGAGTAAGCCCTGATCACAGCCGGGTGTGGCGCAACCCTACGACCCCTGCCACACAGACTCGTTGAACAAACACCATATGAACAATGCCCACCTCTTACAGTTTCTGCCATTTTCCCGGAAGCCCTTGGCAAAGGGGTTGGCAGCAATCTTCAGCTGTGTGATCTGGGGACAGAGATGCAGGATTAAAAGTGCCGCGTGGCCAACCCTGAGCCTGTTGCCCTCCCTCACACAGGGCCACTCACCCGTGGGTTCTGATAGGCAGTCACAGAGATGAACGTGGTCTCAGGGAAGCGGAATGAGGCCACGCCCCCCCAGTGCTGGCTGCAGAGCTGGGCGGCCCGCACCAGGTGTATCCGGGGCTGGTACTTGTGCATGGAGTGTAGGATCAGCTGGAGGAGGAGAGGCCAGTGACTCCTGGTCCTGGGTCCTGCCCCCCTGCCCGCACCCCCCCCCCCCCGCCGTCGTTGCCCAGCTGGGGCCTCACATGGCCATGCGGGTCCAGCGTGCTATTGGTGAGTTTGACTCGATGGAAGGACACGGGCTGCCGCATCCAGTGGGCCCCCGTGGCAGGAGAGTCGGGGTGAATGTAGACACGGTCAGGCAAGCGGGGCTCGGCCTTGCCACTGGGCTCCCAGCGCCGGCCCTGCCAGCGGTAGCGGGCCCCATCCACCGGGAGCACGTCCAGGAGAAACAGGTAGCGGGCCTCGGGGTCCAGGCCCGTGACGGAGACTCGGCAGGCAGGGAACATACGCCTGGACAGGGGAGGCGGAGGGGATGGCACTCGCCGGGGGGCAGAGCCAGGGACTGGCCTGGCTGTCAGAAGATGGTGGAGGGTGCACTCCAAGCCAGCCGGCACCAGTGAGACGACAACAGGTGCTCTCACCGAAGTCACACGGCAGGTGCTGCTAACTCTGGCACCTCAAATTTGGTGACTCTCTTTCCATGATCCCCCAACCCGCCCTGAAACTATGATGGAGCCCCCTACTGCCACCCTGGTCTCATTTGATCAGTGCCACAATGTAGCTGCTGGCAGGGGGAAGGGGGGGAGGAGCACACCCAACAGAGCTCAGGGCTTACTCCTGGCTCTGCACCCCTTGGGGGGACATATGGGGTTCCAGGGATCCAACCCGGGTTGGCTGTGCGCAAGGCAAGTGCCCTACTCACTGTACTATCACTGCGGCCCTGGTCAAAGGTGCTTCTGAGGAAAAGCCTTCCTGCCTTGAGTGGGGTTGAGCCTGCTCCTGCCAGGGTCAAGGCCCACGCCAGCATATCCCGGCCCCCACCAGAACCCTGGACACAGTTCTGGCCGGATTTCTCTCGTGCTGCTCACTGGCTGGCTCTTGACACGGAAGCTGTAGTTGGAACCTTAACTCCGGCCACAGACTGACCTCTGATCCAATCTGTCTGACTCGAGCAGGCTGGCCTGTGACCCTCACCATAATCGGTTCCTAAACCAACTGTGCATTCCATAGAATGACCCTTGACCTTTGACCCATGCCACAATATGATCACAATCTGAGCTTAGGCAGAGCTCTAACCCCCGTCCCCTCCTCCAAGAACCCCCCCCCCCAATCCAGCACCATCATTGAAAATTCCCCGTTTTCCAAGAAAGCCCCACGCTGGACCTCACCTGCCAGCTTTGGTAATGATCATCTCGGTCCCCACGGAGCTGAACTCTTTCCACAGCTCCCGGTTCTCCAGGCTCAGGCTGACTCCAGGGAGCGAGTGCAAGGCCTCCGGGGTGGGGTGGCCCTGCTCAGTGCCCAGGGCTGGGGGCAGAGAGGGCAGAGGTGGGGGCGCAGCCAGGGCACGGGGAGCCACCTCGATCCCGGAGAGGAAGCAATCCAGTTTGGGGGGATCCAGATCTGGAGATGAGGGAGAATGAACGCCCAGCCCGCCAAGGCACGCCCTTCCCCCCATGCTACCAGGCACCACTACTGGGACTCACCTGGGTAGCGGTAGCCCTCTGCCAGGGTGGGTGGGAAGCCGGATTCTGCAGCTGACTGTGGGGGGCCCAGGCGGTAGCCCGTCCCCAAAGCAGGGTACAACTCTCGTGGGTGATACATGGTCCTGTCGAGCTCAGCGCAGGCTGCCTGGTGCTGAGCGATGCCCCCTTTATAGCTCGCAGCTCAGCCCCTTCCAGACCCATGATCACAGCCCCTCCCTCTCTGGGGCCCTAGAGTTGGGCTGAGGTGGAGACCCCTGGGGCCTGGAAGGGGTCCAAGAGGAGGCCGGATCCCTGGGTACCCTCCCCTCCCCCCCTCCCCCCACAGGCTTCATTAGCCTCCACCCCCTGCCCCCTCATTACATAATTAACTCCTCGGCCTGATTGATCCCCAGGGGCTCCACAGGGACGCAGTTTGGCGCTTCCGGCCAGCTGGTCCCCGTTCCCACGGAGGCAGGGGGGGAGCCCCGGCTAGGGATAAGCCAGGGGCGGGGTCTGGCCCCTGGGATGATGGTTGCAGTCAGTCCTGTGGCCAGTGCCTCAGACTTCTGGCAGGTGACCCCCCCCAGCCCCCCTGCATCCTCCCACACTTCATGTGGAGGATGGGACTCGGCTGAAACATAACTGGAGGCAGAGAGCAGGCCGTCGGGGCAGGCCCTGCCTGGGGACCTTGAGGATTCCAGTCCAGCTAGAGTGATAGAGGCGTTTGCCTTACACGCGTCCAACGTGGGTTCGATCCCCAGCATCCCATATGGTCTTCTCAGCACCAGGAGTAATTTCTGAGTGCAGAGCCAGGAGTAACCCCTGAGCATTGCCGGGTATGACCCAAAAAGCCAAAAAAAAAAAAAAATCCACAGTCCAGCACTGAGCCCTGGAATCCTTCTCAGTTCCCAGTTCAGTCTGATAAAAACTTCACTCCAAGTCAAGTCCCAGAGGTTTAGAGATGCCCATAGCTCTGGAGTCCTTGATGCCTGCCGCACCAGGCATCCCCAGGTCTGACGCTAAGAACTACACTTCCCAGCAGGCCCAGCGCCAAGGCTTGGGAAGGAGTCTGAGAGGCGCCCTGGGGCCACTTCACCACTGTGGAAAGTAGTCCCTGGACCAGGGCTGGCAGGTGCCTCCCAGGAGAGCCGCCCCTAGGCGGCAGCAAAGCACTGAGGTTGTGAAGACGAGGGCCCCAGTGGGCAGACTCCGCGAGCGGTGAGGCCTGTGGGTCCTGGAGAAGGTGGCCGTGGCCAGGTCCAGGGGCACAGGCACTGGCTTTGACCCACCCCTTGCCCTGCCCTGGTCTACAGAGGCAGGAATCTGCATTTGGATCCCCGCTTCCCCGATTCCATGGGAGCCCGACACACACTCTCTCTCCACTCCATTGTTTTATTATATACAAACGCTACAGAACAAGGGGAGCAGACACACGTTGGGGGGAGTGGGGTTGGTGGGAGAAGTTCACGGGGTAGCGGGTGCACTGGGACCAAGAGAGCAGCACACAGGCCATCTACAGGGCAGGAGGGACGGGGAGGAGTTTAAAATGAGATCCAAGCCAGCCAGATCCTAGGGAGGTTCGGGGGTGCCGTCCACCTTCTGATCTCCCCCCCAAGGTCACAGTGCATGCAATAAAATATATGTACAGGAGCTGGATCCTTCCTCTGCAGGGACCCCAGGGGTCCAGAGCTCCCTTCAAAGGCGGAAGGAGGCCAGTGGTGCCCCCTGGCGGCCAGGCCGGGGCTGCAGCCACATGCAGCAGGGTCAGGGGTCAGTCCCAGCCATTGTCTTTGATCATGTGGTTGAGTTCAATGATGTACTTCCCCTCTTTGTACTTCTGGCTGCTTTCAAAGGCCTGTTCCTGAAAGGAGAGGGAGGCCATCATTCCTGCAGCAAGGACCTTACGAAGAAGGACCATGGTTGGGCAGAGGAGATGACTGTACATATGCAGAAACTCACCCAGAGAAGCCCAGCCACTGCACACAGACCCAGAGGTGGCAGCAGCAGGCCGGCTTCTCACCAACAGGGCCTGACACACTGAGTCATGGGTACTTTTTAATGCTGGCTCCAACAGAGTGGCTGCGGAAGTTTCTAAAAGATTCAGGGATTAAAACTGGTAGCCTCAGGGCCAGTGTAGGCCTCCACTCCTGTTTGATTTGGCCAGTTGCATAATGATAAATTCAGAAGGCTAGAATCCAGGCAGCCCAGGCGGCTCCAGTCGGCTCCAGACTGCCCCCTCCCCAGATCCATGTCGCCCCCTTGGGCCTGCAAATGTTCTGGATTAGGTCACCTCTTTATGGAGAGACCAAGCGCTCTGCCCCAGGACCCAAAGTGGATTTGCAGCAGGGCCCGAGGTGAACTCAGGTCCGAGTTGTCTGCCAATCTCTCCTGGGACATCCACCTTCCAGAAGCATCACAGTGCCTTGCAGAATCCTGATCCTGGTTTCCCAAGAGCATCTTCCTCTGCCACCTCTAATCTGATCCTGTAACAATCTTAGGTGCCAGGTGGTAGCTTTATCCTTGACTGCCAACTAAGGAAACGAGATTCGGGGCAGTGAAATTGGACCCAGACAGCAGCCAGGGCAATGAGGGCCACAGAAAAGGAGGCCCAAGGACCTTAGCTGTCGCTGTGAGCTCCTGGACTAATAATAATCATTGGAGGTCAAAGAGAAAAAAATAGGACTCAGTCATTATTCTATCCCTAACCACTTGTGTGATTTACAGGGAAGTTTCCTACCATCTCTGGGCTTTTTTTCTTCAAAACAAAGGTAATGACAGACTCAACCTGTAGGATTTGTTGTAATGGCTGAATGAGTCCTGGTGCAGGAACACTCAGTAAGTGACTCTCCCCTCTGATGACATCCTTATTGCTAACATGGGGAGGCCCTAAGGAGAGGGAGGGGTTCAGAGAAAAGCTGCAAAGGCCTCACAGAGAAGAGGCCACGGTCAGGGGCCTGAGAAGACAATATGACTCAGGTGTGGTGGGCTCAACGCCCCTGAAAGATTACCAGGTGACTGCTGTGAGCAGGTGATGTGAGGTCAGGTCAAAGGCTAGCCTGGGGTCAGAGGTCACCGACTCACATATTTCCAGCCCAAAGTGGTCTTGCAGTTCTCGCAGTGGATGTCAGCGACAGCATGGAGGCCTGTCAGCAGCACCCGCTCCTCGGCCGGTCCACAGCCCACGTTCACCCTGCAGGGACATGGGGCAGTCCCAGGGAGGATCCGGCCATCACCAAGCCCTCTCTAGCCATGTCTGTCCTTAGCACCCAAGAAAAGGATGAGCCCCATTTGCTGTCCGAACCAGGGACTCTGGGAGTCTCCACCTGGGGTCACCATGACAAGAGCAGGAAAGGGAGGCGGGATACTCACACTGAATTGAAGAGGTAGGCCCGCCCCTGACTGCCCTGGAAGGACTGGAGGAGGGAGAGAGAGAGGCGAGGGATCAGGGTGGGTGCGGGGGCTGCCGGCCACCCCTCCAGCCTCCCTTCCTGCCCCAGTGTGCTGCTCACCTTGGAGATGAGGTCGTCGTGGTTGGCCAGGTGAGCACGGCAGTGGGCACAGCTATACCTCCGGTGACAATCATCCAAGTAGGCCTGAAACGTCTTGGGCTTTGAAATCCGCACCATGGCGGGGGCCGGGGGCAGTGGCCCCACCCGGGGAGCGGCCCACGGGGAGCAGAGGGAGCCCAGTGCCTGCCGGGGGGAGGGAGGGCCAGTCAGGCACATGCAGGCACACCCGGGGCCACCAGGACGCTGTGGGTCACACTTGGCTGCTGGCTCCCTCCCCAGGAGCCAGCAGCATCTCCAGGGGCTAGAGGTGGCTCAGTTTCAACTCACACTGAGAGGCTACAAGTTGCTTCAATGGGGAAACTGAGGCTAGGAGGAGCCCTGGGTGAACCATACACCTACTTGGGGCCTTGGCCCCTCACCTGGCTATGCAGCAGGAGGAAGGGGCTCTGGGGAGGGGTGGGGGGCAAGAACTGTCAGGTCCCCGCTCTGGGGACCCCGGAGGATGAGGAACTGGATGGTTCTGGGGGCGTCATCTGAACTGTCTGGTGTGGAGAGGTGGCAGGGAGGTCCCCTGGGAACGGGTTCCGAGCTGGACAAGGCAAGGAGGCCTCACCGAAGGTGGAGTGCCACCTAGAAGGGGAGGGGCTCTTCCCTGGTGGCGCTGAGGCCTCGTCTGGGCGAGGGTCTCTTACCTGCATCGCGGAGCCTTACCTGAGACCCGGGGCTCACCTGGGGCGCGGGAGGGGGCGGGAGGGGGCGCCTGGGGAAGGGGCAGCCCTCGCTGGCGGGGCGGGGGCGCGGGGCGGCGCGCAGCCCTGACGACGCGGGCCTCACCTCGCCTGGGCGCGCGGGGGCCCGGTTCGCCGGGGTGGCCTGGCCTGGGAGTGGGGGGCGCTCCTGGTGGGCGCCGTCCCCCCCGGCCCGGGTTCGCAGCCGCCGCGACTTGTTTACACCGAGACCAGCTGCTGCCGCCGCTGCGGCGGGAGGGGGAGGGGGCCGGCGCTGATCCCGGAGGCCGCCTGGGCCAATCGGCGCGCAGCATGCAAATGAGGGGGCGCGTCACGCCGGGCCAGCGCAGGCCCCGCCGCCCTTCCCCCTGCTCCCGGCCCCGGCCGGCCCGGAAATGCGGCTGCGGCCACCCAGCCCCCCGGCCGCCGGCCCTGAGCCCCGACGCCCGGCCCGCCCGCCCGCTCGCCGCCGCGGCCTCCTTGCAGGGCCCTGCAGGGGCCGAGAGCTCAGTATCGACCTGACCTGGGGTCAGAAGGCGCCCGGGACTGGACGCGCGGCCCAGCAGTCCTAACCATCCGTGTTAACCAGAGGCAGCAGCGCCTGTGGACTGTTCGCATCTTACCAGGGAACTGACACACGTGTGACAGTCCTCCTGGGGTGATGGAGTTGGAGAAGGAGCGGAGTGGGGGAAGAGAATCGCACGGAGATTGCATGCGATCTGACACTTGTCTTGGGGTGGTGGATCTGGTGAAGAAGCAAAGTGGGGATTCTTGAATCCGTCGTCGTGTCTTTGCCGTAGGGACTGGTTCTTGGAATAAAATCTGCAGTATTCATCTGGTTAGACCATGGGAGCCACTCCCCACGTTGAGCATCACCTCCTCCAGGCAGCCTCTCGGGCTGTCTCCAGGCTGGGTTAGGGACCTTCTGTTGGTTCCCCCTTCCCCTTTCTCTGAATGTCATTGTTTTCATGGCCTGCTCCTACACCTGCCATGCTAGGCTGGTTTCCTGCAGTGGCGCCAGGTCAGTAAACGTTCTGTGGTTCCTGAAATGGTGCAATAGCAGTGCTGGCTAGGGCTGAGCAATGGGGAAGCCTAGAGTAGGGAACTGGTGAGAGGGTGGGGGGTCTAGAAGGCTTGAATGGCTGAAGTAGCGAATGGGCTCTTGGAACTCAGCTGTTCCAACTGTGCCCAGTCTCAGCGGCCTGGGAGGGGAGGGGGAGAGGGCAAGCCAAGACTCTTGCTGGGTGCCCCGGGCCCTTGATGCCCTCAGTAGAAGAATCATTATCTATGTGTGTCTCTGAAGGGGCAGGGATATTCCTGAGGAGAGGAGGCCAGGTTGGTACCGGGTGTGGCATTACTTTGGGTCTGGAATGTGGCAGAACCAGTGGGTCAGGCTGCTGAGGGCCCCAGACTCTGGCCCTAGGTTATTCTCTCCCCTGACCTGCAGGCTTCCCCGGCTCCTAACCCCAAGCACGAAGATGACATGAAAAGAAAATATTTATTTGGGAAGAGATTGGTGAGGATTAGCTTAGAGGGCTCAAGCACAGGAGGTGGCCTCATGGCTGTCAAGGTAGCGCCTCAGGGCGGTGGGGTAATCAGTCATGACGCCAGTGGCCCCCAGGTCCAAGGCAGCTTCAAAATCCGACTCTTCATTAAGGCACCAGAAAACCACCTGAAGGCAGAGGGAAAGGGCTTGCTTCCAGACCCTCGACCTGGAGAGTTGTGCAGTGCTCACCAGGAAGTTTCCTGAAGTGAAATGCTGGAACTGACTGCTGAATTTTGCAAGCCAATTCTTTCTTTGTTCTGTTCTGTTTTGTTTTGTTTTGGGGCCACTCCAGTTCAGGGGTTACTCCTGGCTCTGTGCTCAGGAATCATTCCTGGCAGTCTTGGGGACTATCACAGTGCTGTCACTACCCGCTGGACTGTCAGTCTGGACTTCGCAAACCAATTCTTTATTTTTATTTGGGGGACCACACTTGGTGGTGCTTGGAGAATCACACAGTGCCACGGTTTTGAGCCTAGGGCTCCTTATGTGCAGCCCTTTGAGCCATCACCCCAACCTGCAAACTAGTTACTATTTATTTATTTACTGACATGGGGGCAAACCCACCAGTGCTCCAGTTATACTCCTAGAGGGAATGAGGGGACCTTGTGGGGTGCTGGGGATCAAACCTGGGTTAGTCACATGCAAGGCAAGTGCCCCCACCTATCACTCCAGCCTCCAAATAGGTTATTTTCAAACACAGCTATTAGACCAGAGAGAGAGGGATCAGGACTGAGCATGTGCAATGCACACAGAGGCCTGAATCCCATCCTGGCCACCGCATGGTCCCCAAACACAGAGCTGGCCCCTGACCTCTGCCAGGTGATCCTCTGCTATTGTTACATAAACTTCTATTTAAAAAAAAAAACAGTAAAAATGATTCCAAACTCATTATTTCCAAATGATTTCACCAGTACCTACATTCTCAAGGTTACTGAAGCCTGTGGAAGGAAACAGATAGAAACAGATACCACCGCCTCAGGTGACCCCCACCCGTCCAAGCATGATGGTGACCCCCCCAGATGGCCATGCTAGAGAAAGCAGGGAGTGTATGGGTGATCACCTCTGGGTTGCTGGTCCCAACCAGGGTATCCATGGAAGGGTGACTGGCACTCCAGTGCTTGCAGCCCACCCTTCTCTGTGACATGCAGTGGAGGTGGTGAGTGTGGCTTGGGCAAGTCCCTGGCTCTCACTGTTTCTGTTTGGTTTTTCTTTGGTATTTAGGGCACACCTGGTGGTGCTCAGGGATCATTTCTGTTGGGGCTTGGGGGTCCATATGGGGTGCCAGGGATCAAGCCTGAGTTGGACTCATGCAAGGCAGGTGCCTCCCCACTGTAGTATTGTTCTGAACCCTCACACTGTCTTATCTGACTATGACAGTGACCATCCTGCCTCGTGGAGCAGGTGGGAGGGCTGACCCTGGAAAGAGTTGTCATCTCTGTGTCCCAATCTCCCCAACAGCCCAACAACGACCTGGCTGTCACCAGAGCACAAGCCTAATATTGAATGTGGGGCCCACTAGGCCTTTTCCACGGGGTGGCTGGAATAACCCTGCTAAGCCTTATTCCTTGCTCTGAGCCCCTCAGAAGTTTGGGTTTAAGTTCAAGTTGGGACCAGGGGTGTACCCAGTGTAGAGCACTAGCCTTGTAAGTGTGAGGCCCTGGGTTCGATCCTTGGCACCACCAAACAAAAAATTCAAGTAGCAAAAGTTTAGGCCAGGCCAGAGATGGTAGGGTTCTTGTACTTGCACGTGGCCAACCTTGGTTCCATGCCTGGCACCCCAAATGTCCTCCTGGGACCTGGCAGGAGTGATCCCTGAGAACCACCAGATGTCACCCAAACCCTGCATCCCCCCCAAATGAAAGTCCAGGTCTGCTCCTTCCTGAGGTGTATGGCTGCCCCCTCAGCCTCTGCCACCTTCTCAAGTCCCTGGCACTGCTTCCAGCGGCTGCTCCTCGGCACCCTCTGCCAGCCTGGCATCCTGCACAGTGGCCCTTCCTTTCCCCTCCTGAAGCCAGCTCCCACTCCTCTCCCCCCACATTGTCTCCCTGGGTTCCCCGAGAAGCTCACTCCCCTTGGGGCTGCGTCGGCTTCCTCTCCAGGACTGGGAAGAGTTGGGCACCTCGGGACCTCATTGTGCCTAGTTTACGCACCCCTGGGGGAGCAAACTATGCCTAGGTCCCCATTTTATAGCCAAGACCCACCAGTGACTTCCTCAAGAAGCCCCTCGCCCCTCCATCAGCAACAGGGGTGTAGGGCCAGCCTCTCCTGAGGAGCTGAGGACCCCTCACCTGTATCCCTCGCTGCTCCAGGTGCTGGATCAGACTCTTCCGCATGATGATCCTGGGAGTGAGACACGGGTGGCAAAGACCCAGCTGAGTGGGCTGCAGGAGAAGGGCAGCGGTGGGCCCCAGTGGGCACATGCCCCCAGCCTCCCTGCCCGCCTCACCATCTGGAAAGCACAGCTGCCAGCCGGTTCAGCACGGAGCAGGAGAAGGGGAAATAAGTCCTGCAGAGAGGTGAGGGGAAGGTGATGACAGCAGCTAGTGGGGAACCCCCCCCCATAAGTCTGTGCAACTGACCAAAGGAACAACCCCCCATTGTTTCTGGAGCCTCTTCTCGCCGGCCTTGATTTATGTTCTCCGGGTGTACCTTACCCCTCAAATTCCTGGCAGGTCTAGGACAGAACCTAGCTTGATTCCCAGGCTGGACACACCATCTGGAGGCCCTCCTGGGTGGACCTGGCCTTGACAGCGTTTGGCTGGCCCCTCCCTGCCTCCCTGCCCAGGTCAAGGGTACAAGACTTTACAACAGCCCAAGGCTGTTGGGGCAGACCTGGGCCCCTGACTGTGTGTCCCTGGAAAATTCTAGAACCTTTCTGAGCTTCCATTTCTCTGGGTTGAATGGCACAGCTGTGTTTCTCTACCTCCTGGGGGAACTGCAGGGTAAATCTCCAATAAGCTAAAGGAAGGTCGCTTGGACAGAGTTCTGTAGGGCAGGGGTCTCTGTAGCACGGAGATGTGGGGTCCGTCTGGGAGCTTCCTTCAGGACAGGGAGAAGCTCAAAGAACTGGGAAACAGAATTCTCTGAGAGCACAGGAGGGTCAGGTCTGAGGGCTGACAAAGTTCCCAAGTTCTGACTCTGTGGTCCTTAAAGCTGTTACTTTGTTTTTCAATGTGTCCCCTCCAGGAAACACCTTTTCAGCGAGAAAGGGGCAACAATTGATGTCTTCCTCCAGGCCTCCTGGGGGGAGGAGCCGCCCCACCTCTTAGTTACTAGTTACCACACTTGTTTAGTTACTAGGTAGCTAAGACCAGAGGAAGTATTTGTTGGATGCATGAATGAAGGAACCTGCATCCTACAACTCCAAGTGAAAGCATCTACATCCTTTCCAGGTGGCTGGTCTCTCAGCATTCACTTCCCTCTCGATGCCTGGGGAGTGACAGGGTGTTTGTTTGAGGACCTGGGGGAAAGGAGAGGGACAGGCCCAGCTGGGCGGTACCTGTTGATGATGCTGGGCAGGAAGCAGAGGAGGAAGGTCTCCGGGATGGGGACGAAGGGCAGGAGCCCCAGGTAATAAAGAAGCAGCACCCAGAATCCTCGACTCATTGTGAAGGAGAAGGGCATCTGGGGGTTCTGTGGGGAAGGGACAGCCGGTAGGCCGAGCAGAGAGGAGGCCCGGGCACAGGGAAAACTGTTCCGGACGTTGTTAGCCAACAGTAGAGAAAGCGCATCTCAGCCCCAACTCGCCCTCCTCCTACCCACCATCCTTTGCGCCAGTGCATTCCCCACCTCCCAGGGGACCCGAGACAGGGTCAGGGGGGCCTCCAGAAGCCCCTGGGAGCCCTCTAAAATCGGGGCGGGGGGGGGAGAGGGTGGACTCACAGCAGCCTTGCATTTTTTCATGACTGAGCTCTTCTCCGAGGCCCACACGGTGATCTCATTGCGGTCGAAGTGCCTCACCAGGTCCGCGATCTGGGGGAGCGGGAGTCAGGTCGCCCCTCAATCGGGTCAGCTGTGGCCCCGCCCCCGCCCCCAGCAGCACCTTGTGGATGAGCTCCTCGTTGTCCGACTTGATCTCCACCGACATGGGCGTCCGCGGGAACCTCTGAAACAGCTCCTCCAGGCTTACCATGCGGCGGTCCGAGCCGTGCGCAACTCGACCTGGGGAGTGGAGAGTAGTCGGAGAAGGACTCGGCGCAGGGATGGGAACCCCGGGCCAGGGCAGGACCAGCCCTCTCTCACCTGGGGAGAAATACACCTCCAGCTCCTCCTTGTACAGCGGCAGGTCCTGGGGGGCGAAGGCAGCACGTGTCACAGGGGAGCCCACTGGAGGCGGGGCCAGGCTTTGGGGACACTAGGGTGAGGCCCACCTTGAAGTCCAGGCTGCCCACATCCCTGTTCAGGCCGGACTGGCGGGACAGGTTCTCATCATGGGACACCACCACCACGCCGTCACGAGTCAGGGAGCAGTCGAGCTCCAGGAGGTCTGCCCGCTGGGCCACGGAGCTAAGGGGACAGAGGTGAGTCGGGTGCAGGGGTGGGGCAGGACCATGGGGAAGAGGAGGAGGTCTGGGGGGATGTGGGGCAGAGTCCCAGCAGGAAGCAAGTGCACCCACTAGCCTGGGCGCGCCACACACACTCACTTCTCCATGGCCTCCAGGGTGTTCTCCAGTCGCTCTCCAGAACCTGTGGGGACAGCAGACTGGGACCCCTCCTCCCCCTCTCCCTGCCTCCTCCCAACTGTTCTCAGTGCTACCTGCACCTCACCTTTCTGCTTTAGTCTCTGCTTTTTTTATTTTTTTTTTGCTTTTTGGATCACACCTGGAAATGCTCAGGGGTTTATTCCTGGCTCTACACTCAGGAATTACTCATGGGATGCTGGGAATCGAATCCGGGTTGGCCACGTGCAAGGCAAACGCCCTACCCACTGTACTATCTCTCCAGCCCCCTCTGCCCTTCTTTTTTTTTTAATGAGGTTTTTTAAATGAGGGGCTACACCTGGCTCTGTGTGTGGAGATCACGGTCACTCTCAGGGGTGCTCAGGGTCCCAGGTCCCCCATGTGCAAAGCACGTGCTCAGCCCGGAGCCAGCTCCCCAGCCCCTCTGCCCCCTCGCATTCTCCTCTTCCCACTCTGACTCACTCCCCTCACTCCACCCCAGCTGACCTCCTCGGTGGGCCGCCAGGCGGGGTCGGAAGGCTGGGTTGCGGGGTGCATGCAGCAGGCGGGGCCGGCGCAGGAAGAAGATGGAGACCATGACGTAGCTGCCCAGGGCGGGCACGGCATAGTAGAGCAGAGGACTCATGGGCGCTCGCTGGGCCCTGGCTGCCCTCTGCCCGGCGGCCGCCACACGCGACACAGCTCTGCAGTACTGGCTGCTGGTCGATGAGCTGCCTCCCAACTGGCCGTCACCACACCCTGGGGACCTGCTGAGCCTGCTGCTGGCACTGCGCCAGGCTGCAGGGCTGAGCTGGGGATGGGGTGGGAGCAGGTGCAGGGCCAGGAAGCTCCGGCCTCAGACCCCGCACCCTTTCCTTCGCTGCCCTGCGGTTAGGCCCTCCCCCTGACTACCCCCCTCAGGGCTGACCCACCCCGACCTGTGTCCAATGGTGCGTGTGGCTAGGGCACTTACTGACCCCGCCTTGCCATTTACAGAGGAGCTGGGCACCTGGGGGAGTGTAAGATGGCCCTGAGTCACCCTCAGATTACCTTCAGCCAGTTTGACAGGAAATCATCGGAGTGGGGAGCACTGACTAAGGGGAAGCCCAAGCCCACGCCTCCTGATTGGGGTTCCCTCCACCCATCCCACCCCAGCCCGGAGCCCGGGAGAGCCAGGGGAGATGCTGAGACTGCGCACAGGAGGTGCCCCCGAAGGACCACGGGTGCCGACTGGGCCTCCCCAGCAGAACCCTCAGGAGACTGGGGGCCTTGTGCGGGAGCACGGAGCCATGTCAGGGCTGGGGTTGGAGCCCGGGAATGAGCATCTTCCTCCAAGGATGTGGGGGAGTGGGGCTGGCTCAGCCTCAGCTGGGCAGCAGCTGGACTGGGCAGTCCGTCATCAAAGCGGCGATTGTTGAAGGTCAGGGCGTCGGCGTGGACAGACAAAGCCAGGCCATCGCATACACATCTCTGTATTTATATATTAGATACAGGCACGGCGGGCAGGGGCGCGGGGCTCCCCAATGCCCCACCCCCCACTTCTGTTCACCCACACACAGAAGCAGCGCGCGGGGGGGGGGGGCATTAAATGTGGCAGCTTTGGGGGAGGGGGCCCTGTCCCTCAGGGATACTAGCCCTTGAAACTTCGGAATGTTCCTTCAGGCAAAACGGGGTGTTTTTTTTAATGGGGTTCGAGGGACAGGGCTTACCCTGAGTCTTGACTCAGTCTCCCCCTCTGCCTCCCCCCCCCCACCCCTCAGCAGGTCCTGAGGCAGCCAGAGCCCTTCAATTCCAGAACTTCCAGAGACCGGGAGAGCGAAGGGAGATGACAAGATGGCCGGGCGGCAGCAGCAGCAGATTCGCTTTCGGGCACCTGAGCCCCTCAGGAGGGGGCGGGCACGAAGGGACCCCGCAAAGCAAGGGAAGGCAGCCCGGTCAGTCCTCTGCCCGACCCGGGCTGCAGGGGCAGGGCTGGGCACAGTGTCCGTTTCTAACAGTCCACAGGAGGTGACGGGCAGGCAGGAGGCAGGACCTGGAGGAAAGACAAGCAGGCAGGACACTGTGAGTGGCCAGAGGCCTCGCCGGGGCCTGTTCTCTGCCAGGAGCTGGGCCATGCAGTTTTGAGGGCCCTACGTTAGAAGGCTCTTTTTCATTTTTTTTTTTTTTTTTTTTGCTTTTTGGGTCACACCCGGCGATGCACAGGGGTTACTCCTGGCTCTGCACTCAGGAATCACCCCTGGCGGTGCTCAGGGGACCATACGGGATGCTGGGAATCGAACCTGGGTCGGCCGAGTGCAAGGCAAACGCCCTACCCTCTGTGCTATGGCTCCAACCCCTAGGAGGCTCTTAAGGACCCTGCGTGGCGACTGGGCCCGCCCCACTAGAACCCTCTCAGGAGACTGGGACACAGGAGCACAGAGTTGTGTCAGGGCTGGGGTTTGAGCCTGTGTATCTTCCTCCAAACAGGCCGCTGCGGGCCAAAGACAAAAAGGAGAGAGGAGGAGGGCGGAAGTGCAGTGTGGGAGGGTGGGGGGGACCCTACAGGGCTCCCCCAGGTGTGTCAACACCTGGGTACCAGGTGTCCGAAAGTGGCATCTAGGTCAGGCTGATGCTGTCTCCGCCCCACAGCGCTGGCAACTCCACCCGCCTCCCAGCCTGACTGTAGCCACTGATGGGGCCTCGGGGCTACAAGGTGCAGGGGCATGGGAGGGAGGCTGCAGGGGCTGGGAAGGGAAGTGGAACATCTGGAAGGTGGCCGGCCAGAGGTCTGCTGGCCCACTGCGCCCCGTGTTTGAGGAAGAGGCAGCTTGTGACAGGGGTGGTGGGGGGCACTCACCAGGCCCCAGGGAACAGAGACCCAGCTTAGGGGGTCTCCCGGGCTCCCGGCTGAAAGGGGGCTGTTTCCTGAAAGATGAGCTCCTTCAGCTGCTCCTTGGGTAGGTCGTCCAGCTCCATGTCAAAGGTGAAAGGCTCCTCGGCCACGGGCTGCGGGGGAAGAGAAGCAAGGCCACGGCAGGGACTGAGAGACCCGCCTCCATCCACTCTATCCCCCCACCTGCCACCTGCCTGCCACCAGCAGCTTCCCACCTCATCCGTCGGATCATAGTACTGGTCCACATAGGGATGAGCCAGAGCTTCCTCCACCGTGATCCGTTTGTTGGGGTTAAAAGTCAACATCCGGTCCAGCAGGTCAAGGGCTAGGGAGACGAGGTCAAATATAGGATCTCACCAGACGAGCTCCCCAAAGCATCACTTTCCTTCTCCATGCCTGGAGACCGTCTCCCCCAGGCAGCTCCTGGGCCCTTTCCCCTGCACCCAGTTTTCTTCCTGCAACAGTCCCTAGGTCTCTTATACCTTTGGCATCTGACTTGGGAAAAAGCTTGGCCCAGGCCACTTTGGTCTTGGAGGGAAGAGACTGTAAGTAGTTCCGGGCCTTCATGTTGATGATACAATTCAGGTCTTCCTGCGATGGCGAGCCCAGGATACCTGTGGGAAGGCAGGTGGCTCGGTGAGAGATCCTCATCCCTCTGGGAGCAGGATCAAGCACTAGGGCCCCGATTCAGCAGGGAAGAGAAGGGCGCTGACTCAGGCACTCCCAGTTCCGATGCGACCCTCACCCTCAGCGTGGGGTGGGTGTTGCCTTTTCCATCTATCAAATGAGGGTCGTGTGCACACTTCGTGGAACTACTATGAGATGCTGGGGGGGGGGGGGTCCACATTTGGAAGCGCCCCTGGCTCGACTCCCACTAATCCTGATGTTTGGAAATCTCTCCCCGCCGCCCCCTGTAAGCTCCCTCCCACTGAGTCTGAAGGCCCCTCTCACCCAGAATGTGGTTGAGCTGGTCTAGGTAGTGCTTGCCGGGGAAGATGGGCCGGTTGGAGAGCATCTCAGCCAAGATGCAGCCCACAGACCAGATGTCAATGGACTTGGTATAGCCCTGTGGAGAGTGGGAGAGAGGAGGGCTCCGGGACCAAGTCTCACCAAGGCCCTATTGTCTGAGCCCCCACCACCACCTGTCCCCTAGATTCAACACCAGCAGGACTGGTCAGGGCCCAACAGAGCAAAAGCTCAGCTGCATTCTGAGGGGCCTGGGCTTCATTCTCCAGCCCGGCAAGGTATCATCAGATCCCTGGTTACACTTCCTGCATCATGGGGTTCAGTGCTTGGATATTCTGGGACTTGGTGCTTTCCCTTCCAGGTCAGCCCCCCTACCTTGGAATTGAGCATGATCTCAGGGGCCCGGTACCAGCGCGTCGCCACGTATTCTGTTAGGAAGCCCGTGTGGTCGTGCTCAGGATCAGCAATCCGGGCCAGGCCAAAATCGCAGATCTGGAATCCAAGTCAGGGTGCTAAGCTCAGTACTCTTGGCCTCCATGGCCCCGTCACTCAAGCAGCTCTGCCCCTGCCCAGGCTGCTCCCTGTGTGTGCAGCTGTGCAGTGCTCTCCTACCCAAGGTGTACTTGGAAGGCCCAGGTGGGGGGGACTGGAACCCAACCTTCTGACCTTAAGGTCCCACCCAACCCTCTGACCTTAAGGTCGCAGGTGGTGTTGATGAGCAGGTTGGAGGGCTTTAAGTCCCGGTGGAGCACATTGGCTGAGTGGATATACTTTAGGCCCCGCAGGATCTGGTACAGGAAGTAGCAGACATGGTCGTTGCTCAGCTGCTGGCTTTTGAGCAACTTGTATAGGTCTGTCTCCATCAGGTCCTGCACAATATAGCTGAGGATGGCAGTGGAGACTCCCCCACCCAGGTGGGGGGGCAGGAGGCACTGAGTTAAGAAGAACAGGCTCTAGGAATATTCTTCCCATTCCCACCAGCTGCTGCCCAGGACTCCGGGATCCCCGGAGCTGGAAACCCATAACACACGCCAGACAATCCCACCACGAACAGCAGGAGGGGAGGGGCAGGGCTCTGTCACCTCTCAGCCGATGACCTGAGCAAAGCAGTGGCCACTGAGTGTGTGGCCACTGTTCCCCTACCAGGAAAATGGAAGAAACTACTGTGGGAGGGAGGAGAACTGCCCAGCAGGGGATGCGGCACTACGGTAGAGCAATTGCCTGGCACGGATGGGTTTAATCTACAGGACCGCAACACCCCTATCCTGAAAATCACAGAAAGAAACCTTTGTTATGGCTGAGGGGTTGATTCCGAGGGCTAATGTATTGTATGCATGGGAGGTCTGGGTTCAACCCCTGGCACTGCATGGTATCCACAGGGAGGGATACCCAAGCACGCCCCAAGAATGGCCCTGAGCATCACAGGATTCCATGGCCCAAGCACTCATGCCACTGCCTCTGCCCGGGCTGCGCCTCGTGTGTGCAGAGTGCGATGCTCTCCTCCCCAGGGTGCACTTGGGAGGCCCAGAAGAGGGTGGGGAGTGGGGCGAGGGGGGACCAGCACCCAACTCTCACCCCACCCTCTGACTGGCATCATATAAGCTCCCCAGTGCCCCTCCAGGAGTGATACCCAAGTGTAGAGCCAGGAGCAAGTCCTCAGCACTGCCAGGGGCGCCCCTAAACAAACAACAAAAAAATCGAGGGTTCCATAGAAATGACCTGCACTGAGCAGCCCACCCAGGGACCGCCAGGCATGTCCTAGGCGTCAGTGGACTAGCACTGCTGCTTCTGGGGTAATGCCCGAGCCTCCTGGCTGCGGAGAGGGTTAAACGAGAGACTGTACAAACACCATCTGGCAAGCAATAAATGTTTGCTTGAAAATAAACGCCTGCCTTCTGGGAATGGTTTGTGCAGGGCAAACGAGAAAGCCCAACAGCGCACTCCTGTGCCGCCGAGGCCCTCAGAAGACAGGAGTGAGGCTTGTCACACTGGACGATAAAACAAGGATTCAACTCCACAAGTTAGTCAGTCCATGGGCTGTCTCAGGGCTGGTCTCTGGGAGACCATGTCAGGGCTGCTTTTTAGCATCCGCCCCCAAGGGTCTCTAAGAATGTCTGATGCAGCCCTGCTATTTCCTACACGGAGGGGGGGCCCAATTGGACTCAGTGACTTGCTTCAGGTCACACGACAGGGTGGGGTGAGTGGGGTTGGGGACTGGGCCCCTAGGAGAAGGGCTGGGGCTGGCTGGGAGGGGGCAGAGGTGACCGTGAGGCTGTAACAAGCTCTTGTCAACAGAGCCAAGCAGGAAGTGGACCATAAACTAGGAAAGAGATAAGGGGGGGCTGGCAACAAAGGCCCAACTGTCCCTCCCTGGGCAAGGTCCACATCCAGAGAGGGGTGACGGGTGGGGTTCCAGAAAGCAGGAGTCCAGACAAACAAAATCTTTTTTGGTGGGGAAGGCAGTTAACAGGGCGGTTTTGGTTTTTGAGTCACAACTAGAGACGCTCAGGGGCTACTCTCGCCTCAGTGCTCGGGGGGGTCATTCTTGGTAGTGCCCGAGGGACCATGCCATGCCCGAGATCACACATCGGCCTCATGCACATAAAGTCTGTGCTCAGACTGTTGGGTTCTTCCCTCTGCTGCCCCCCGCTCCCCGGTTTTGTAACCGTTTCCTCATCAGCACTGGAGTGAGCAGACCCATCTGAGAGGGGTCAAGAAGTGTCCAGCAACGGCTGTCACAGAAAGATGGGGTCATCTTCTGCCCTTCTTTCAGTCTGAGCACCCAGAGGGGAAAGAATTAAGATCTGTGAGGCAAGAACGGCTGTGGGCAGGGGCCACGCGCGTTAGAGAACTACGCCCAGACAAAGCTCTCACAGAGCCCGTCTCGCCGCAGTCCCACTGAGGCACGGCAGAGGGAACAGACTGGCCCAGGTGCACAAGGACTGGCCAGGAACCCAGCGAGGCCTCCCAGCCCCTTCGGCTCAGTGGCTTATTTTCTGCTGGGAAGTTTCTGTCCTTGGGTTGGTTTGAGGCACAGAGTCTGATTAGCGGCGCCCACCCCCCAGCCCCCAACCGCCTGGCCCAGGTGAAGGATACACATCCCTCATGGCTTCCAGGGTGGGGGCCCGCAGGATGTCCCGGATGCCGATGACATTCTCGTGGCGGAAGCGTAGCAAGATCTGAATCTCTCGCAGGGTGCGCTGACAGTAGGTCTGATGCTCGAAGGGGCTGATTTTCTTGATGGCCACTCGGGTCTTGCGCACGTGGTCGTAAGCTGAGCTGAGAGGGCCAGAGAGATATTCCTGGTGTGACCTTACAAGGGGGAGTCCAGGCCCGGTGGCCCCACCCAGGCCCGGCCAGGGAGGAGCGTGGTGCTGGGGCCAAGTCATAAACAATGCTGGTTCCTTCCTGCCGGGCAGGCCTGGGATCTCCAGGGAAAACGTTGGGGAGCAGCCAGGCGGCCCCTCATGACTTCACAAACAGAGGAAGAGACTGACCGCTCGCTGACTTCCCTCTCCTCGGCCCTTTCCATTCCACTCGCCCTGACCCCTCATCCTCTGCTTCCCAGGACGTCCCCCAGCCCCCCAAGGCAGGTTCAGGGGCCCACAGAGCAAGGCAAGGGGAGCAGGAGGCGCTCGGAGGAGGGCGGGAAGATGGGGTGCAGGGCTGGGGCTGCTCCCCGGGAGCCACCGCCCAGAGCACAGGTGGGCTGCAGCGCTGGCGCCTGCAGCGGGCACAGACCCCTCCTCAGTAGAGCCCTCCTCCCGCCCCGCTGCGCCCCGCACGCCCCGACCCTGCCCAGCCCCGAGCTAGGAGCTAGTCAGCAATGCCAAGCGCCCGGGGGGCCTCTCGCCGGGGCAATCCAGGGCATCCAGCCCCACCCCCCAGGAGGGTCCCCCAGTACCTCCCCGAGGAGAGTGGTTCTGCTCGCCCCACCCGCGGCTCCAGGGTCCCCGCAGCACCACGCCTGCCCTCTCGGCACCCTCCTCTCGAGCTCGGTCGCACCCAGCGCCCCCTCCCCAAGAGAGCGCGCGCAGGCCCTCTCCCGGGGCCGCTCCCCGCCACCCTCCCGGAGCTGCTTTCGGGGGGCCCGCGGGGCGGCTGCACACCCACCCTCGCGCTCTCCCGGGAGCCCCCTCCCCGGAACGCCCCCTCACCTGACCATGCCGTACGCGCCCTCGCCGATGTACTGCAGCTGCGTGTAGCGCGGGCCCACGTCGAACGGCTGCCCCTTCACCATCTCCACTTCCCCGGGGACCCCCGGGACCACCCCGTCGGCGCCCCGGGGCTCCCCGCCCCCGCCCCCCTGAGCAGCCGCCGCCGGCGCCGCCATCTCCACTCCTCCCCGCCCGCCGCCGGCCCCGCCCCGCCCCGCCCCGCCCGCGCGCGCCCGCCCCGCCCCGCGCGCGCCCGCCCCCCACGTGACCCGCCGCGCGCGCCCCGCCGGGGCTCCGGGGCCGTCTAGACGCCGGCCGGCCCTTGCCCGCAATGCAGATCCGCCCGTCGCCGGCCCGCGCCCTCCGCGAGCTGACCCCGCCGGCCGGTGGGGTGATGAGGAAGGGCCGAGCCGCGGCCTCCGGGAGGTGGAGCCTCAACAGCCCGCGGGCCGGTGTCGCGCCCCACTGACCCGTACCTCCTCCCAGTGCCACGGTGACCCCGCCCGGGAGTCACCCCACGGAGAGGCGCGGGAGCCCTTTGCAGAGTCGTGCGGGAGAGGGCTGGGGACCCAGCTCGGCCAGTACCGCATGCGGTGCCCCGTTCTCTGCGGTGTCCGACCGCGCGCAGAGAAAGGACCCAGGCCTCTCAGTGGACAGCAGAGAAAAGGCAAATGCTGCATCCAAGGACAAGTGGCTTTTCAGTTTAAACATGCAGTCAACCTGCCCTTCCGAAAATTAGCAGAATAGGTTGCATTTTTGTTGTCCACAAAATTGACACCACTGCAGTCCCACCGAGATCCTAGAGCCCTTGGTTTCCTTCCTTGGGACAGTCCACAGGGTAGGTGGGGACTGTCCGCTGCTCTGCTCGGAGAGTGTCCAGAGGAATCAGTGGGCAGTCTTGAGAGCTGGAGAATCTACTTGGTTAAGGTCACTGTGATAATAATAGGACTGAGAGGCAGGAAGCTGTCTTCTGACAGACATAGGCCCTGGCTGATTTCATACTGTCAATAATAGCTCAGGGGTCTGCATGTGCCAGAGTGGAAGGTTTCAGGGGCCAGGACCAGCCACCCCCTCACTTCACAGTGAAGATGTCAGAAGATGTCAGCTGGAAGCTTCACAAAAGGATACCTAGGTAGGCTCCAGGAAGCAAGCACTTTATTTATTTTATCCTGGGACGACATGCATTAGAGATCAAGAGACAAAATGGAACCATAATTGATGATTCTGAAATTGCTCATAATCAGATCTACAGCCAGGCACTCTACTTCAGATTAATGAGACTGTGTGGCTGGTTTCTAATGGCCCCCAAGTTAGTGAAGGTTCAAGGGGTGCTAATTAGGTCAATGGTTTTTGGTTTTTCATTTGATGGGCTATTGAATAGCGCTGTGTGCAGAGTGCCCAAGCCAGGCACTGCGGCTAATGAAAGATCACTCTATGGGGGGAATTCATGATTAGGAACCAGGGCTCCTGGAGCCAGGCTGCAGGGTTCCATTCCCCAAGCTGCAACTTCCTTGCTGTAATGCCTACCTGAGCCACTTCCCCAGTGACCCTCTGCTTGTGGAGATGGACACGCTCTCTGCTAAAGCACACACAGACATGCATGGGTCCATTAAGGATGGGATGCCGTCTGCTAATAGACAGTTTGTGAGCTCAGAGGTGGATAAGAGAGCCCTGGGGAAATGAAGGCGTAATGGAAGTGGGGGAGTAGAGGGGTGGTTTGGAGGGAGGGGAGCAGGGGCAGTGTTTGTGCAGTTAGGGATTGCAGCCTGGAGGGGCAGGTGAGGGCTGGGTTGAGTTTGGATTTTTTTTTTTATTTTTGGGTCACACCCAGCGATACACAGGGGTTACTCCTGGCTCTGCACTCAGGAATTACCCCTGGCGGTGCTCAGGGGACCGTAAGGGATGTTGGGAATCGAACCTGGGTTGGTCGCATGCAAGGCAAATGCCCTACCCTCTATTGCTATTGCTCCAGCCCTGAGTTTGGATGTTCTTGTGCCCCACCTTTTTTTTTTATTAAAGCACTGTGGTTTACAAAGTTATTTACAGTTGAGTTTTATTTTATTTTTATTATTGCTTTTTGGGTCACATCCAGCAAAGCTCAGGGGTTACTCCTGGCTCTGCACTCAGTAATTACTCCTGGTGGTGCTTGGGGGACCATATGGGATGCTGGGATTCAAACCCGGGTTGGCCACGTGTAAGGCAAAGGCCCTACCTGCTGTGCTATCACTCAAGCCCCTCTTTCTTTCTTTCTCTCTTTTCTTTCCTTCCTTCCTTCCTTCCTTCTTTCTTTCTTTCTTTTTTTCTAGGCGGGTCACACCCAGTGATGCTCAGGAGTTACTCCTGGCACTGCACTCAGTAATTACTCCTGGTGGTGCTTGGGGGACCATATGGGATGCTGGGGATCGAACCCAGGTCAGCCGCGTACAAGGCAAACACCCTACCCGCTGTACTATCATTCCGGCCCCCACAATTGAGTTTTAGACATACAATATTGCAGCACTGATCCCACCACCAGTGTCAAATTTCTTCCACCAACTTCCCCAGTTTCCCTCCCTAATCTGCCTGCCCCGCCCCGCCCCCCCCACCCCCCCCCCCCAGCCTGCCCACTTGACAGGCACCTTCCTAAAGGTTATTCGAGTTCTGGTGTCTTGATTTCAGTGTGGTTGACTCTGTGGTTTGGCTGTTTGGCTCCAATATTCCTTAATACCACCAGTGGACGCCAAGTCCCCTGTCCTGGCCCCTGTTGCTTCTCATCTGCCTCTTCTCTTCCTCCCCTCCACTCTTTCTTCCCTTCTCCTCCCTATTCTCTGGGGCCAAGGTTGATCAGGGCACCCCCCCCAGCCCCCCTTTAGAACATGACATTCCCTCATCCAGTTATTCTAACTACCACATAGGAGTGATATCAGCGTTTGGATGCTCTTCAGTAAGTGATAAAAGCCTTTAAGAGACATGTGCCGGAGCTTTTTGCAAGTGCAGGAGAGTTTTAGTGACTCAGAGAAAACACCATAGAGCTCAGCTAGGAGCCAGGTTTCCTGAGTGGGAGTGAGTTTCCCAGCATAGGCCAGGCTGGAGGATGGCGGTGCCTCTTGGCGCTGTCTCCCCGCAGTCTTTAAGGAGGGCCTGAGATTCCCCTCTAGTGGCTGAGGTTGGTACTTCCTGGGAGGTTGACCTGGGATTTCTCTGTGCAGGGCACTCAGATTTTCCACATCTGTATCCTGACAACAGTCATATTAAATAGATACTATATGTATGATAGATATGTATATTTTTTGTTTCGGATTCCCAAACAAAAAATACATATACATCATACACAACCTGTGATGCTTAGGGATTACTCCTGGCTCTGTGCTCTCGGATTACTCCTGGAGGGACTCAGGGTGCCAAGGATCCAACTGGGGTTGGCCATGTGCAAGGCAAGAGCCTTAACCCCTGAACTATCTCTCTGACCCAATACTGTTTTCGTTTAATAGGGAAGGGGAAAAAAGGAAAAGTTTATAGAACTATAAGTTGGAAGAAGCTCTAGGCATCACTTTTTCCCTCAGGATTTTATTACTTCATAGCTCACAATGTTGTTAAATTTTTTCTGTTTTGGGTTGGAGCTATAGCATAGCGGGTAAGTCTCTTGCCTTGCATGTGGCCAACTCAGGTTCAATCCCTGGCATCCCATATGGCCCCTTATGCACCACCAGGAGTATTCCTGAGTGCAGAGTCAGGACTAACCCCTGAGAATCACCAGGTGTGGCTCCAAATCAAAAAGAAGGAAAAAAAGAAAAAAGAAGTTTTTCCTTTGCTTGTTATTTAGTTTTACTGTATCCCCCAAATCTTTCCAGAGTAAGAGCCTTTTTGTTTGTTTGTGTTTTGGGCTCATGCAGGAGCTACTCTGGCTGATTCGGGGCTCGTGATAAGGAGATCATGCAATATTAGGCCCCCTACCTGCAAAGCATGTGCTGCAGCCCTCTGAATTCTCTCTCTGGCCCCAGACTAAGTCTTTTTATACCATCCCTTAGCTGTTTGTGATGTAAAGGTCATAAAATGGGCCAATAATTTGCTGATGCAAATGAATAAGAGTTCATTGGAAGAACACAGATGAACATATTCATTTCAATGATCTCACTTAGGAGCTGGAAAAATAGAACAGTTGGGAGGGCAATTGCTTTTCATGCACCAACTCAGATTCAATCTCCAGCACCCCACATGGTCCCCTGTACTCTTTTAGGAGTGATCCCTGAGCTCAGAGCTAGGAGTAAACTCTGAGCACCACCAGGTGTATCCCCAAGCACATAAACAGCCCAACTAGCTAGCACAAGACTAGAAGGCAGAAACTGTGCAGGACAGGGGATGGGATACTTAAACGTTCTTAATAGGGAGCCTCCCAAGCAGTGCTCAGAAGCCTGGGCCCCGTCATCAATTCTTGGTCAACTGGACTTGCAGCTCAAGACAGCGGCTTGGGGATTTGATGGTGCTCAGACCCCTGCTGTGCCAGGAATCCAGATGGGAGTGCCAGGACAGTAATCAGCAATTCTCAGGGTTCTGTGTGGTGCTGGGAATTGAACCTAGGCGGCACACATGCACGCTTGCACCCTGACTGATGTACCATCTCCTGGCCCAGGATTGGAACACTTGTAATAAGTTATGAATATTTATGTCCTGGCCACTTTTCAAAACCCCAGAAGCTCTCTCATTGCTTTTGTCAAGATACGAAAGAAACCATCCTCTTCCTCTCTGGAGTTTTCAAGGCTCTTTGGTGAGAAAAAGTGAGGAGAATGGATGGATCACGCGCATGCCTCCTACATACAAGGAGACACTGGTCGAACTGTAGCTTGTCACACTGGTCTTAAGTGCCATCTTTAGCTTTAGCTGCTGCAGCAGACTTGCGGAGGAGAAAGGGAAGGGCCTGATGTGAAGGGACTCCCCCAAATACAACAAGACTATTTCAGTTCAGCCCTCCATAATTAGATCCCATGCTTTGGTACTGTGCATCAAACTCAGAACCTCGTGCCTGATGGGCCTGTACTCTGCCGCTTTGGCTCTCTAGGACTTTTTAAATTTTCTTTTTGGGTCAAACCCAGCGGTGCACAAAGGTTACTCCTGGCTTAGCACTCAGGAATTACTCCTGGCAGTGCTCAGGGGACCATATGGGATGCTGGGAATCGAACTCGGGTCGACTGTGTACAAAGCAAATGCCCTACCAGCTGTGCTATCGCTCCAGCCCCT